AAAGGCTGCAGCCAGGCTTGGTGGAAGCTGCCGCGCACACTTAAAGCCCGCGCGGAAAAGTTCCACACCTGCGGTGGTCCCAGGCGCCGCCCCGGCCTTGGCGAAGGCCGGGGTCGGCGGATTTAGAGTACGCGCATGTGCCAGAAGTCCATTTTTTTGAGTACTTTTGTTTGAAGTTTGACATGTTTGACCACCATACAGCTCTCTGTTGCGCGTTGAGGCCTGTTCTGGCTTGAGCCATGAGCTGCACGCGGTGGGCAGCTCACAAACCATCCCCAACATTGGATGGGTATATTCTCAGTTTATTCCTTTAGTGATTTGCTATACATGGATATAAATAGATAACATGAACCAGCAAAAAATATTGTTTTTTGTGGACAACCAAAGATTGACCATGAAACATTGAATGAGTTGAATGTACAGCTCTGCAAGCCCTCCGTTGGAGGCCTGAAGATGTGTGTCTATGCCAGTCATTGGACTACTAGGTAAGGAGTCTGAGACAGGCTGACAACACTGTAGGTGCACCAAGAGCTTACAAAGCCTTCCACCGCAGAGGCATTGCTTCGGAGGGGGAAGGACAGACATGACATTGGCCTGACAGACTGTTGGTGTCAGCTGTGGTTGTCATAGCTGATACATTCCTCATGTCCATTGGAGGAGATGGCATTACAGGCAAAAGAATCTACGAATCAACTCGTGAACTCCCTCCGAGCCAAGTGCTTGCCTCAAAACTTGCCGCGCTTTCGCTGGTTGCAGAATTCATGGGAATGCGTCGGAAAGCTGAACTGAACAACAGTGAAGAGAACTTGTTCGGGTCTTGCCCCAACGAAACACACGAAACACACGAAACGAATGTGAATCAAATTGAAGAGGTGTGATGGAGCACTGCTGATGGAGCACTGCTGATAGAGCACTGCCGAGGTACAGTTCGTGGAGCGATGGAGTGGTTATGGGCGAGGTGGTGGCCAGTGCTTCCAGCCGGCCCAGCTCTAATCAGGACGGGACCCAGTTTTTGTCATGAACACCAGCTGACTTTGCCTGCTCCGTATATGCGATGCAGGGTCAGGTAATCAGCTCCAGCTCCCAGTTTGGAGGATTTGAGGCGGGTGACCGTGAAGAGAAACCAAGCCTCCAGGTATCAAGCGAGTTTCGCCTGTGCATGTTGACTTAGCTTCCAGTTGAAGGCTGGGGGATACTCAGCTTCTCAGCCTTGGTCTGGTGCTTAACCCATCTGATGCGAACAAACTGTCCAAACAGTAGAGGTGGGCCGGTCAGTGGACCCCACCAGCGCACGAATTCACCTGCATCCAACACATCATTTTGCTGGATTTCGTTGTATTTTGCGGGTCCTCAAAATTTGACCCGTATCCAACTGTGCACAAGACCTGGTTTCCTCGTCACTCCACCCAGGCCGGCACCTGCCTCCAACGGCTCCCAAGGCTCACAGTGGCCTTCGTGGCCCGGTGCCAAGGAGCGGTGCTGCAGAAACATCTCAAATCGAACCTGTGTTGGGATGTCTATCATTGTCTATCTACTCCAGCTTGAGACAGTGAACTTGGACCCACAGCTACTGTTCAGCAGGAGTTCTAGTCTTTGGACACGCCAGGATACACAAAATCAGCCTCGCTCTCCTTGGGACACAGCGCAGGCAGCAGTTATCCCCTGTGTAAAATGTTCTATTGTGGAAGAATGCAGCCTGATGTGCAAGAAAGCAGCAAGCAATTGCAATCACAATTTGTCAGGCAGCACTTGTGGACATTCTTACTGGATAACAAGACCTTTTCAGTGCATTCCAACACTGAAGACATCAACGGACGTTGTCATGGCCGGCCATGGCTGCTTTGGTTCAGGTGCAAAGACCACCTGCGCGGCCAGCACCCGCGCCGACCGGCAGAAGCCCATGGAGTTGAAAGACAGGGCATTTCCCGCTGGTCTCGCCAAGGGGTCAGTGATGGGTTACTTATAGTCTATATCATGATTTTGGAGTTTACAATTTTCTGGGTTATTTAAAACGACGTCAGCGACGTCACCTGGAAATAACGACCTAGATCCCAGAAATAAGATCATGGATCCTTGACACATAGTCCCCTTGCCACGCCTCCCTACCTATTTGTCAAGCCCTAGCTGCCCAAACTGTGCATGAAATAATCTACGACAATGTCCAACTCTTCTTCATTCTTCTTCTAGTTCTTGATTCTGGGTTGTTTCGACACCAGTTCAAAGAAATTGCTCTTGAAAGGTGCCACGAGCTCCCTGATACCTATTTGTCAAGCCCTAGCTGCCCAAGCTGTGCATGAAATAATCTACAACAATGTCCAACTCTTCTTCATTCTTCTTCTAGTTCTTGATTCTGGGTTGTTTCGACACCATTTCAAAGAAATTGCTCTTGAAAGGTGCCACGAGCTCCCTGATACCTATTTGTCAAGCCCTAGCTGCCCAAGCTGTGCATGAAATAATCTACAACAATGTCCAACTCTTCTTCATTCTTCTTCTAGTTCTTGATTCTGGGTTGTTTCGACACCATTTCAAAGAAACTGCTCTTGAAAGGTGCCACGAGCTCCCTGATACCCATTTTTCAAACCCTAGCTGCCCAAACTATGCGTGAAATAATCTACAACAATGTCCAACTCTTCTTCATTCTTCTTCTAGTTCTTGATTCTGGGTTGTTTCGACACCATTTCAAAGAAACTGCTTTTGAAAGGTGCCATGAGCTCCCTAATACCTATTTTTCAAACCCTAGCTGCCCAAACTATGCATGAAATCATCTACAACAATGTCCAACTCTTCTTCATTCTTCTTCTAGTTCTTGATTCTGGGTTGTTTCGACACCATTTCAAAGAAATTGCTCTTGAAAGGTGCCACGAGCTCCCTGATACCTATTTGTCAAGCCCTAGCTGCCTAAGCTGTGCATGAAATAATCTACAACAATGTCCAACTCTTCTTCTAGTTCTTGATTCTGGGTTGTTTTGACACCATTTCAAAGAAACTGCTCTTGAAAGGTGCCACGAGCTCCCTGATACCTATTTGTCAAGCCCTAGCTGCCCAAACTGTGCATGAAACAATCTACAACAATGTCCAACTCTTCTTCATTCTTCTTCTAGTTCTTGATTCTGGGTTGTTTCGACACCATTTCAAAGAAATTGCTCTTGAAAGGTGCCACGAGCTCCCTGATACCTATTTGTCAAGCCCTAGCTGCCCAAGCTGTGCATGAAATAATCTACAACAATGTCCAACTCTTCTTCATTCTTCTTCTAGTTCTTGATTCTGGGTTGTTTCGACACCATTTCAAAGAAACTGCTCTTGAAAGGTGCCACGAGCTCCCTGATACCCATTTTTCAAACCCTAGCTGCCCAAACTATGCGTGAAATAATCTACAACAATGTCCAACTCTTCTTCATTCTTCTTCTAGTTCTTGATTCTGGGTTGTTTCGACACCATTTCAAAGAAACTGCTTTTGAAAGGTGCCATGAGCTCCCTAATACCTATTTTTCAAACCCTAGCTGCCCAAACTATGCATGAAATCATCTACAACAATGTCCAACTCTTCTTCATTCTTCTTCTAGTTCTTGATTCTGGGTTGTTTCGACACCATTTCAATGAAACTGCTCTTGAAAAGTGCCACGAGCTCCCTGATACCTATTTGTCAAGCCCTAGCTCCCCAAGCTGTGCATGAAATAATCTACAACAATGTCTAACTCTTCTTCTAGTTCTTGATTCTGGGTTGTTTCGACACGTTGCAATTTTTAGATTCGGGTTTCATTCCTCATTTCTGCATTTCTGCATTTCTGCACTTCCTCATGTCTTCATGTGTGTCGGTTTAGGAGTACCCATATGTGTGTACACGTATAGTTGATCATATTTGTATCAGTGTTGTGTATCTGTACCTGTATCCCTATTCATTTAATTTCGTTTTTGTTCAGTATTGTATACATACGTGTACATGCAATGTATATTTATATATATATATATATCCTCCTTCAAATTTTAGCTACGTAAAGGGGAGGACTTGGGCTACAGTACAGAATGCCAGCCAGGGGTCGTTTTGTACAAAAAGGAGGAGTTGGGACCACCTTTTTGTATTTGCATTCCTTTTGTAGTTGATTCCTTTCAAATCCTCATTTGAATTTTGTAGTTGTATATGTTGAAGTGAGAAGAGGTGGAAAAAAGGATACAGTGCGTGACATGTACATGGACACAAACAGATCGTGAAGCTACAGAATGCCATCTAACAAACTGCACGGGGTCAACACTTGATCCAACTAAATTCAATCATTGACAACTACAAAATGTTCTCTGAAATTATGTTGGTCGGAACTTTGGATGGCATAGACCCAACTACAAAATGTCATTGGGAAAAATCATGTTAGCAATTCCGATTTTCAGCTATTTTTTAACTTCAGATGCATTGGATTTTGTAGTGTTGATTTTGAATTATTTTCCGAGTCAGAAAAGGTTGTGTTCTGTATGTTGTAGCTGCAAAAAAGGTACCATGCACTGAATTTTGTAGTTGCACACCGTATGCATTGCGTTTTGTACCTACCAAAAGCCGCACACCGTATGCATTGCGTTTTGTACCTACCAAAAGCCTCTGCGCAACTCCTCCCCCCTTATCTGAACCCTGATATATATATATATATAACTATTATATAATAGTTATATATATATATATATAACTATTATATAATATTATAATATATATATATACATAACTATTATATATATAATATGTAATATTTGTACATTTCTGAATATTCATACTCAGGTACAGCCATTGTTCGGCGGCAAAGTTGATTTGTCGCTGTGGTCGCTTCGCTGCAGGCTCAAGGAGAATGAAGCGCAAAGACGTAGGAATGCCAACAACTTCGCCGGAACTTGTAGTTCAAGGTCCTGGAACCCTTGAGTATTGATATATTTTCTGGAGTTGGAGATGCCCCTCAAGGTTAAGATTAGACCAATTGGACCTTTGGATAGCTTTGGCATGTTTCATGATCTTCCCTTCATTAAAATCACAAACTCAATCATCTTTCTGTTGGAACGCCTCTTAAAGGCACGGGGGCACCTGGAGCCATGCCGTCCCTGCGGGAAATCATGTTGAACCGGGCCAAGGAACCCGCCAAGGCAAGAGCACAGCTGTGTCAGAGATGTCATCCCAGCAATCTTCTTTGTTCAAGTTGTTTATTCTCCCACTGGGTTCAACATTTATTTCAACTTCAACACATTATGTACAGATTTTCACCTTGCAAGACAGCACAAGAACACTCTTATCTGCTGCTGAATGAAAAAAACATCAACACATTATGTTTCAATATGTTTTACAATGTCTGCAGAATTGCGACCTTTGCAGATCTGTAGCATCCGTTTTCTCGACAGGTTCATCCCATGGACCGGGCGCCGCCAACTCCATTGACAGCTCCTGACACTCCAAGGGCAGCAACGCCAGAGGGGACGCCGCAGAGGAATGGCTATGGACGCCCTCCACGGCCAGAAACCTGGTGACGGGATGTTTCAGAAATAGCCTACCAAAGAAATTCAACGAATCCATGAACTTGGTCAGAATCACACGTGATTTATCGTGATTTACTGTTCTGGAAATCATTTTTTTGGGGTTCAACTTTTTATTGACCCATCCCTCATCTAGTGCCATTTCTACCTTTGACCAAGGCCCAAAGCGACCGGAGGACACCAAGCCAGCCCAGGAAGCGCAGGGTCAATGAAGCCCAGAAGGCCATGAAGAAAGGACGAGACGAAACCAACATCTGTGAGTTAAGTCTGCTGAGGAATGGGTTGCTCCTGGAATTCTTGACTAGTTTGGATCCATTTGAATGAAAGGATCACACAAGGAATGCATCTGAAAATCCACAGGACCAAATGGGACCAAGCATCTGTAGCTTTCCCTTTCTGATTTGCTCACTGGTGATGTGATGGATCTGGAGGCCAAGCGAGGAGCGACGACCCAGGGCAAGAGCTGACCTGGCAACACCTCAGAGAGGCATGCTGTGGGAAACTGAATATGTCTTGGAGGGCGGAAAGGTGAGTGTGTCTGTGGCGCATTATTGACTCTATTCCTAGCTAATCTGATTTTATCTTATCCTATCTTATCTTATCTGGTCTTACCTTACCTTATCTCCGTCTTATCTTACTTTATCTTATCTTATATGGTCTTATCTTGCCTCATCCTGTCTTGTCTTATCTTACACAATAATTCTATCCTCTGAGATCTTCTCTGATCTTCTCTGATCTGATCTATCTACCTATCAGTCAATCAATCAACCAACCAATCAACGAATCAACGAATAAACCAACCAACCAACCAACCAACCAACCAACCAACCAGCCAACCAGCCAACCAGCCAACCAGCCAACCAACCAGCCAGCCAACCGACCAACCAACTGACCAACCAACCAACCGACCAACCAACCAACCAACCAACCAACCAACTCTCTCTCTCTCTCTATGAATATATTTTTGTATATATACAGACCGAGAGGTAGAGAGAGTTCTCTTGTTGTCATAGATACTTCAAATGCGTGCAAGAAAAGTTATGCTATGCGCAGCTGTTCCGCCAGGGCGCAGGGCCCCGAGTGAGCCTCCGCGAGGCTTCCTGGGAGAATGGCGTTTCAATTTCAGGCGTTTCAGTATCAAAAGGTGACGTGGGAAAACGCAACTTTCTGAAGTTCCCACCTCTGAAAGGAAGAATTCCGGAAATATGGACTTGGAATTTAGTGTTTTCCCCTGAGTACCTTGTAAGAGTTCATCCCTCCAACAGAGTCTAGACAGTTCTTGTGACCTTTCTCGCAGCAGGCTTCTAAATTCTGGAGTAAACTCTGGAGTTTACTCTGAGCATTCGCTGTTGGTTTTGTGACGAATTAATTCTGGATTTACATAATACATCATAATGCCTTTTGTCTAGGTTGAAGACTTTTTGTTTTGTTTTTTCCCAGCCGCTTTTGCGAGGACTTGAATCCAAAATGAATTCCTCATTCTGGGACAGTACTACCATTTGCCCACGATGAACCGTTTTGAACGTCTTGAAAAAGAAAAAATATCCAAGCAAACTCTGGTGCCCTTTTATCCAACCAGTCAAAGTCTCAGTAACACAAGAGGAATAAAAATCAAAGTTATTATTGTTATGTGATTTCCGGGGAAACATGCAGGACATTGTGGGAATATCCAGGAGACTTAACTTCGGAGTTGATAACTATGCAAAGCGCTATTTCAGTTCAGTATCTCTATTGAGTTGTTTAGTGAGCCAAACGAAGCAGGCAGACAAGAAGAGGAGGATGGCACACCTGATGGCAAAAAAGCTGAAGGCACGGGAGCACATTGTTTAGATACCCGGAAATCGTGTTCAGAGTGTTTACTGCCAGGTGGACTGAATCCTCGTGCAAAGGCTGGACCCTTTGTGATTTCTGGAGCACAAGTGAGCAATGTTTGAACTCCCTGTTGGTTGATGATTGAAGGGGATTTTGCTATCCAATACATTGGGGTCATCATCGTCATCGTCATCGTCATCGTCATCGTCATCGTCATCGTCGTCGTCGTCGTCATCATCATCATCATCATCATCACCATCACCATCACCATCACCATCACCATCACCATCACCATCACCATCACCATCACCATCATCATCATCATCATCATCATCATCATCATCATCATCATCATCATCAGCATCAGCATCAGCATCAGCATCAGCATCACCACCATCATCATCATCATCATCATCATCATCATCATCATCATCATCATCATCATCATCACCATCACCATCACCATCACCATCACCATCATCATCATCATCATCATCATCAGCATCATCATCATCATCATCATCATCATCATCACCAGCACCATCACCATCACCATCACCATCACCATCACCATCACCACCATCATCATCATCATCATCATGATCACTATGGCACTATGGGAATCCCCCAAAATCGACCAGCCAAAGGAATGACAGGGTTTGAAACACTGCTCAGTCAAACTGGTTTCTTTGTTAAATCAGAATCTGTTGGAGGCCAGATCGCTTTCAGCCAACCGTGCTCCTGAAAAAATCCGAATAGGCACGGGACTCATAGCCTGCAGCTGTCACGCACTGCTCCTGGGATCTCCTGGCATCCGCTGCGGTTTGTATTTTCAGGTGATGCCGCACCTCCCATTGACCGGAAGGGAATCGGGAAGGTGGGTGACTGCCATGATTTCTTTGCGTCCAGGTGGACGCACTTGGTGGATTCTGACGGTTTTTCTCAGGTGCCAGCATATTTGAAGAGGAGGCAGGAGGAGATGGCAGAGGACAGATCAAATCTGAACAGCTGGAAAGGGTTGTTGTCAAGGTTGCAAGTCACCACAGCTGGGTGGGACACTGTCTATTTCTGATTCAATCTGAGTGAACCCAAGGAGAAACGAAGAGCGGCACGTCCCATTTCTCCGCAGCCCCCGCAGGGGACTTATCAGTGACTGAACGTTAGGGTGGCCACTGTGATCAACGCATATCAACACCTTACGACAGCGAGCTTTTCGGTCAGTTGCATGGAGTGCACGACCAGAGATTCCCCGTGCTTCCGATTGATTTCATCAAGGCCTGGGTACAGGAAAGTTGATGAGACTGAGCGACAAGATACCCTGGATGTGCTTAGGCCGCTGAATGGGGAGTCACTGAGAATAAAGATGCAGCGCATCAACATTCCTGTTGGACAGTTCACATTGTGTACATCAAGTGGAGCATCACAGAGAGAGGAGGATGAGGAGGGAGAGAGCGAGAGCGAGAGAGAGAGAGAGAGGGAGAGCTAGATAATGGATGGATAGACGATAGATAGATACATAGATCGATAGATAAATAGACAAACAGGCAGGCAGACAGACAATTAGATAAGTAAGTATACATAATCAGTAGACAAGTAGAACAGTACATGGATGCATGGATGGATGGATGGATGGATAGATAGATAGATGGATGGATAGGTGGAGGGCTAGATACTGTAGCTGAGATAGCCTAATAGCTAGATAGCTAGATAGATAAATCATCGACAGACACACAGACAGACAGACAGGCAGGCAAGCAGACAGACAGACAGGTAGATAGACAGACAGGCAGGCACGCAGGCAGGCACGCAGACAGGCAGGCAGGCAGGCAGGCAGAGAGAGAGATAGATAGATAGATAGATAGATAGATAGGTAGATAGGTAGATAGGTAGATAGGTAGATAGGTAGATAGGTAGATAGGTAGGTAGATAGATAGATAGATAGATAGATAGATAGAGAGAGATGGATAGATAGATAGATAGATAGATAGATAGATAGATAGATAGATAGATAGATAGATAGATAGATAGATAGAAAGATAGAAAGAAAGAAAGAAAGATAGATCGATAGATCGATAGATCGACAGATCGATAGATCGATAGATCGATAGATCGATAGATCGATAGATCGATAGCTAGCTAGCTAGCTAGATAGATAGATAGATAGATAGATAGATATGAAGATATAGAGATACAAAGATATCTATAGAGATATATAGAGATATATAGAAACATATAGAGATATATAGAGATATATAGAGATGGATGGATGGATGGATGGATGGATGGATGGATGGATGGCTGGCTGGCTGGGTGGGTGGGTTGGGTAGCTGGGTGGGTGGGTGGGTGGGTGGATCGATGGATGGATGGATAGATACTTACATAGATAGGGAAGGCCCTTCTGAATTTATGGAAGCGCTGAAAGCGAAGGCAACGGAAGGATGAGATTGAGAGAGCACAACGAAGCCTTCCCTTCAAGATAGAGACTGTCGGGCAAAAGCAACGCGAGAAGGCCCGTGAGTTGTAGTCGAGGAAACTCTGACTACAGCCTCAAAGTCAAGAAGGGCTTTCGTACAATTTATACACAGGTCTCCCAAACCATTTTCGATCATCACCATGTTTTTTTTTAATGAATGGGTAGAGTTCAGTCTTATTCCGCATTTTTGCTCCCTGTCAGGACTTAAATGACCGCTTGGCTCACATTGAGAAGCTCACAGGCCCCGTCTCGCCGTTGAGATTCTTTTGGTAAGTTCGGAAACTACGTGGTAAAGATCCAGTTGACAGCATGTTGCAGGCATGTTCTCCAAGCCCGTGGTGTTCGTGCCAGCAGATTCTGGGCATCTTGGCGGATCCTTGTGGGATGACCCAATGAAGATCCCAATGACTTTACCCCGTACCCACTTTGCCAAATTTTGCCAAGGCCAATTGCAGCTTCTCTGCCGTCTTTAGGCATGGGCTTTGCGGTTTTCCCTTGACATGGCAAGCGATGCAAGCGATGCAAGCGATGCAAGCGATGCAAGTTATGCAACGTGTGGTTGACTCATTTTGCCAGGTGAGAAGGATCGCCACTTGCAAGCAGAGGTGGGAGAGTTGAGGGAGGAGCAGTCGCTGCAGTTTGGTCAATGTGGTTGGAGTCACCAGGTTGAACTCTCGGCACATTGTCAACACGTCAACACGACAATCATGAACCGACTGGGTGAACAGGGCATGAGATTTTGGCGGTGTTTGTCATTCAGAATGAGACAAGAGCCTGGGCAGCTTTGCAACTTTTGACTGATCTGAGTTTGCCAGAACCCGGTGGTCAATGATCGCGTGACAACAAGACCCAAAGAACGACCGTCCATCACTGTTTGGAGCTTGGCATTCTGTGCACAGAACTGTTGAAAGTCAGTTTATATAAGATTATATAAGATGTAAGATGTCAGATGCTTTGTCCCTGACGATGGTTTACTTTGAGGAGTACTTGATGGTTTTGAAATGTTTTGAAGTTTAGGACTTGCTAGACTTCCCCCACCCTCAAGTCTCCCAGATCCCCAGTGGTGGCACAGCGGCCACTGTTGCTGCGTAGGTGAAGCAAGCTCCAGGTGGCCACTCAAACCTCGTGCTTGGCTAGGTGCAGGGACTGGCAGAAACTAGGGAGCATTCCACTGGCAACGGCTCACAATTGCAGACTCCTGAACATTTGATTATTTTTGATGTTTGATGATGTCTGAAAAATAATTGCACAGTTGTTAGATGTTGTTAGGATTCAATGTTGTTAGTTGTCAGATGTTGTTAGATGTTGTTAGGATGAGAAAACTATGCGCTCTCATACGGTCGTCTACGAAAGCCCCCGAACAACGGAAAACGATTCTCACTGGCTTGTGCCGGCTGCTGCGAGGCTGCCTCTGTGCTGTACAGTTGTCAAAGATGCGGCCGGAATGACAAGGTTGTTGAGTGGATAGTAGGTGCTAGGTTTGCTGTTTTCTTGGGACCCAAAGGCCCGGAACACAGCCGTGCAATGAATACGAGAATCAGAATGCATTGGCGAGCGTGGCAACTCAGCAGATGCAGTCTTTGCACAAAAAGGGGTGACTCTTTGTTTGTAAAGCTTGATTCCTGGCTGCAGACGCTTAGCAGCAACATGCAGCAAACATTATTCTTATATTTTTCGTCTGGAGGCAAGAACTTCAAGACTGCGATCACTGAAAGTTACAACTCAGGAAAGCCTATTTGCTTCATAGTCGTGATATCTCACGTGGTGCTTTTTGGTCCTCTTGTGACGTGAAGATGTGGGCTCAAGACAGGGCCTGAAGATGCCTCAAGCAAGGTCCATCACGCAGAGTAAATTGTCCGATAGCTTGGACAGTGGCGCTAGTCATGGCGTGAGTGCAAGGATGCCCAAGGCTTCAACCCCTCGTCCCTCGACTCCTCGTTCCTCGACGCCTCGATCTTCACCCCATGCATCACCCAAGGCTTCACCTAAGGCTTCACCTTCACGCGAGGCAATGAAGTCTGGAGGATCAGGGTCCATGGCCAGTCGACCAGAATGGGACGCCAGTGGTACACGTTCAGCTTCAATGCGAGTCACGCCCTGTGCTTCGCCAGCTGGTACCCCTCGAAGCATTCGTGCTGCATCTGAGGTGAAACCTCGCACCCTGCGCGGAGTTTCAGCACGGCAAGTTGCCTCGCATGCTTCGCATCCTTCGCCCTCTGGCAGTCCATGTGCTTCACCGTCTGGGGGAAGCACCCCACGGACAGTCCGCACAGCTCCCTCCTTTGGAGGAACGCCACGGTCTCGCCCAGAGAGCAATGTTGAACTGCTATGGGGATCAAGTGGTGATGCCACCACTGAAGGCAGTAGGACTCCTCACAGAGTCAAGCGGACACTCTCAGCAACATCTCTATCTTCTTCTGTTCCCTCCGCCAAAAGTGCTGTCGGCAGAGCCAATTCTACTGCTTCTCGCAAGCAAGCACCTTCTATACCATTGGTTTTTGTAACGCTTCGTGATGTTTGCAGCGGAGAGACGCAAAGATTGAGCTCAGATTATCCTGATTGGGAGGCTTTCTTCGACAGCCTGACCACTTGGATGCGTGAAGAAGTGATGTCACACCTGAAATCATGTGGCAAATGCCGGGCAGTCTCCTCCTTCTCACGGTGCAAGTCTCGCTTCCAATTCCAGCCAATTTCTGAGTCATCCTTGGGCACGGTCTGTCAGGGCTGTTTGCAGTCACTGGATGCAGGCTTGATAGCGGAGCTGCAGAAGCAGAAAGACACATTGCTGACGGAAATGGCTGATGCTTTGGGGATGCCGCTCCGTGACCTCTTGTGCTTTGAAGGAGTAATGCTGCAGCGCCAAGATGCACGGCTGGCTTCCCTGCCAATCGTGGCATCTGAGCGTGATCGTGTACTGTCTCAGACACACCTTCGACAAAGCACACGGCACATTTGGGTTGAGTACCTAGATGGCAAGGAACTGTTGCGGGCCTGAGGGTTGGCCCAGAAAGGGATGTTTTTTGGGTGCAGGCAACTCACTCTTGACTAGTTTCGCAATACTGGTACCATGTGTATCTACAGATATTATCTGATGTGACATTACGTGTATATATATATATTTCAATAATAAATATAGCAAACACGCTGTAATAAATTCTATTTTTGTTGTAGCTATGATGTATAAGTCTGTGACGTTTTTGCTGTTTTATGATCACAACTTCCTCTTGGGATGTCCCATGGCGCTCCATGGCCCATGGTCCCCGTGGTCCCCGTGGTCCCCGTGGCTCAGGCTCCAAGCAGTGCGCCAAGCGCTGAAGGAGTGGAACGTCTTGACATGGCCTTTTGAGAGCAGGTGCCTTTGCTCTTGATCCGTGAAATATGGTGAAACCATGACATCTTCCAGAAATCCCAAAGGCAGATCATCAAATCATGGTGGAAGGACAATGGAAAGATGGAAAGCTTGAAATTCCCCAATCCCCAACTATCCCCAACTATCCCCAACTTTCAGTGAGAGTTGTGCAGAATCATCGCATCCCACGCTTGCAACTGCCTGTTGTAGTTTCGGCGATGGTTTCAGACCTTTGCAGGTACATCCCGCACAAGTATGGATCCATGGTTAGCAATACCGATGTCCAGCAGCAGGTGAACAAGAAATGTAAGCTCTTCGCACACCAAGCACGTGTAACTTGACCTAATGACAGACTTTGACAGACTCTCAGACACCTTCACTCTTTCACCTCAATTTTGAAGCACAATTTAATTTGTTTTCAAAGGGCATACCTTGTTTAGATTTACTGTAGATGGGTTGCAGCAGCAGTGGGCAGGTTGTTTTGGCAGATTGGGAGAAATCTTGGCCCCAGTTCAAATTCAATGACGTTTTTTCCCTCTTCGGTGTGCCTATGTTGCAGCTGGATCAGAAAGCTGAGAGCATCGATCTGGATGTGGAAGAAGCAAATTTCGATGATAAACTTCTGGACGAAACTGAGCTATCTTCCTTACAGGCCATGCGTGTGGTTGCTCGCCTCCGGCCAATGCTAGCACACGAGGAAGGGGATGAGATCACTGCAGAGGTTCAGGATGAAGTCACAGTGTCCTATGAGACCCTGCATCATGGCTATGTCCCGGCGCGGCACACTCTGCAATTCGATGCAGCCCTTTGTTGCTCACAGGCAGAGCTCTTCCAAAAATCAGGGGTGAAGGCATTGGTGCATCGAGCCTGTGAAGGCTACACATGTTCCATCTTCGCCTATGGTCAAACTGGAGCAGGCGACGGCAGTATGGGAAACGGTTTCAAAACGTTCAGATTTCACATGATTTCACCGTACCGTAGTGATGAGATGTTCTTCCAGCATTTTGAGCCGTAGCCGGAGAATCCCAACCTAGAAAGTCGGCCAAAATGGCCCAAAACAGCACTAATGCCAACTCTGACCAAGTCCATCTGCAGGTAAGACCTACTCACTTTTTGGGCCTGAAGACGCTCTTTCGCAGCTTTTCGATGATGATCTGTCTGATGAAGCCCAGAGGCAGCTGCCCAGCGCTTGCCATGTGCTGGTTGGCGAGGCTCGTCGAGCTCAATGTGGCCAACAAGGTTTGATTCCGCGGGCTCTGCAGTTTCTTTTCCGCGTTCTGAAGGAGATGAACCTGGACGGCGTCTGTACAACCAAAGCCACATTCACTGAGATTTACAATGAGACCCTTTATGACTTGTTTAATCCTTCATCAGCAAAGCGGCTCGATGTTTTCCAGAGGCCAGGATCACAAGTCGGCTTCCATGTTCCTGGCTTGACTTCAGTGAACTGTTCTTCAGCTATTGAGCTGATGCATGCCTTGCAGCAGGGTTTGTCTAGCAGACACACACATGGTCACTCTGCCAGCCGAGAGTCATCTCGAGCTCATGCAATTTTCACAGTGGAGATTCCTCTCCCGGGCAAGACTGGCAAACTCATTTTTGCTGATCTGGCTGGGTCAGAACGCTTAAAGCGTATTTCTGGCGCAGATCAGAAGGAGACTGGCTACATTAATAAGTCTTTGCTCATGCTCTCCAACTGCGTGTCAGCCTTGTCCTCGCGCTCAAACTCTGCAAATCCACCAGGAGCTTTCCGAAATTCAAAGCTCACAAAGGCAGGAACGGGTTTGTCCACAAGAACCTCTGCATTGAATTGCCACAAATTGTAGCAGTTTAAATGTCAGCTGAAGGGCAAAGACAGTAACATTGCATGGTATGCGTGTAAGATCGTGTAAGCGCTTCAAATCTAAGTGACATTCTGTTGCATCGTCAAGCTTTGCTGGACAGGTCCTAATGGAGGCGCTGTGCGGAACAGGTTTCACCATTTTGCTCGCAGCGATCTCCCCTGCAAAACGCCACTTCGATGAAACAGCTAACACCCTCAGCTTTGCCGCAAAATGTGGCAGTATTCCACGACAGCTGGCCGACAACGAGCCTGAACATCAGCGAGAGTTGCGACAGCTGCAAGAGACTGTGAAGGACTTGCAGAACGAGATTGCTTTCTTCAAAGCTCAAGAACTCAGGAAAAATCCGAGCCAAGAGTCACAGAATTGCGGGAGTTTGGATTTCTCCTGTCCCGGAAGTGTGGGTGACCCAGAGCGCGAAGCTACTGTTCCACGCGCTGACCTGGAAGCACTTCGAGCTGAGCTTCAACGAGAGCGACTTCGTAATGCCTCTCGACGGCAAGCCATGTGCAGAATCCAAACAATCAAGACAGCTAATTATAAACACTGATATATGATATATATATATATAGACGGATATTCAGCAATTCAATAACAATTACATAACATATCATAAAATGATCAAATCTGTACCTTAGCCATACCTTAGCCTTAGTTGATATTCACTTTTGGTTGAAACCCAACTATGGAAAGCGAAACACTTGGAGAAGCTTGAAGCACTTTTTCCCGCGAGCGTTTCTTTCAACTCCACCGAACAGGCAGCTTTGCAAGATGAACTCAACACTTTGAGGGAGGCGCTTCAAGAATCAGCTGCCTCCGAACATGGGGATGATACTAAACGATACATGGAAGTTGAACCGACCGGGCCTCTTTTGTCCACCTCGAAGCTGACTTACTTTGGTGAGAAGGCGAAGAGCGATGGCCAGCTAGGCGCAGTGTCCAAAAAGGTTGGCTGACTGCAGCCATCACTCAGGATGTGTCAGGTGTTGTATGTGTTATGATGAATGATGATGAATGAGTCTGGTTGTTCTGTGCTAATCCTTGACTCACTGGCACGGTCTTTTGCAGTCAAGAAAGTGCGCTGTCTCGACCTCGCAAGATTTTTGAATTCGGCATTGCTTTCCCAGTCCTTCCCTGCCATTGGTCGGAGGGTTGCCATGGCGCCAGAATTGTGACTTCGATGGACAGTCCTCAAACGCTTGCAGCCCAGTTAGAGCAAGCAGACTATCCTGTCCAAAAGATGAACATTCTGGACATGAAGCATCGTGAGCCTGTTTCGCAGTCAGAATCTAGTTTGCTGTTTTAGTGATTTTGCGCATCCCTGTTTGGGAGGATACCAATATATGATAATATAGGCGGAAATCTTGTGGATTTGAAACTGTCGAAATCAGCAATCAGGCATTCGTCCAGCTCCGAAAATACACACTGTTTTGAGCTTGATGCTTAGCCAACCAGGAATAGATCAGATATATGATCTATCAGATGAAAAGCTAGGAACAGCAACACATGCAGCAGGTGGGACGGTGTTGAGAACTGTGGGTAGCAAATGGTGGCATCAAACTTACCCAACAGCCCAAATGGCAGACTCTCTGCCAAGGACAGATACACGTGAACAATTTGCTGGTGCGGATCTATTTGAGGCAGTGCCTTCTCATCAGCATGTAAAATGCATTCGCCCTTATTACAAAGGAATATTAACAAATACTAATATAGCGTGTGTAGTAGTCCCAAATAACCGGAATGCGAGGATTTCCCGTTTCCCATGGTCTGCCCCGTTCATCCTACCCCTGTTCTATCTTTGTGGGTGGCTATGCAGTCACACAACCCTTTCATTGCAGTGCAGGCCTTCTACAGAGAGCAAAGGATTTGCAGCAAGGACAGCGAGCATTCCGCTGATTTGTTTTGTCATCGATGCGTGTTTTCTTGTTTTGGGCTTGTGGCTCCTGAGGAGTCATGGGACTTGTGCTGGCGACAGATGCGCTTACCACTGCCGCCTTGCGTGAGAGTACCGGAGGCTTCGTGGCGATCATTGAATGATTTGAACGTCTAAGGTTTTCTTAGTTTTCTTCAATGTTTTATAATGTTTGGTGGATTTAGGGCAGGGCGGCTACAGATGGCTCTCAAGCACTAGATTCGGTACATAGTAGGTGTGTACCACGGTGCTTTGGAAAGAGCAGTCGGCGTAATTAGTAGTGGTAGTGGCTGGTACTTGTAGGCCTCTGAGTCTCTTGCTTTGTGGCTTGCTGCCTTCTAATTACTCCAATACTCGTACTGTCAGTGCTTTGAAAGATTTTGAAAGCAATCTCAGATTTGCGCTGATGTAGACAACTGAAGCTGTCGAGAAATGTTCAGGCTGATGAGGGAGTCCTGTCACTGCTCCTGCCTTGGGATCCAAAGTCAGTAGCTCAATGGACGTGGGTTCTCAAATCGAGGCCTAACAGCACAAGGCGGTCACATGTTGGTTGGATCTCTACTGCGGCATACTGCGGCCATTCATTTGTTATCATTTCAAATTTGCTTAATATTCATTGAAATTTGACCCGGGTTGTCCTTGGTTGCGGTGGCAGAATGCGGAGTCTCCAAACTCTTCATCCGAGGCCAGTTCCTTGGTGTCCAAAGGCTTATCGCTTGGCGGCAGAGAAAGCGGTTGACAATCAGGGCCATTACAAACCTGAGTTGGCCAAGGCTGGGGTCTCTGAAAGGATCTGAAAGGGCAAGATGCTGAAAGGAGATTGTCGAACTTTCCCTCCATATTTTTTCCGATATTTCCTGCACTTTTGAAGGTCACGTGTAATAGTTGCTGGTTCTCAAGAAATGGCCGCCATTGGCCGTTTCCCGGGTGTTTTTAAAATGATTTTGAACATTGTTCAATTTTTCCATCTCACTCTGGAGGTATTAGCAGACGGACAACGTGCCGGCAAGATCATCAGACAGGAGCTTCGGACGATTTCGGACGACGTGGCCATGTTTCTTTTTTGAGTACCATCCGCTGCGTAGGCTATCGTCCAGTCTGCGGAGTCTCGCGTAGGCATTGCGTAGGCACCTTCGCATAAACTACGTTGCGCTTAGGCTGCTGTGCACTTCGCGTAGCCGCCGCGTAGGCGTTTCGTAGGCAATTTTGAGGATCATGGCTATGTACTTTAAAAAACTATGCTCGATTCTTGAACATCTGTGAAAAATCTCAATCGATCTGAGAAACACCACTTATGTGGTCAAACCATAGTTTATATAGTTTGGAGACGTTTGGAGATCAGTTTGCTACTCTGACAGGAATGCTACTCTACAGAACAGTGCAGGCTTATGCTTCAACTTTTTCTGCGACTGAATGGACCCTCATGTCAGCAGGTCCCTTCGTGCCTTCAAAATGTTGTACTTGAATATTTTGGGCTTCATTGGCATTCTGTTCATTATGCACTATGCCTCTTTATCTTGAAGATAGGAGACTCTGGGAAAACACAGGCACTGAACACAACGAAGGAACAGCGCACCATAGCACACCATAAGCTGAATCTTCTTTGATCTTCTCTGCCCATCTTGACACTTAAAGCCTGCGGTGCTGTTGCTTTTTTTGGGTAGTTGAATTACTGTAGTTCTTGTATGTTGTGGTGCTGGGTAGTACCATCGTCCCCCAATGTCCTCCAGATCAAGGAGTCTGCATCGATGCTACCTGCACAAGCCTTGCACATTCGTCCGGAGCACACAGTGCTGGAGTGCCTGCCTCAGATGACCCGCCTGGGACAAGCTCTGAATATCGCACCATGAATTGCACCACCCGCAGCTCTTTCCAGAGAGAAGCTCAGAACATCTCAAGACTGATTTTGTGTGAGTTTCTCATAGTTTCTGATTTGAATTGTTTCCTCCACTTTCTTTCATTTGAGATCAGAGTGTGTTGGAATCCAAAACTGCACATTGTTTTTTTGCTCTCTCTCTCTCTCTACCTCTCTCGGCTGCACAGTGCATACACTCTCAGTTCGTGTCTCAACGCTTAGTCATCATTTTCTGCCAATAGCACCGCTTGGATGTTGCAGGTTATGTGCTGCTCCAGGGTCAAAGACCCTTCAGATCCTTGACCTCATGCAGCCTGAGGCAGATCAGTTTTCAGGATGTAACATGCGCTGCCGCTGAGCATGACAGCATTTCAAAATGTCAAGTCTGGCGCAGAGGTTCATGGTGGCCAGGCAGGGCCGAGATTCGCAGAGTTTATGCCAGACATGGTGCAACGACGCCGCGGTGTCGGTGTTGAGAACAGTCAGGTCACAGGCTTGCTGATTGCAAATGATTCCAAAGCTTCACGACTAAGGCAATCGGATTTTGATCGATTGACGGCTTTGGAATGGGATGGAATGGGCTAGTTATCGTCAAATGCTAATTTTCTTAAAAGGTGGGCTTTCGAGAAAGGTTGATGTTAGTGTTTTTGTGTTTCCACACGTCATGTGGTTGTGCATAGATGGTTGTAGTTGCTGTTACAGATTCACGCAAAATCACTTTTTGGAGACTAGTCAAAGCGAGCAGTTTTGGTAAGACAATGTAAGACACTTTTTGGGGTGAGATGCTGTAGGTACTTAATTATTTAGCTGCAGTGGCAAAACAGGGCAAGTTTGCCATCCAAAGGTTATGCAATTCTGATGCAGGAGGCTAGTTGACCGGGTTCGGCGCATTCCCACAGCACCACTCTTGGTGACACGCGCCGATGCAAGGCCCTGAAGTTGCTGGTGGGTGTGACAGCAGATTTGATTTTGAAAACGATCAGTTCTGCGAATTGCTTCCATACAATTCTTTTTCCAGATAGATTTAAGCCAGAATGGTGGCAGGCGATTCCCAGTTGTCCAAGGGCAGACAGATGGCCGTCCAATCCATTTCGACCGAGTGCTTTGTGATGCCAGAAACTCGTGGACAAAGCCAGAAAAGAGATATACTTGATTGCGATTGCATGCTGCAATTTGCTAAGGTCCCTTGTTCTGGAGATGGTACGATGCGTAAGGCAGATTGCAACTTCAGTTTCTTCCCTTGCAACTCAATGCTCAAGTCTGTTGAATATCACGAAGGCACGCTCTCTACTGGACCAGTGGACGCCGCGCTCAGGCATTCCATCATTTCTTTCTGATTTCTTTCTGCTTAAGGTGGTAAGGATTCGATACGATTTGATTTACCTTCAAAACATAGTTAGGACATGTTAGGACATGTTAGGACTCTGAAGTCGAGCCCTGACAGGTTTGGGGCATCATGCCATCCAGCTGGAGATTCTACTGCAGGGTATGCAGCTGCTGGCCCCACAAGGCAAACGGTGCGGACATTCCATCGCCGATCGCTGGTCCTTCTAACGGAATTTAGGGAGCAGATGCATGCAGATGCTATCCTGTTGTGCGTTTTATTATTTGCTTTTTAAATGTTTTCTTCCTTTATTGGCCAATGGAACTGCTTGGTACAAAGATTGTCCATGGATCTTTTATGAGCAATGCACCATCACGAACTCTGATCGCTCAAAGTACGTTTTGGAGAACAGCAATGGTGTTCACACAATTTTAAATTAAAGCAAGGAATTGCAATGTTCACCCACAACCACGTGAGTCGCAGACCCTGTTTTTCTCGGCTACACCAGGCCTTCTGGCATACTCCACATGTGCCTTGAACCCAGTGGAGTGCGAGGTGAGCCTCGAAGTGATTAAAGTTGCATAACAACTGCAAGCTGGAGGTATCTGGAGGTTTAAGTTCCACATACGTTTTCTGCATTTTCACTCTGAGAGGCGGTGGTTTGTGCAGCTCTCTTCCATTTTCCGAACTTTGAAACAGTGAACATAGAGGTGGGGACTGTCGTGTGATGTTTGGGCATTGCAGAGGCCAGGTTGGACATACGTGGACATAGTGTATGTGATGTAAACCTGCACTCTCGGCAGGTGCCGGGCCTTGAATTGGAGCACCTGTCTTACTTGAAAACTCTTGGAGTTCAAAAGCTGTTGTGGCAATGTCTTCATGCAGTTGCAGTCCTATTTCAAAATGGCATCCACCAAAAAACATAGTGAAACAATTAAAAAATACTCACAAAGTCATGGTCTGCTTCTGGTCACCATGTCTTAAGACCCCAAAGCCTTCCCCAAAGCCTTGCCATTCTCCCATGAGGTCTGGACTATGCTCTTGGAAAGTGCCGGGAATTGGGAGGCAGACAAACAAATTCGGCATTTCCTCTCAAAGCAAACACAAAGCACATACAATGCATACACATCGATGCACATGCGCCGAACACTGATGCTTTTCTGCGGAATTACCTGCAGAAGTGCTTCATTTTGCATTATTTTGTGCCATAGTGCGGGGCAGTGTTACGAGGGCTTCTCTTTGCCATCCAAGAGAAACAACAGATAACTCACACAAGAGATCTGGATGTTTGTGTCATATCTGTGCATTTACCAGGAACGGTGAGTGGCTGAGCTATGACTCCTGGAAGGACGTCCCAGAGGCATGAAATGTCCATTGATGTCTTGGTTCCCGGGGAGAGGTTTGGGTTTGCCATGGATTGCATTTAGGTCTTGTACGTGCTTGTGTTCCGTGGTTGTTTGACCGTGAAGGCGACTGGAATGCTTCGTCGCTCCATGTTCCCACCTTCGGCGTATGCTACGTCTTCAGTTGCTGAAGGCAAGGTTTCTGTTCAGATGAATGCTTGCCGGTCAGCAGATTCTGCGAAGATTCATGCAGTACGCACGTGATGTGAAGGCAAGAAGATCGGCTCTTAAAATTGTACAACTTCGGTTTGTGGGAGCACATACGGGAGCATGATCCAACAGAAGCTGCCAGGGTTTTGGCTTGCCGATCATTTTCAAGTGTCGCATCACCACGCCAGGCCTTGAAAAGCAGCTGCGTCGGTGTGGCAGGCTACTTCCCTGCAATGACGATGGCGGTTGTTTCTTTTTGGCCCTGCTCCGCCAATCCAAGGACAATCTCTGAAGTTGTCTTGCACTTTTCATCCAGTCTGGGTACAGCTTTACACACTTGGGACATTTGATAGAACGAGAAATCTCACGGTATTCAAAGAGCCCTCTACAACTTCAACATTTGTCCTGAATGATTTCGCAGGAGCACAAGGAGACGTTTTCAAAAGGCGATCGCGTCTTTGTCACATCTGTGGAGCGTGAAGGCAGGCTGTCCCCAAAGGCAAGGTCCATCAGGCAGTCAATCTCAGCACGCGGTCTAGGAACAGTTCGTGGACCTGGAACCAAGCAGTTCAGAGGGCTTCTGCGTGTTCTTTACGCCGACGGTTCTCAATATCATGTGAAGTGGGATGCTGAGTTTGTGCCGGACATGGACAAGGTCCGAAGGCTTGGCCATGGCAATCACTGCAATCTAAGGCCCGAAGAGCTCCAGAAGTTGCCGGCGGATCCACCGAAAATGCCGAGCTGTGGAAGTTCCCATGGCAGATCCTCGGAGCCCCTCTCGCCCCTCTCGCCCCTCTCGCCCCTCTTGTTCGTGACTGAGATCCTCGATGATTCATCGCTTCATCATTGATGTCATTTGTGTATATTTGTGTATCGTACCAAGTCTTGGAAAGTACAGTATCAAGCCAGATTTGTTTTTTTTGTATTTTGACCTGAACATCACTTCATGTTGGCTTAATTATTCTGAGGTGTAATACATCAGATCACTGGCCAAATATCGCGGTGCGGTGCTGCAGTGCGACCATTCATTTTACCTTTGTTTTCATTCTGTTTCACAGTTCAGACATGTTTAGACTCTTTTCGAAGCTGTTCGTACTTCCTTCCGCCCAGACGATGGATCCAAGTACGCAGGCTTTCTTTGGAATTCTCCAAAAGGATCTTCCAACGCCTGCAGAGGTGAGCCTTTGCCAAAATTTGCTAGAAAACAATGCTACGAACCAAAGTCAGTCAAGGCTCTTTGCGTTTCCTGTCTTTCCAGGCAGATGGTGCCATTTGCCTTGCCTCAACCACTCTCAAGGCGTGCAAGTGCTGTGTTGCTCAGTGGACGCACTCTTGCTTCATCTTGTCATTCGGTAACTTGAAGAAGACACTTCAATCTGAGGAATCGACTACTGTACTGTATATACCAAGTACGTATTGTAGGTTTTATTTTTTTTTCGTAGGTGGTCCTCAATTTTGGACATCCCTGTGTGGAGATTAAACATCTGGCAACATTTTGCTTTCCATCATTATTTCATGAGCAAATACATTCTGAAACTGTGACAGGGCCTTGCCTCGATTCCCGCCAGTATTACTGGGCTGGAGTCTCACATGGGATGTGGTAGCCATTAGCTCTTGCAATTTATGACTCTGATTTTATCCTGCTCGAGAACCGCGGTCTATAGGTTTGGTCCGAAGTTTTGATTCAAAATTCACATTGATATTGAAATCTGAAAGCTTTGGATGACAAGGTCAGGGAAAGCATTGTGGACTGCTGGCCGTGGGCCTCTCTGTTGGAAGGCTGACAGCAAAAAGTCATTCCAATACAGTCCAGCTCTCACGGCTGAGGGCCCCTCTTCTTCAATGCCGCAAGTTCACGTCAGGCTCCAACCTGTTCAGCAAGAGTGGTTCATTGATGTTGCCTCAATTTGCCACATGTTGCCAAAGCATGTGGATAGCATTCACGACTTGCATTTCATTCCAACACCTTCCCGCCTTTTCCTATGAGCGAAAGGCCCCGAATTCGACTTCATGGCCGGCTGATGCTTTTCCTTGGCAGCCAACCGCAGAGGCAAAGGCTACACTTGTTCTCCTTGTCCAAATGAGCCAAGAACGAGCCAACGTGAGCTGAACCAGGCAGCCTCGTTCCTGGCCACGATTTGCAAGCATCGAATCTTGAAAGTCTCCCACTGGATTTTTAAGCTGCTCCTTCAGGAGGGCGAGGCTCTGAGATCTTCCAACTTTGAAGCGATCAAGCACTTCACCAGTGTTTCTATGTGCAAACAAATTCTATACTACATAGAATTAATATATATATATTAATATACTAATATCATATCAAAAAATGGTAGAAATTGCTCGAATCTGATAGCTATAGGATGCCGCAGAAAATGTCACGCTTCGGTCCAGGCCAACGCTTCAGTGGCAGGTGCTGAGTTGGATTGGCAGGCAGCAGCCATGGCCACCGGGACTGGTGGTATCACCGCCATCAACTGAGCCCTTGACATGTGCAGTGCTGCAGGCTGGTGCAGTGCTGGTCTCTCCAGTCCAAGGGCAGCCCACTTGGAGATGTGTAAACACCAGCGGTCCAAACATGTCAAAGCATGGCAGAGGGTCAGAATTTAAGAACCGCCAAAGTTCCTTCATGTTCCTTTGAGGCCCATAGTTTTGACCCACACATGAACACGGTCCACCTGGACATGTGACACATTGTGTCACATAGTGTCACATAGTGTCACATAGTGTCACATAGTGTCACATAGTGTCACATAGTGTCACATTGTGACATTTGCATTTCATTGCATTACATTTGCCAGTTTTCTCTGTGCTCCAGAGGCAGTGTCCAGCTTTGGGTCGTGCAGCGCTGGTTTGTTTGCTTCATGATGGGCTCATCAGGCTGCAACATCGCTGGGGAATACAGCCAGAGCATGGAGACAGATGCAGATAAAACGACCAGATGCCGGATTTTTATTGCACCGAAGCAACCAGACTTTGTTCTGAAACATGCTCTTGTCAGAGAAATATCAAATGATTCTGACATGAAAGAGACAAGACGAGCAACAAGGGTTCCAGACTGACACCTTTTGACTATTTTTGTCTGGCTTCTACAGTATCACTCCCAGAGCTGCCAACCTTTGTACTTCAGGCGCTGTGCTAGAGCCGGTGCAGAGTCTTGCTTGCAAGTTATCGACAAGAGAAACATCACCGGAATCAACAGATTGATCCTGCTGCACAGTTAGTGTGGTTGGATACTTGTGATCAACTAAGGTAGGCCACCTATGTGCGCTGATTCAGCAAAACACCCCAATGAGTGGATATTCGAACACAGACGCGGCGCTTGTGTCCAAAAACTGGCTCTTCGCAGAGTTACTGTAAGTTGCCCGATCCAGCAGAAGCAGGCTGCGATATCAAGGTGGTTTCACAGGCTTTATGGTATCATTATCATTATCATTATTTCAATTCATTTCATACGTTGGCTGTAGAAAGGAGGCTCAATCCGATGAATATCTTTCCCTAGCCGGGGATTGTGGTAGTGCCAAAGCCATCCCCAAGGCCTGCTCTGAATTTTCAAAGGACAAGGCAAAATCTAGAAGTGTCTAGAATCAAGTGAATCTGCCAGGCATGGATCATGAAGCTGCCAGGTAGCCAAATTGTTGCTGCAATCATAGACTCATTTTGCTGCACTGCACTTCTGCATACTTCTACGCTCCGCAGATTTGAGGCACATATAGCCACTGCACTGTGATCCGTGATGGCTGAGGTGGTGAATGACCTGTTTGATACATGTACTTGGCTTGGCGACTACCATGAGGCGCTGGAAGACTTTGATGCAAAAACCGTCGAAGTCAAATCAAAGTTACGCTATGGAGCAGGACAATGGGAAGCAAAAGTACTTGGCGAGGGAACGGGACCAGTGCGGATCCTACTGCCTATCCATGAAAGAACATGTGCAGACCTGGTCTTTGATGCCAAAGACTTGTCTTTTCCTTCCTTTGCAAATTCGCTCAAACGCTTAAGTTTGTGTGAGCAATTACGTCGCTGGTGTTCTGAAGTCCATTCTGCTTGAGCGTAGAAATGTGTAGAACCTGAAGTCAGGTGCCTGACTGCCCTGCTTGACCTCGACAAGATGCTGGAAGAGGCCCATGACCACCAGAATATGCTCACATGTAGAAGGATCATTCCCTGAGCTTCCATGCTAATTGAATCTAATTGATGTGTTTATGATATTGATGTCATTTGACATCAGGACAGCCCGGAGAGTGGGTACGTGGTGAGGCAACAGCTAGGGGAATGGCAGGCGCGATGTGCAAGTTGCAGGTGATGGCAGGATGATGCAGGATGCGTGTTTTTCTTTAGCGAAAATCGGCGAGTCGAGGTGCTTCGCAGGCGTATGATCCCACTCTTTGTGAGCTACCAAAAGGAGCGTGCCACAGCTTAGGAAAATCATGGAAGATCCGGCTTTGCGATTGAGGATATTGAGGGTGCTTCAGGATCATTATATATATATAATAATATATATATAATATATAATATATATATATAATATAATATATATAATATATATATAATCATTTTAGGATCTTATGGATCTTATGGATCTTTACGTTCTCAGTTTGCCCTTTTGGATCTCCAGGATTCCGAGCTCGCTACCAATGTCGTGCAGCTGATGGTCAAATTGACCACTCGAGTAGGTCGCTTCCTCCAGCCCTGTTTTGTGAGCTTCATGCGGTGTGAATAGTGAGACATTGAGGTACGGTGTTTTACAGCCAAAAAACGTGTCCTTTATAGTGTGATCAAAGACTTGTTGGCTCTTTGGGAAACTTATCACTATTATATACTTCCAACAAATTCACTGAAAGGGCTTTCTCAAAGTATCTTTGTCATCGTTTTTTGATGTTTTATCATTGGTTTTTCATGGTTTTGCATGTTTTCTTGCTGACGTACATCATCACCGCTGAGGTCTTTACGGTTCTGATGAGTTGCAGCATTTGCGCCACCTACAGGACCACCAATTTGGCGAGCATTGCCAAGCAGATAGGTTTCTGGGATCTTGGTTCCGGGATACGTCTCGTCAACATGCCAGAACGACCGTTGACATGCGAAGGGGGTCGTGTCTACATTGGGGGATAGGAAAAACCGTTCTTGGTTTCTTGGTTCTGTTTCCAGTGGTGTTGTTTGCGTTCAAATATCAATGGCATCAATGCAGAATCAAGAGACTGTCAAACCCATTCGTTTCTCACCTTTCGGATCACGTGAATGTCATTGTTGAGAAGACATGATAGCTAAGTATTAGGGAAATAGATTTCCAGAAGAATTGTCATGGAAAAAGTAGCATTTTCCACAAAATAAGCAAGGACATCAAAAGTTGCAACAAAAATAGTCCTGAATTATGGAAGAAGGGGGACTATTATTGTTTGCAAATAGGGGGACAGTGAATTAATCAACATCCCCTTCCGAAAGGATTGTGAAAGAACATCGGGAATAGGAATCCTCATGGGAAACATGTAGTTATGGAAAACGTAAATGCAGGTACAGTACTTCTTTTGTTCACGTAAAATTCTGTTGGTGAACACATTACAGTAGTATAAGTTTAATATTGTTATATATTAGTTGATGTAACAATACATATATATATATGCACACTATACACATTGAACATTTCATATCATGTTAAGTTATAGATCCTACGAATCATAAGTTTGGTTTTTAAATTTGGCAGGACTACAAGGAGGCCTTCTCCAAGTCGGACATCTTCACAGTTCTGTTGCGCCTTGTGATGGAAGCGCTGGACAACGAGGCCAGCGCATCATGGCCATGGCAGTTGCGTCGAGTCGCCCAGTGATCCAGTGATCCAGGCCGGCCCAGGGCAGCAATTCTTCAAGGCTGGTCAAACAATTCACAATGCCACAGCAATGTCACAGCAATGTAACATCCTGATGCCTTAAATATCCTTATCATTCCTTATCCTTAAGTGATAAGCCGGGTTGAGGTGGTTATCCTCACCCTGTGCAGGATGTTCTTGTGCTCATTCGAAATTTAGTGTCTGCCACGTCCTCAGATCTCGGATTTCAAGTCGCCCTGTGAAACCTGTGAACCCGAAGACTCTTCAGACTCTTCAGACGCGGCTCAGGTGCCCGACCCAGGGCCAGGAGATGCAGGGTACACCCCTTTGCGACGGCGATTGCAGCGACGAGCTAAGAAATCTAAGAACTTGCTGGCTTTATCGTGGACAAAGTTTGTACATATACTTGTACCCGTACTTGTCTTGTAATAATGACTAGTACAGCAAATATTAATAATGTATTCCCTCATACTTACTGAATTTGCACGTGGGGTTCAATAGAGGGATCGTGACCCATGCAAGGCTGACATATATCCGACACTTTCATGATGAAGGCCTGTTGCAACTTTCCAGAACGCGCGCCACCATCGCAATATCTTCGACAGCTAGTGTCACTGGCAACTTCCCTCAGATATAAATCTGCATTCTTACCTTGCAGGTGTTCTAGACTTCTTCCACTTCTTGGGAGAGCAGCTGGTGATGCGCGAAGAAAATAATGCAGATCAGGCCCCCTGCCAGATGTGTGTGTACAGGTCTCTCCACCCGAAACCTATTTGAAGATTGCCCCTGCAGGTTTGGGCAGTTGCAGAGATCCTCTACCACATTTGCACCACCTTTGATCCGCAGGACCGCTGCTTGGTGATCTGGGCTCAGAGGATAATGACAGATATGAACGAAAGATAACGAAAGTATGTCCACCGCTCTGATACTTTTCCGCATGCTTGTGAATTCAATGCAGAGGTTCAAGCAAACAGATGTATTCTGTTCAATCCACTGCAAGACATGTTTCGTCTTGCACTAGTAACTAGTATCACTAGCATTCTCACCCCGCCCGATTCTATCTTTGCTGGCCCAAAGAAGGGATGCAGATGCAGCTCTTGCAACTCTAAGATGAAAACTTGCGCAGCCACTGGCTCGCGAGAGATATGTGACTGCAAGCACGACTTGAAACTCCACGTGCTGCAGCAGCACACATCAACAGATGAAGCAACATGGACCTTCTTGCAGCTGTGGCCCATCAAGACTGCAAGACGCATAAAAAACTCCAATTCTCATACTCCTACTGTAAAACGCATGTTTCATTTTTGAAGCATCGTGCAAGATGCAAGGCCTTCGGGCAGCAAAGGTATGTAAATTTAGGGACTTCCTTTCACTGATGGTTTTCGCTTTGAGAGGTCGGGCCCCTATTCCCCTGTGGCAGTGTGCATGCTGCAAGCAAGCACGTGTGCTGGGACATTTGAGCCATTTGGGCCGTTTGGGTCCTCCACTCTTGGAGAATAGTCATCGAACTGGCCGTGGCAGCTCCGCGATGTTTTCTGCTTCCGCATTGTGTGCTCTCTGCAGAAGAGTGGCCAGCAGCCCAGAGTCAAGACGTCTATTGCAGATGGCTACTACAGCTGCAGTGACAGCAGTGACATCGGAGATCGATATCTGGAGCTTTAATCTGCGGACTGAGCTGGTCAAAGAAGATGACCTTGAGAATTCCTGGCCAAAGAGACGGGATGAGGTTGCCGCTCTCATTGGTAAGTACAATCCAGCAATCGTGTGCGTTCAGGAAGCAACCGTTGCAATGCTTTCTCACCTTTCTTCAAAATCAAACGGCACTTACCAGTGGAAGGGCATCTCACGCCAACCTAGCAAGCCGGATGAATGTGCCGGATTTCTGTTCGATGTGGAGCAAGTGGAATTGCTGAATCATTCGGTCTTTTGGCTCAGCCCACCTGGGTCGCATGATGGCGATATCGGTTGGGATGCGAAGCTTCCAAGGACCTGTGAGACGGCAGTGTTCAAGATACATGCAGCGCATGCAGCTTCGGCAGTCGGGCCACAGCCGGAGTCGAAGGCAAGGGTTCAGTCCGGGTTGAAGAATGTACTCAGACATACTCAGACTCAAACTCAAACATGCTGAAATACTGATGCTGGTGACAATGCTCCCCCTTCTTCTGATTTCTTCTGATTCTCATCTTGATTTTCTCATTCACCATATTTCACCATCATAATTAGAGGTACTCTCAGTGTAGGAAGGTTGCCTCGCTGTGAGGTGCGAGTCTTGAACACTCACTTTGACCACGAAGGGATCATTGCCCGCTCAGAGTCCGCTGCGCTAATCATGGATTCCATCACCAAGTCTTGGCAGGACATGCCTGGGTGTCCACAGGTGTTATGCGGTGATTTTAATTCACCGAAGAGTAGTGAGGCGTATAGCTTGCTATCTGGAGCATTAAAAGATGCGTTCAGATCCGTCGTGGCCGCAAACATTTGCACTGCTGGAGCTACAAGCACCATTCACAAATGGCAGGGCTTATCTTTCAGTGAAGAAATGGGGGATGGAACTGTCGACCTCTCCGGTGAGCATTCAAAGGAGGACACTTGCCACATTGACTGGATCCTGTGGCAGAATGGACGGGCTGACCTCGGATCGACAGAGCTTCAGCCGTTGAAATGCCGTGTGGTCACAGATAGAATGGCCAATGGTCGATATCCTTCAGATCATTTTCCGCTTAGTGCAACTTTTCTGGCAACCATAGCCAGCAATGTCCAGAGTCGATTGTGAGTAAAAACAAGCTCTCAGAGCATTCCTTCGTGTAAATCTGTCACATCTTTCACGTGTGGCTCTGAACCGCGGCCAGGAGATGTGGAAGAGGCGGAAGGAGCAAAAGAAGCAAGCTGCTCAGACACTCAAAGTATCTCAAAGTATTCATCACTTGCCCAGCAGAGCATGTCACCAAGGAGAGATCTGTCAGAGCTTCTTGCAAGAGACAAGGCGGACAGCAAGGCACACTTCCCTGGAATATACTATACATACTAACATACATATTTGGACTATAGAGCTCCACACTTGTGAGATCTGGGAACAAGATGGAAAGCTTTAGAGCAACCTAGTTCAAGTCAGAGAGAACCCAAGTCTTGGAACTGGTGCCAACAAAGCGTATGACAGATGCAACTTGAATTGCACGTTTGTCAATGTCTTACTTTCCTTTTTGATTTTCATTGGGTGATCATACTGTGGCAATTGCATTTGACCCCTTTTGATTCCCTGACCAGCTCATGGCTCCGCAGTCTTAAGCTCAGTGACGCCGTGGAGTGTCGAACATTTTCTTCAAACTGTTTACACTTACAGGTTTTTGTTTTTTGGGCCCGGAAAAATCGAAAGTTCTTTGGTTTTGGCCCAACAAAGAAGGCAAAGAAGAGAATTGAAGTTGCAATTGACTATATTAGATATCCCGTCCTGCAGTTTGCTCAGTATGTTGCAAGGTCCTCAAGACACAGCCGGTTCGGTACATCCATGCAGACATTTTCAGCTGACGGAAGTCTGAATGTTTGCTACTCAGCAGCGTGCATCTTGCACAGAATTCAGGCAATTGCGCTTGTCATTCCGATGCAATGCGCTGCAGATGGTAAACACATGCCAACACCAAGAAACCCTCATTTAGTCAACTTTGGTCGTTTTTCTTTTGCACCAAAATTCCATGTGACAATCTGTTGAGGTCTCAGCATCTGTGATGCAAAAGAGCATCATACAGAAGAGCAGCGCGTGTGATACCCAGCATCAGAACGATCCTTCACTGCTGTCACTGCTGAAAAACAAAACTGCTTGCAGTTGACCTTTCCAGGCTCTTGAAGAAAGAGTTCCGCAATCCTTTGGGCAGCGAAAAGAAGCAGAACATGTTCCACAATCCTTTCTTTGTGGACCTAGCAGAAGGGCTCCTTGGGCAGGAAATGTGTGCCAGTTGGGAATCTACAGCTTGGCATGGCAACAGACATGGCTCGGCTCCATCACAAGGTCTGTCCGAGATCACAATCAGCTCAATCCCCACGTGTCTGGAGCTAAATCTGACCACATGGGTACATATGGGTACCCTATGCGGGGCTGGTGAGTTCTCCGGAGAAAACAATGTCGTGTTATGATCTCAACATGTCATCCAGACCTTGAAGGTAGCGTGCTTCCGTCGATTTTGTTCCTTCATGACCTCATTTCCAGCCACCAAAGCCAGTAGCCCAGGCGAGGAGCTTTGGATGATCGCGCCGATCACAGTGAAAAGGTGCTTCTAGGCTCTCGGGTCAATCGGCAGTTGTCTCTGGTTGTCTCCTGTCATTTGAGTGATTTTCCACGACTTTCCACAAGATTCCACAAGGCTGTGCCAGTGTCAGCTGGTGCCTTTCAAGTGCGTACAAGGCTATCGGTCTTTCCTGGAAAAATGCACATGGATGAGTTCCCTGGTAAGTATTCTGCGCAGCTCTTGCAATCCCGGCCATGGGCCTCAGCGCTCTTAAGCAAATTTTCACTGCTTGTGTTGTCAGAAGTTTTTGGAACCCATCTCACTGAGGCAAGCCAACGACGGGCTCTGAGTTCAAACTGCCTGGAGCCTGGATTCTATCCCCTGATTTTACATCTCTTCCTTTGTTGCAGCTCAGGCCGTACCTGCTGAATTTCGTATCCTGGTTCCTGGAATTTCACCGCTGCCAGCATGCTTTGCAGGCTGCCTTTGCAATATTGGAAAGTCGGACATGGCTTTCTAAACGAAGCAGTGCAAAGAAGACAACTCCAGGATGTTTTGATTCGGATTTTGCAGACACATGCAAGTGGTGTCCACCAAATAACAAGTTCGATAAACAACGACAAAAAGATTGCAGGTTCTCATCCTACGCACTGTGACCTCCATCAGCATATTTGAACCTGACGCAAGTAAGGAGATGCTGCCTATCCTATGACTCAGCCAACTAGTGGCCACATAGGACATAATATGCATGAAGATGCATGATAGGATATTTAAAAGAAGATGGAACCCATAGAAAGGCCTTCCAATCCAAGTAAGTAGAACAGAACCATGCTTTGTTCCTTGTCCACCTCTGTTTTGAGTCTTGATGAGTTAAGTGCACTAGCTCAGTGTTGAGTGGTCTAACTTTGTTGACATCTCATTTGGCACGAGTTTCACAGCACATAGAACATCCCGTGCTGTAAATGTCAGCTGCAAATTAAATACTTCAAAGGCTCATTGGATGAGCTTGGGGAGTCTGATGTGAGACATGCAACAGGTTGCTGAAGCCAAGAAGAAAAACGAGTCGTGGCAAGCTCAAGTTGAAAAAGTTGAAATGGACCAGCACCTTGCCCATATTTGCCCATGATATCACCAGAAGTCTGATTTTCTGGCCGTTGCCAGTTTTTGCCGATGCAAACCTCACAGCGAAAAATCCCCATTTGCGTTGCATTATTTTTGCACTTATGTAATCTATGGAATGTCAATATAATATATCTATGGATATCTATGGATGATGTTCCCATTTTGAAGATGTCCCATTGGCATGTTGGACCTGTTGGACCGGGTAGCAACGGTGGATTCATCAGGCCACCAGACTTGGACATTGCTGCACTTCAGGGTGCCATTGTAACCACCTCAGAAATCCCTGGAAAACCGGGAGATCCAAGTGCACAAATCAGCGTGGTGGTTGTTGGGCTATAGACTTGTGTGTGTAATATCTACATGTGTATACGGTGTATACATATATATATATAATATATATATATTATATGTATTTATATATATATATATATATATATTATATATATATATATTATATATATATATAAATTATAAATAATTATAATATATTATATAATATATAAATGATACATATACTATATTATATCAAGACACGTATCAGAACACATTTGACAACTAGCCATTTCCAAGATAAACAGCAGAGGTGAGCGGTTCCGGAAAATCAAGCGCAACTGGTTTGGGCTGAATCTGATCTGAATAGGCCTTGCTCTATCGTGCAGTTGGTCATGGCAGGATGTTGACATGGTCCAGTTCACTACTGCTCGTCTCCGTGACTTTGGAAAGGACTGGGCAGTGAGTCACATTTGACATTGACATATTTGACATGGCCAATCACATGTTATCACCTTTCCAGTGGATCCAGTGGCCTGCGCATTCTGTGGCAGGTGGCCCAAATGCACCAATCGCAATTGATGGTGGCGTTGCGGGTCCTGAGCCAACAGATCCAGACCATCAAAGTCATGACAGAGTGCCCCAGAGACTGCCAGGGGTTGGGACACACGTATGCAGCTACGCATATGTACATGATGCATGTGTATCACACACACACATATATATAATACACACACATACATGTATATTGTGCGCATAAATGTATATACAGTACACAGTAGGTGTATGCACATTAAACCCACATTCGAACGTACATGTTATCTCATGCAACTGATTGAGCCCCGTTCAGGTGTTCTGGCTCTGACACCCGTGACTGTGGAGACATTCTAGTGCGGCACCTGGTGAAGGTGCAGCAGAGCGCTGATTACGTATTTGGATGTTTTTTGTCTTCCAAAATTGTCCACACACGTTAACTGCACTGAAGAATAGTGATACTGTTAAATCATTACTTTCACATAATACAGCTCGAGTCACAAGCATGCAGCCCTTTGGTGTTGTTAAGTGCGCTGCAAGACTGCAAGATCGCGCAAGACTGCAAGCAAATTGCGGCAAATGTTAGACAGTGTGCAGGAAGACATCATGAGTAACGTCGCCTGGATTATGAAGAACTTCAAGACATCTGTCCACGACCCTCGTATCCTCTCCTATTCTGTGGAGGCTTGCAGTACAAAACCTTGGAACCTTGTACAATCTTCAGATTCGTTTTTTTTCCCAGTCAAATGGACCAGTCGGTGTCACAGGTCTGGCAGCTCATGATTCTCCTGATGAACAGATTGCACGAAAGGCACCCGCTTCCTTGCACACGCGATCCAAAATGCCCTCCAATTTTCACTTTTCAGGTATGACCAGTCGACATTTCAAGCAGCAATCTGAGCTGAATACGGGTGACCTGAGACTACAATCGGAGCACGAATTTGTTTTCCGTTTTGATCAGAATGCGGTCACCACTTCAGTTCTGAATCTTTTAGATGTTCTGCTGGCCAAGGTGGAGAGGGTGCGTGGAACCCACATGACAAGATCCGATACCACTGTGGAGCAGGAGGTCTCAAGTCGGCACCTTGGGTCTGAGCCAACAGAATCAAATGCTTGCAATTGCTGGCTATTCATTGCTCATTCTTCACCATGATTTCTGGCTTTTCAGTTGCCAGGCCTGTCAGATTCGCGGGTGATGCAGAACTTGTTCCACTTGATCGAGAAGTTAGATGCTCAAATTTGCAGATGAATAACTGTCATGATGTTGGTGATCATAGTGAGCATGGTGAGCATGGCGACCATGGTAATGCTTTGATCATGGTGATGGTGCGATGTTATGACACACACACACACGTGTAAATTATATATATGATATATGTATATTATAGTGGTGATCATGATGACGACGGCACAGGCACCTTTGAGGAGGTAAATTTGGAGCCGGGTTTGTTTGCTGTGGCATGTTTTGTTGGGATCAGAGTGTCACCGCACCGCTGCTACCAACTTCACCTCAGGTATCGTCGACTCAGCGCACCCTTGCAGTCGATGCTGGTCGAACTGATCTACAGCATTATGAAGGCGCCCAGTGGGTGTTTCCAGACCCCACGATGCTTCAAAATTGGACCATCAAACCTCCTGCCAACCTCAGCCTATCCTTGGTTCACTTTTTGGTTGCTGGGGCATGTAGAATGATAGTTCACGATTTAATCCATAGTGTACTGGTTCATTTTGCTCAGTTTTTATTCCATGTTGGTACAACTATTTCTGGCAACCAATGGCATAATGGGGGGTATGCTGATCCAACCAGGCACATCACACCAACATCGTCATATTTTTTGAGCTCACCTGCTTCATGCGTACCTCGGCTGCCTCGGAAATGAAGGGAGCTGGTCACAGGTGGTGGTGGCTCGGGGTCCGAGGCATTTACCGCATGATGACCGACCCTCTGCTGACCAACACGAAGAACAACAGCAAGTACAAGGACATTGTTGGTCTGATGCCAAGGTTCACAATAACGCCAGTTCTTTTGGTGCTGCCACAGTGTGTGAACCAAGGCCTTCTGGAGTTTATTTTGGAGTCCTTTTTTCAGTGTGCACAAGTCAACAGCTGTGTCTTTGCAGAATTGTCCAGCTCTCAGGTCACCAAACCTGGAAGTGCCAACTGATTGCAGCGTGCTTTCGCTGCTCGCACTGCTCGCACCCTGAGGCTCTTTCGCAAGGACCAGCAGAAGGGCGAGATCGAGTGCCATGATAGCACTTAAATCATTTATATGTTGCTGGATGCTGCTGGAAACGTCTTGTATACTGTAGCTTGTCCAATGTGGCAAACTGAATAGCCATGGCGGTTCATATACCCCTGCCAAACAGGTCAACGGCAGAATTTGCAGCCATTCTTGACGACTATGAGGATGAGACCTTCCGCCGTGATGTTCTAGACAGGACAGGTTGAAACACATTTGTTCCTTTATCAAATCACTTTCCAAAAAGCCTGACATGTCCAGTGGATTCCAGTGGTCCTTTGGTGATTCGCACGAGTGAGAAAAGTACCTTTGCAGGTATGAAGCTGGAGAAACATTGAATCAACTGAGGGAGAAGCAGTAGTAGACTCAGGCTGCCAAAAGTGCTTCTTGAAATTGGAAGTATCGTGAAGTATCCATATCCCGTTGTTCGCTGAGGAAAGAGATGCTGAAAGGACAACAACCTTGGACAGAAGAAGAAGACAAGATCTTGATGGAGAACTACCAGCTGTGCTCCGGGGGCGACTGAGAGTTGATCAGATTCTCCATGTTTTGACGCATGGCCAATGTTGATACAGGTACGCAGATCATCCACTTTGCGCTGATCTCCTCAATTCTCAACTGCCGGAGACAAGCAGGCGTACTGTGGCGCAGGCCACCATGACGCGCTCACAATCGCTACTTCTATCATCTTCTATCGCACAGCTTCACACAGTTTCGGTTTCGCAGAATGTCTTTCATGTCAGATTCCAGCCAGAATTTCCTGTGCTAATGCCAGCAACTTTCAGAGCTTCGGGGAGAGAGGGAGAGAGAATGAGAGAGAGAGAGAGAGAGTAAGAGAAAGAGAGAGATGATATGTTGGATTCTGTTTTGCCTCGTACTGATGACTTTGCCGCAGTGCAGGTGCGAAAAAGATTAGCCGAGCTTGGCCTGACATCTGCCAGAGGCGAAGCTCAGTCTTTCGGTGGCGCCATCCTGAAGCAGCCACTGAAGCAGCCACTTTTTCACATTCCAAGTGTGTCCCATTGGGCTCCCATTGGCAGAGTGCCAGGTAAAGATAAAAGTGCTGAGGCTTGGGACGGAGATGAATTTTCAGTGACGCTCAGAGCGAAAAGGTAAAAAGAATGATGGGCCATAAAACCCGCTACATGAAGTGGGAGTGAAAAAACCAGCAATGATTAAGTGGAATCAAGACTGATAGACTGGCCTTAACCAAAAATGGAGAGTTCGTTTTTGGTGCGTTGATCTTTATAGTATTGTAATAGTGCTCAGTGTCTCTAAGCACTGTGTGGATTCCACAAGTCTGTTACCATCGTGGATCCCCGCAGTGCTTCAGATTTGTTGCAAGCCGCCACGACAGGACGACAGGCCATCCAAGAAGGCTAAGGCGCCCATAGAGTTCTGCGACAGCCGTGACTAGCAGTGACTAGCCATGGCTTCACACTTCTTGGCCAAGTCTTAGAAAGGTCTCGGAGCTTCACCTGGAGGATGAAGGCAGTGGCTGTGTAATATGGATATGGCATGTTCCATGGGATAGAATTTTTCTGACGCGCTTCAAGGCCCAGCTCCGGAATCGCCTGGGACTCCGAAACGTCACGCAGATCAAGAAGCGGAGGAAATGTTGGAAGAAGATTTGGAACGATTGTCCTAGGCTTACTTCCTGCGCTTTTGACGCATTTTCTACAAGTTTGTGTCTAATGCATGTTATGTATATATATATATACATACAATTATACAATTATATACAGTATATATATAATATGTATATATATATATATCATATATATATATATACATATCATATATATATACACCATATATATATACACCATATATATATATACACCATATATATATATATATCACATACACACACATATATATATATACACTCTAATATATGTATATATATATATAAACCTCCACAAGGATCCATAAGGGTTTTTGAATATCACTCACCGTGAACGATAAATGAAGACCGAGTAGTGCAAGAACACGGGTATTGCATACAGCATGTGACATTTGCGTTTGTGCTTTGACAGCTGAGGTTGGACTCAGCATATGACAGTTGCCAGAAAAATGCAAATGCCGGAGGAGAGAAAGTGGCTTGGCTTTGCTTGAAGCGCTCCATGAATTTACATGACTTTGTCACTGTTTGATACGGTTTGTCTAAAAATCGGGTATATATATATAGACATACATATAGCCAAAATATGCCAAAATCCCATGATTGATATTTGGGGCATCCCGCATTTGTTTGATCCATGTAGTTTTGTGGGTTTTGTGGCACGATTTCACCGAGGCAGCTGGCACTGCCACCATGTTGGATCAGAGTGCCACCCAGGCAGCTGCATCCAAATGGTGGAGAGCATGGTTTGGAAAGCACGTGCATGACAACATTCGCATGTTGTAGATTGTTACACCATAGGATTGATGCCCCCAGCTTGATTAAAACATGTTTCCTGAAATGATACTGGTGATTGTTGCCTGTTGATCAAGAGTTGAAACCCAGGACCCATAGAGCTTTTTCATGTTGGGATATTTTCCGTAGTCATCTAATGATGTTTTCGGATCTTTTTAGAGTTCTTAATCTTCAGCCATGCCCATGTAGAATCATATGCTATGATTGGCTTCGGATCAGGACAACAATCTGTCAAATTTGGAGATGGAGATGGAACGAATGCTGGATGCAACTTGGCTGGTGATGGCTGGTGGAAAGGTGCATGGCGTTGTTGGTACACAGACGGTTTGTTGGACCGCTGGAAAACAAAGGTTTCGGACACTTTCTCATTTGCTTAGCTACATTTCGTTTGGACAGGACCGGTAATGTGGATCGCCCTGTCCAACAAGTTTTGTCCATGGGCGGGTCTCTACTGGCCCTAAATGTGTCCTCAGGAACCTGACGGCGATGCGAACCAAGCTCAAGGCCAAGTTGCAAGATGTGCAACCGCAGCAGCTTCCCTGTTTCATGTGTTGTTCGAGTGAAGTCGTGTGCAGGCAAAGCTCCAACGCAGGCAGGTTTGCCGTTGACAAGATCATTGAATTTGCATGGGGATGGCCATGGGGTTGGTGATGATGTGATGAGACTGGTGATGAGACTGGTGATAAAGATGGGGATGATTGGCGATGAGACTGGAGATGGTGTCCCTCGCACATGTAGACATGTAGTTGTGTGAGAGACCAGGCCCACCAAGACTCGCGGGGGCGTATTCTGCATATGTTTACCTCAACTCTGTGCTGTGCATGCACTTCTCATCGTGTATCACCTCATGTTTGGCTATCGATTTAAAAAGAGTTCCCTCTTTTGTTCCAGGGAGTGGCAACTACACAAGAGGAACCAGATAGCCTGGAAATGGAACTTGAGAAGATGATCGATTCTGCAGGGTGCTCAAAGCGTTTCAAATCCACCCACTTGGATTTTCGAGCTACACACAATTGCTTCGCTTACTGCAACTTGAGGAAGTGATGCAGTCGCGGGAAGATGAGAAGAAGGATCAAGGTGCCATATCAAGAGTGCTCCTCATCTTTGTTTGTACTGCTTTGTCCAATTCAAATGGGATATTACTATATAACTACCAGTTTGAATTCCATCTGAATCTTGACTCATTGAGTTTCTTTGCTGGACCAGATGATTGAGAGTCTGCAAAGCCTGGATGACAATACCAACTTTTCAATTTTCTACTTGTATTTTGAATCTGCTTCCTCCCATTGAAACCCTCAAGCTTGTGCAGGCAAAACTCCAACGCAGGCAGGTTTGCTATTGATAAGTTCCTAAATCATGTGATGAGACTGATGATGATGAGGAGAAGGAGGAGAGGGAGGAGGAGGAGGAGACTGGTGATAAAGATGGGAATGATTGGCGATGAGACTGGAGATGGTGTCCCTCGCACATGTAGACATGTAGTTGTGTGAGAGACCAGGCCCACCAAGACTCGCGGGGGCGTATTCTGCATATGTTTACCTCAACTCTGTGCTGTGCACTTCTCATCGTGTATCACCTCATGTTTGGCTATCGATTTAAAAAGAGTTCCCTCTTTTGTTCCAGGGAGTGGCAACTACACAAGAGGAACCAGATAGCCTGGAAATGGAACTTGAGAAGATGATCGATTCTGCAGGGTGCTCAAAGCGTTTCAAATCCACCCACTTGGATTTTCGAGCTACACCCAATTGCTTCGCTTACTGCAACTTGAGGAAGTGATGCAGTCGCGGGAAGATGAGAAGAAGGATCAAGGTGCCATATCAAGAGTGCTCCTCATCTTTGTTTGTACTGCTTTGTCCAATTCAAATGGGATATTACTATATAACTACCAGTTTGAATTCCATCTGAATCTTGACTCATTGAGTTTCTTTGCTGGACCAGATGATTGAGAGTCTGCAAAGCCTGGATGACAATACCAACTTTTCAATTTTCTACTTGTATTTTGAATCTGCTTCCTCCCATTGAAACCCTCAAGCTTGTGCAGGCAAAACTCCAACGCAGGCAGGTTTGCTATTGATAAGTTCCTAAATCATGTGATGAGACTGATGATGATGAGGAGAAGGAGGAGAGGGAGGAGGAGGAGGAGACTGGTGATAAAGATGGGAATGATTGGCGATGAGACTGGAGATGGTGTCCCTCGCACATGTAGACATGTAGTTGTGTGAGAGACCAGGCCCACCAAGACTCGCGGGGGCGTATTCTGCATATGTTTACCTCAACTCTGTGCTGTGCATGCACTTCTCATCGTGTATCACCTCATGTTTGGCTATCGATTTAAAAAGAGTTCCCTCTTTTGTTCCAGGGAGTGGCAACTACACAAGAGGAACCAGATAGCCTGGAAATGGAACTTGAGAAGATGATCGATTCTGCAGGGTGCTCAAAGCGTTTCAAATCCACCCACTTGGATTTTCGAGCTACACCCAATTGCTTCGCTTACTGCAACTTGAGGAAGTGATGCAGTCGCGGGAAGATGAGAAGAAGGATCAAGGTGCCATATCAAGAGTGCTCCTCATCTTTGTTTGTACTGCTTTGTCCAATTCAAATGGGATATTACTATATAACTACCAGTTTGAATTCCATCTGAATCTTGACTCATTGAGTTTCTTTGCTGGACCAGATGATTGAGAGTCTGCAAAGCCTGGATGACAATACCAACTTTTCAATTTTCTACTTGTATTTTGAATCTGCTTCCTCCCATTGAAACCCTCAAGCTTGTGCAGGCAAAACTCCAACGCAGGCAGGTTCTTTGAAGATATTTTGAGTTTGTTAATTGACTTGCATGCAATAGTTCATGACCTTGATTTTGCTCCAGGGAGTGGCAGCTACAGAACAGGCGGATAGCCTGGAAATGGAGCTTGAGAGGATGATGGATTCTGCCGGGTGCTCAAGATTATTTCAAATATTTGTTCCTATTATTTCAACTCTTCCCAAATTGCTGCTGCAAGTGTCTGTGAGTCAGACTTCCTGAGGAAGTGACGGCCACACAGGATGCTGATGAGAAGCCTCAAGGTGCGGACCATTTTTTAAAACATACTTTATTGATCTCAAGTGACATCTATTGAAGTTATATAGCTTCCATGCATTATTGGTATATAACATAAATGATCATAAATGTATATAATTGATTCTCATGTTCCAGAGCTGGGCACAGGCGAAGAGCCATCACAGGCAAGATGCGGATTTAATCAGTGCAACTGGTTTCTCTGCCTTTATAGAAGATCTTGAACTCTTGGTAGGAAGCTCCAAGATCACAACATGTTCCAGACAGCCTGGAATTGGATATGGAAAGACTGATGGATGACTCTTGGCAGTTCTTCGCAGCCAAAATGCGGCTCTTTGATCAGGGAAAGGGAACGCATATTTGTGCATTCTACCACCAGCTGCAGACAGTTTTGCAGTCACAGGGGCTGATCTTGCGCGTCCTTCTTCCGTTGGCCTACTAATGACACAAGACCAAAGTGGCTACGATCTTGCACGGTTTATTTGGGTTGACAAGACATTGGCTTCTGCCGTGAACTTTTTGTAGGGTCCCCCAGACCTGTTCATAGGTGGGTCTATCAGAAATCCCAAGGAAATGTCAGCTTCGGCCACGCAAAAAGGGGAAGAAGGCCTGCTGACCTTGGGCCTTTGAAACAAAACACGCTGCTGCAGCCGCTTTGCATTTCCGAAATTTCTTTCTCTCGAAGGCTTCTGTGCTGAGCAGAGCGAGGCACAGACACAGACCATCACAGACCTAGATTTTCTTCGGCAAATAGTCTGGCCTCACCAAATCCGTAGCTGCCAGGAACTGCCGGCTGCGTGCCGCGCTGGAGGGTGAACTCAGCAGACAAAAGAGGCCAGTGATGCAAGCGGGGTTGAGTCGGTTGAGTGATCCGGAAGAAATTGGATTGTTTCTTGCATGAAGCTTTCACCCTGTGACAAACGCAAATGGCAAGGAGAAATGCCCCTTTCCAACATGAATTGCTCCATTTTCATTCATTTTCCACCGCTGTGCCTGTGTACTGCTCGTTGCCGCGCACAGGAGACTTTCACCTGACTTGAGGCGACAGCTTGTAGCAGCTAGGGATAGCTAGGGAAAGTTCAAAAACGTCAGCTGAAAGCTGTAATGATGCCATGAACATGGCGCAAGTCCAGTGAAATCAGCTTCAGACAGCGTCAAACTTCACTTGATTTTTTGCAGTTTCGTTGTTAGTTGCCTGATGTGTCATCATCTTGATGCTGGAGAACTCGGGGAAATGCTGGTAGTATTTGGTAGTCATTTTGAGAGAAAGCCAGAACTTGGTGGAATTGCTTTCAAGCTGGACTGGCAGTTGCTTCTGACTACCGTCAGGGAGCATGGGGTTTCTCAGGAAGTTCCCTCAAAGTGCCCAGTGGGGTTGGGCTTCGGGAAAGCCTGCGTCAAACGGAAAACACTTTCAGCTGGCACATAGCAGTGATTCTGTCAGCTAAGTTGCCGTTGGATGAAGAGGAGATGTGTTGGACTTTGTCATGGACAACAGTATTTGGACTGTGGTTGCGGACTCTAAATTCGAAATGGGTTGCTCCTGGATAGCATTTTGGCTCCAAATTTAGGTAGATTTGCTCTTAATTGCTGCCGCACCAGGCCCAGATGCATCAGAGGGTGGAAGCCATAGACAAAATCTCGGGGACTCGGGGATATATATATACATACATATATCTTGGAGGTATTCAGTTTGTATGGCAATCTTCTTCAGAGGTTACACCTATCCGGTTGTCCATTTGTTCATTAACCAATTCGGTGAATATAGTTGTGAACTCAAGGAGTACGGGTGTCAATTTCGGTCAAATTATATAGTATACTTTAATATTAATTTAGTCATGTTCGGTCTAGAGGACATGTCGTAAATGGTGTTCTGGGCAGTGAGTGTCGTGGGAGGACAGACTTGTACATTCTGACGTGGCACAGAAGACGCTCAAGTCCTTTTCGGAATTTTAAGACATCTCATGACATCTCCATATCCCAAGACGGGTCCTCTTCACACCCGTCACACGCGCCACACCTCTGATCCTCCGAACATTCAGGCGGTGCTTGCAACGAGCAGCCATGAGCGCCCTACAGAAGATTGCTGAGATCGAGGTTGGTCTTGCTAACTCTAAGATTATGCTGGTGGTGATGTTCGTTGTCCTTGTGACTGTTGTGATTTAACTTGATGACAATGATAAGTTCGGAAGTTCTCCTGGGACATCATACAATGACAGCTGTGGCTTCCAACATGAATATGAATGAAATAGTTGAGATTGTTGCTAGCCTTCCAGGTGTGTAGCGAATTAGGGGTTGCTCTCTTTCTTGGTCTTTTAATGTTTTTTTCAAGGTATGAATGCCGAGACTTTAGGATGGATCGATGTTTTTTTTCCCACAGCCATGGACATCGGTGCCATTGAGGCCGAAATGGCCCGGACGCAGAAGAACAAAGCAACCAATGCACATCTTGGTTTGCTGAAGGCAGGATCCCAAATCCATTCCCAATCTCAAACCCATACTAGTAGAAACGATACAGTATGAAACACATCGAAACACCAATATGGTATTTGTATCTTACTACATCGTACTATGTTCTCTTACCGGTACGCTGGTATCTGACGAACTTCTGTCGATCAGGCGAAGCTCGCCAAGCTGCGTGCCACGATTGTGTCTGAGGGCACCCGGGGTAGCGGCGGCGGAGGTGGACAACAGGGTTTTGAGGCGCTGGTGGCGAAGCTTTTGGTGAATTCTTATGCTGGGATGACAATGATTCCAATGGTGGATGTCGTGTAAAGATGTTGTCTTGTTCGCTGGCCATCTAGAAGTTTACCATAGTTTACCAAATTACAACGCGGAAATCATGAAACTGCGAAGGTCTCCAAGACCGGAGATGCGAGAGTTGGCCTTATTGGCTTCCCATCCGTGCAAAGCTCTGCAGTCGTGTTGCTTTTGTTGAAACGATTCGATCGATTCATTGTCGTCGTTCTCGCTTTTCCTGGGCAATTTCGAGTGTCGAGGTTGGCAAGTCAACCTTGCTGAACAAGATGACAGGAAGTGCCAGTGAGGCCTAAGAGTGGAATGTTCGAGCTGAGAGCATGTGGCTTGGCCTCAGCTACGAAAAGAAACAGCTTTGCAGGTGGCTTCCTATGAGTTCACTACGTTGACCTGTGTCCCTGGAGTTTTCAACTACAAGGCGGCAACTTCTTTTGGCGAAACGCATGCTCCGCATGCCCAAAACATCCCAGTTTCCTGGAACCAGATTGTTGGAAGAGAATTTCTCCCCACTGTGCATTGCCAAGATGACTTGTGTGGACAAAGTCTCAGCCTCGCAAACGTTGGCTCTGAGTAATGTTGACCAATACGTAAACATTCAAAGCATTCAAAGCCATTTTGATTTCTTGCGCATGTGAAGAAGGGAGCTTCTCCAACATTTTCTGGAAGACAGTCCTCTTGAATGCCCTTGACTGTCTCTTGCAAATCTATTTTTTGACAAATTTGGATGCTGGCAGGGTGCCAAGATCCAGTTGCTGGATCTACCAGGAATTATTGAAGGCGCTAAAGATGGCAAGGGCCGAGGAAAACAGGCTCGGAGGGGATCATGTGTAGATGGGTGGAACATGGTGGAACATTGGCAGGAACATAAACCACGCAATTACATTTTTCTTGCAGTTTATGTGCTTGTCTCGTGATGCAGAGTGCACTTTCACGGTGCCTCCTTTGTGAGGGTGTGTCGTTGTAAATTGCAGGTGATCAGTGTGGCGTACAGTTGCAGTCTTATCCTGATTGCTGAAGCCTCAGACGACAGGAATGTCTCAAAGTCTGCAACAGGAAGCTCAAATGCCTATGGTAGTGCCGGTGCAGTTCAACTATTGGCGTAGGTCGAAGATTGCTGGAGTAATGTATCATAAATCATGGATCCAGATTTGTAAATGGATGTCCAACTGGTATAGCCGGTATAGCGATTTTCTTTCCGCAAGTGGCGGGTGATGGAGATGAGGTCCTCGATGTGATGAAGCCCATTCTGCATAAACGCAAGATCGAGTATGAGCTCGAGGGCTTTGGGTGATCCACTCAGCATCTTCCGAAAGGGGTGTATTGGGAACTGACTTAGCATGACTTGGCTTAGCATGTTTACTATTTGTTTTAATTGTTGGCATGTTTACCAACATATGCCAACATAATTTGTTTAAAGGCTTGAGGTACTGCTGGATGCAACAACTTGCACATATGATAGTGGTGTCCATGGCCTATCCATGGCCCATGGCAAAGATGGCCAGGATTCGGCTCAACAAATCGCCACCAAACATCCTCTTCAAGAAGCGGGACTGGTGCTTCTGCTATGTTTTTCTGTTTGCAGCTGCAGCTGTGTGGTGGCCCATCCAGAAAAACTCCAATTCACAATGCTGCTGTAGCACAGACTGTGATGTTTGCACTTCTACCTGGTTGATTTGCGGTTTGCTGTAGCTGTAGAACTTAGCAGGACTTCTCAGACTTTTGGTTCGCACCTGGCTTGTCCATTGCTGTAAGAAGACATCACAGCATTTCCAGGAGAAGGGTGGCATTGCTTTGAATATGGCTCCTGGCTGCGAGCTGCAGGAGCTGTTGAGTGAAGCCCAAGGTGAACCACGGCTGTTTCAAAACACATTGAGCTGCAGAAATATGTGAAAGAGGTCAAGGCGCAAAAGCAGACACTTCTAAAATCTTCTAAATGTCGGGTGAAAGCTGCCTCTGAAGGACTGCGATGAAGACAGTATCATGCAGGCACGGCCGCAAAGCGATGGCAAGCAGTTTTCACAGCACAGCTGTGCTTCCGAGGTGCTCCGGGAGTACAGAATATCCAATGCCCAAGTTTCCATTAGATGCAATGCAACTATGGATGACATCATCGACACGCTGGAGGCTCGTGTTTACGAAGGGGTTGAGACTCGTTAGAAGTGGTTCTCTGCGGGGGTGACATTTAGATGGACTTGCCAGGGCAATCGAAAGTACTGCCCAGCGATTTATGTGATGAACAAGATTGACCAGATCACCATTGAAGAACTAGACATTATTGCAGAGGCTCGTTGCCCAAGATGAAATGTGAATGTTTGTTGAAGAGTGAACCAGCAAATAGACTGCACAGTCCATGCTTTGATGTGAGGTGCCACATCATGTTCCCATTTGTGCGCATCACGAATGGAATCTCGACGGTCTGGTCGAGATGATGTGGAGATATATGAGTCTTTTGAGGCGGCAGATTGGGTTGCCAACATTGTAACATTTGCCAACAAGATCCAACAAGAGACCGACGTTGGATTTGCTGAAGTCTGTTTGGTGTCTGCAGGATATACACCAAGCCAAGAGGTCAAATCCCTGACTACACCGTGGGCCTTGCTGCATTGCAAAAGCATGCAAAAGCTATATTTTGGAACCCTGCCATTTTTCAATGTAAATCATTAGCCAGGCTCCAGTGATCCTCCCTGCAGAGAAGAATAAGATTGAGGACTTTCTGCACAGTTCAAGTGATTTGCTGATCTTTGCAGCAGAATCAAGAGAATGATTGCAAGATAGACCTCGGTCAAGCTTTCATTTTCACTGACAACTCCAGGACTTCTGTCTTCGAATTCACAAGTCTCTGTTGGGACAGTCGCGGCCACAGGTCTTTCATAGCCAAGCTTTCTCATTGAGCTCCGTTCAACTCCAGTAATGACGCCTGACCTCAGGTTCAAGGTTGCTCTGGTGTGGGGAATGTCCGTGGTCCCTGCCTGTTTTGAAAGAAACAACGCACTCAACTGACTCAATATACTCAATTGCCCATCGAGAGAATTGCAGGATCAACTGAGAAACAACTTCTGGCCTTGGAACCAGATAAATCAAAGATGTTTTCTGACAAGTACGGATGACCTGTTGCACACCAAAAATAGCACGGCTGCAATGGCCGCTCACGGACTGAACAAACCAAGCGGCAGGTAAAACACAATCCTCAAAGATGTGGCAAGGACCATCCTTTGATGGATGAGGAGTGCAGTGCAGTTTTTTTCTGATGTGGCATGGCATGATGATCATGATGATCATGATGATCATGATGATCAGGATGATCATGTGGCGCATGTTGATAGTTGGGCACCGCGTTCATTGAGGATGTGGTCCAAATCATCAAGAAAGTCGGATAAAGTCGGATAGATTGACGGACCTGTTTCACCGTGGACTTGGAGAGCAGATCGCCTCCAAATCTTGAGAGACAGTGGCACTCTCAGCCGCGCAAAGTAGTTTAAGATGTTTAAGCCGGAAAAAATGGCAGACTGCACGATTGCCCTTTGTTGCTGGATTTTCTGGATTGATGATGATTGATGATGATTGATGATGATTGATGATGGTTGATGTATAATGTATATCATATGTACATTATTATATGTATATTATATAATTGAATTATTGTATAAATGACTTCCAATTTGAAGGCAGATTTTGAGGGTTTTCCTGGATGTTTGGTGACCCACCCACGCATGAAGCTCTTGCGACTTTTGTGTGGCTTGCAGCTTCACCCCAGTCAAAGTCAGGGATTCATAGTCATTGCAGTGACAAAAAGTCTCACCTTGGTAAACTACACACAAACAGCTAAAAAATGATAGAAATAACTGAAGACATAGTGATCTTTGGTAATTATTAGAGTTGGCCGCCCCGGAGTACACGTAGTTTGATATCCCAATTGTGAAAACACCAATAAAAGGAAGCGGTTCATGGACAGAAATTGTAACGCTGCGAGACGCAATAGCGAGCTTCAAGTAGTTCGGCCGATGGAGAAAAAACCATCTGGCAATGGTCTTGACTGGGAGGTCTCCGAGGACATTAGTCGTTAGTGCAAAAATCAAAGACCTGACTGGCAGATCACAAAGGTATGTCATGATCTCAAAGTCAAAGAAATATATATATATTTTTCCGGAGGATCTTAAGGAATGGCGGAAATTCGATAGAGGGTCTTGCAAACAGAATACTGGAATACTTCCCAGGCAAGACTAACTTGCCGATACCAGTATCTGATACCAGCATCTGGGCAGGAACATTGGCAGCAGAAGAAGCCTCAGGAAAGTCCCAGAGGTACAGCAGTGATCCTTGGCTAACTTGGCCGTTCCATGCCATTTCATCATATTTCATCCAAACATTGGAATCATGCGGCATCAGCTTTGGACGCCGCTGAAGCACACCAATTTGTAGCATAAATGAGGATTTCAAGATTTTCAAGGACAGACAGATAGACCAAACTAGTTATATAATTACCCTCTGGTTATTTAACATAGCCATGGAAAATGGACCATTTGTAGATGGTTTACCTATTAAAAATGGTGATTTTCCATGGCTATGTTGAATAACCAGATGGTATCATTAATTATCATCAATTATCATTTGAAACTGCAATTTCTCTGAGCCAAGGGATGTGTCCGTCGAGCCGGCAAGTGCCGGAAAACTCAGCACTCTTCAGTCGCCAAAGTCCGCGAGTCAAGAAATTGTCGGCGGCAGGATCCGACCTTTGCATCGTAGATTAAGCTCTGCCAAACTCTTTCTGCACATTCGATATTATTCGATCATATTAGAATATTATCGTAGAATATCTATGAATATCTATGATATGTCATGCCAAAAAGTGGACCATCATAATCTATCATAGTTCATTCATTGATGTTCATTGTACAATTCAGTGCGGGCTCTTTTCGCTTCAAACCGCCAAGGCTCGGGCCACCACTGCACCTGCCAGCCCTCAAAGTACCAAGGCCTGAAAGCTTTCGCCATGGCCGGACATCCATCGACATCCCAACGTTGCCTGAAATTGGACTGTAAGCTGTGCCAGGCCGGGCCAGTTGGACAGTCGGCCGCGACCACAGTTCACAGCCGACCAAATCATCCAGGGTCGGTTGCGAATGACACCCTGTGTTGCTCTGTTTTTGACATTGCTCCTCTCGGGGTCCATACAGTGTATATAGTCTGTGCAGACATTGGTTTTTGAAATTCTTGGATTACTTCATAACTTCATGACTGATATATTTGCACAACTATTTCTCAATGTTTGCCTCCGTGATTGGGGCGTCATTGCACGGGAATGGTTGGCATGAACCCAGGTGATGCACATGTCAACTCTTCGGCGCGCGCCGAAGTATAGCTTTCGCGGTGTCAAAGACAGGTGCTACTCTGTTTGCATTGCCCGTATTCTTCCGCATTACCCTTATTGCCAGTGCCACAGTCAGTCTCACTTCCATACGGATCAGCCGGCGATAGCTGACATCCTCTTGACGCATTCATCCTTTGCAGCTTTCTACCTTGTGCCAGCCATTGAGAGGTTCCAGACTCGAGGTCTTCAAGCAGCCTCTCAGGTTCCTGGGTTAGCTCCTCAAAAAAAAACGGTAAACCGTAAACGGCTTCTTCTGTGCCGGATGCAATCTCTGCCATGCACGATGGTAAGAACTTTTGAGGCCAGGAGCATACGGTAGAGCCGTGGTTGCACCAGAGGCGAGATAGTTCATCGGAGTTCATCGTTCAAACTTGACATTGGTTCGCTGTCAAATCAATTGGATTTATGTGGTCTTGGATGAGATTCAACACTTTCGAACAACTTATTTGATTTTACTTGATCTTACTTTGTACATCTTTGTACAGTGTAAAGTGCATCCCTGGCACGGGACAATCAAATTGCAGGTTCTCTCCTCACGGCACCGGAAAAGCCCTGGCTATGGATTTGGCACCAGCGCCAAGCAGGTGCCGAAACAAAGGGGCCTTGGGGCTTGTCCAAGACGACACGGACTGCATGAAACCAAGGATGAAACCAAGGATGAAACCAAGGATGGAACACTGTTGAGCATGTCTAGAGTCTAGAGAAACCAGGAAATGATGGATATGGAAAGGTGTAGGTAATAATGGTAAAAAAAGGTAATAGAATGTAATAAATAGAGGGATATACAAAAGGGAAGTGCATGAACCAAATATTTCATTCTGCTGGCTTCAGGGTGACATCGAGATCCGAGCGCCTGGTCCTGGGACGTATCCCAGAGCTTCAGCAGGCATGACAGCATATGACAGCTGTGTTCTGAGACGTGTTTGCTCATGAAAACAGGATAAAAAAGGAGCATGGAAAAAAGCAGTCCCAGCCTCTAAAGTAATCAGCTCTTGCTTGTTCTAATGTGCTTTGGCATTAGGCCCATTAGGCAGTCTCCAAATTAATTAGTAGATCTTCCAGACTTGTTCCATCGGCAATTTCCTCATTAATTTGTGCGAGGCTTTGTCGGTGGCAAGGCATTTTCTCTGACACCACGACGGTGGCCGGGCCCGGGCCCTCCACCGGATCAAGGTAGTCACCTGTCGTGGGAATCCCAGGTCCCAGCAGCCTTTCCAGTCTGGGACGGTAAGTGTCAGTTTGGCGCACCGCACCGCACCAAGGCCTGGGCCTGGTGCGCACGATGTTGACAAGTCCATCAGAGGGTGCTGGTCTTATGTCACTGTGGTGCCAAGACTCGGGAATGCTGAAACATGTCTTGTTTGGTCTCCATTTGAAATGTTGGTCGCAATGTGTTCCAAGTAGCTTTGCTTGTTTTTCAAGTGGGGTGGAACCACCAACCCAATGTACGCGGACGCCAAAACTCAACATCACGATGTGGCACATGAGCGGTGGACAGGCCAAGTTACAGCATCTCACCAAGAAGAGCGCCCGATAAGGTCCGCTTGTTTGTTCAATTGATATTGTTTGACGTTCCGAAATGCTCAGAATAAATAGTGAACATCCAGATGATGTGTGTTGCAGCATCCTAGAAGCTTCATCCTGAATTGGGAGCGCGCGCCAGGGTGCTGCTCTGGTCCCAGGGCCTTCTCAGTATGGAACGATGGATCGTGCGCTGGGTCAAACCAAGCCGAAGCTTCCCAGAGCACCTGACATGGTTTGCAGCGTGTTACAGCAACTTGTGTGGCTTACATGGACCATCATAGAACAAGACTTTGCAGATCTTTGAGATGTTGATCATGTTGCTTTTTGAACAGCTGCCAGGTTGGGGCTTTGGTACCACCAAACGCCCAGGCGGGCATGTTGTGCGCTACAGTAGTGCTTTCCAGTTCCCTGGATGCTGCTTGAGATTCAGTACCCCAAGGCCACATCTTTCACGATGATCGGCCGGTTCCTGGAGTGAAAGGTCAGAACCTCAGTGGTTTTGATGAGAACCTACAGATTGAGGTAGCCCTTTGCCCAGCTGTCCTTCGTGTTGAGTGGATCCATGACTCCATGATGTTGGAGCCAGAACTCTTCAACTTCTTCCTGGGTTTGTTTAAGGTGATGTTTTATTTTCCCAATGGAAAATCCACCATTTGGGGAATCTATAGAATCTATAGTGAATATTTTTAATTTTTGGGAGACCCCTTAAGCAAATCCAAGTCTTTGAAACCTAAATGATCTATATAATTAACTACCGGCAAGTACACTCGGGAGCTTTTTCATTTATACTACCTTTACAGCACCCTAAAGCACCCTACAGCTAGGTCCATTCTCTAGTTCTGCAGACAAAGATCTAGTGACCTGACAGTGATCTACCTAGCCACAAAGATCGCAAAGGTTCCAGGTGCAGGACGCATCCCTGCAGTGGCACTCGTGGCAAACTGTGGCAAACTGTGGCACACCGTGGCACTCGAGGAAAGAGCGGTGCTTCAGCCTGGCTGTCCAAACTACCAGGGCCTGGCTCGCCTTGACCTCAGAGACAGAGACAGTGGAGGTGTGGAGGCACCATGATGAAATCAGTGATCATAGTGAAATCAGTGGGTTGAGGTTTGGCAAGTTGAAATATCCATGACATATCCATACTCAAATCTCATCATGCCTTTTTCTCACACAGAACGAACTTGACTGGACTTGTGATGCGCTGAATCCTGGAACATTGACGTGACCTGACTTGCTTGAAGCAAGGTACAACACTCCAAGCACTGTTGGCGAGGGTCCAAAGTTTACCCCCCAGTGTCCAGTTTTACATTGTTTTACAAGTAAATTGCAGTGCACAGCAGGTCAACTTAGTCAACCTCACAGCAGTGGCTGACTGAGGTACTCTGTGGGCGCTCGAAGGAATCTTTCCCGAAAGGTTCTGTCACCTGGACCAGGCCCAGTACCGTTTCTTTCTGGCGTTTCAAGATGAGTATAGCCTAAAATTGATCAACATTTATCAAAACTACAAACTTATTGGGAAAATCATGATGAACCATAGGATTTTGGGGCAACCCATTTTCAGGTAATCATTGATATCATGATAAACCAGGATGAAACAATTTAGTCAGATGAATTCAGTTTCCAAACTGATCTCCTATGGTTGTATCCTTCGCAAGGAGACACTGGCGGCTCCGATCTCAGATTCCATGGAGCCGGAGAGCTGCCTTGTTTGGTTCGAGCGGTTCGAGCTTTGATATTGAGATACCCTCTGGTTAAACTAACAGTTTGCTATTGAAAATGGCAATTTATAGTGGATATACCCATTAAGTTTACCAGAGGGTATGTTGCGATGTTGAGGTCCCTATACGACCTTCGTGTGACGGTTTAGAGCTTGGTTTGTGACGCCCGAATCTTGCGGGAACGCATCAGCGCGAAGCGCAGAACATGGAATTTGCTTCAGCCTTGGTATCACCAATTTGCTGCAGCCCTGAATCGCGGGGTGGGCACGCATATTTTTAGTCCTCGAAGCATGTACAGATCTTGGTGACAGGCTTTGCACTGCAATCTTTAGAACAACGTTAAAACATGTTTAAACATAAGTATTAAAACCATTTAACTCAAATCAAACTGATCTCTGGAGCAAGCAAGATGAGCTTGTTTTGTGGTGCATTTCTGGGTCAGCCGAAGGCTTTCCCAAAACCGGGCAGAGACTCCTGGAAACGGGCTTTCTGCCCCAACGCGGAACCCAACCGTAGAGTTTTCAATGACTCTGTAAGAAGTTGCAGTCTCTCTCCCCCTCTCTCTCTGATTTGCATGTCACTCTTTGAGTTTGAAGTGCCCGAACTGAGCAATGCCTGCAAATCACTTATTGTGTTGTTGAGACAATTTTCCTTCACTTTTCCTGATTTGTTGCGAACGACACTCTTTTGGTTCAGCATAGTTGCTGCAGATCGACGTTTGGGGGGTCAATCCTGCGCCATCATCAAAATGGCATCGTTCGCAACCTGGTCACGATCTCAACCTTGCCATACCATACACTTTGGGACAACTTTACACAAGCACATTCCAATTCATTCCAGCTCTCATTTTTCCTGAGGCAGGACAATATCATCATGCTGTCTGACAGCTACAAGGCTGATTTATCACAACTCAGAGCCCACTCAGTCAGTCCAGCAGTGGGATTTTGGATGGAGGATGCTCCATTTGTGTGGATTCGCCAGGTGAGCCACTATCGGCAATATCCTCCAGGGACCCAATATGCTTGCAACTCAGGGTTGCATTATGTTGCTTTTCTCGCAACAGTGAAGACAAGATGCCGTTCATTAAACTTCAGGTGTACAGTTATTTCGAGAGCCGTGGATGCGACCGAGAGGGTTGGACTGAAGTTTGCTTCTTCGGCCATGAGCCTAGCTTTGCACCTGTACCTATAGAATCTTGTTGAATCATGTTGAATCCGGGCTGGGACAAAGTCAGGCAGATTTAGGTAGCATCTGGCACGACATGCTATTCTCTTAGGCTTACAGTATTTTCTGAAGCGCTACTTGACTGGCCAAGTCGTCTCGATCTTAGCAGTGCCTGAGACTCTGGGCACAAGGTCCTGGTCTGGATCTCTGAGGTGACACGGGAGAAGATCGACCAAGCTGCCAAGATGTATGCTCAGCATTTCGGTGATGGGACCAGCGACAATCCGGTGAGGGGCCCAGGTCGAGCTCGGTCTTTGGCATTTGACAGCAGTTGGGTATGTCCGGTATTGTCCGGTAAGATTGGGAAGACAAGATCTGTTGGTTTTCAGTTAAAATTGTCCACTTTTGCAGCATTTTAAAGGTTCCCAATCGCGAGAACTCGAGCTAATATTCATTGAAGTCATGCCAAATTCCGCATACATATTTCCATGACCCTGGAATCTTAAGGACCTTTTCTACCGTGAAGGTTGGGAGTACATCCTGGAGAAGCACGGAGGACGTCTTCCTGTGAAGATTAAGGCCGTGTCATATCCAATTATGGAATGTGTGGAAGGATTGGAAGTGTGCATAAACTTAATTGTAACAAGCTGTATCAGAGACTGTCATCGACAGAATTGAGCAGGCACTTCCGGAAGGAACCGTGCAGGGCTCATGATTGAGTGTTCTTGTGTCAGTATCTCTCAATGATTCCAGTATTTCTGGGTACATCTGGGTACTTTGCAGGGATTATGAAGTGGCCAAGGTGGTTCCAACCAAGACTGTGCTCATCACGGTGGTGAACACCGACCCAGAGTGCTACTGGTTGACCAACTTTTTGGAGACCCTCCTGGTGCAGGTTCGTTCTGGGCAGACTGGGATGTCCCGGATGTCCCCTGTGTCAAACTGCCAACTGGGAAGATAGCAATGCGGCAATGCCCTGCTTGGGTGATCCTCTCCAGGTTTGGTTCCCTATGACTGTGTGCACCAATAGCCGATATCAGAAGCTTTCCATCCAGAAGTACTTGGAGGACTGCTATCGATGGTGTTTGTGCAGTCGCTGGGGGAATGATGGGAATGTAGCTTCTAAGTCTTTGTGGGGAGACTTTGGTGCATCAAGTGAGATTATTGGATTAAAAACTGTAGCTGATTTTCTTCAGAGATCTTTATACGTAGTTACATCATGTTACATCCAGCGACATTTGTCTTTGTTGCCAAAAGCATTGCTTCATCTCTTTGCGATCTGAAACTTTTGGCGCACCATCCTATTGCCTCCACAGCTGTTGTTTCCTGGATTGAACAGGAGACAGGATGCGAGGATTGGAATCCTCCTGGAGGCTGGTTTTTGATGGTTTTTGTGCCAGGTCAAAGGTGGAACACCATGGAATACCCCATAACACCATATAACACCCCTATCATGCCTATGATATCTATGATGCTTTGGCGGATTCGATTCGTTCGATTCTTGGCTTCTCCGGTCCTGCGGTGGTCTCTCGGAGGAGCAGCTTTCAAGCTCCACGACTTTGGCTTTCGTGGAGTGTCTTCCGTGGAATCCGCCGCCATGGGTGGATTGGGTCTCGCCCCTCAGCCGTGGCAGATCTCAGCATGCGATGGGTAGCACAGTGTGGGCCCACCGTGTCGGTCACCACATGACTCACATCATGAGGCCACCTGGTGAATTTTATGGGCACCGACACGGTCATCTCGCTGGTGGCAGCAGAGAAATTCTACGGTGCCAAGCGAGCGGTGGGCTTTTCGATCCCGGCCTCAGAGCACTCCACCATCACCTCCTGGGGTGTGGATGCCCAGGGAGCAACAGATTAGCAACCGCATGAAAAGGACACCTTTGAACTTCGACGTTAGGATACAGCCAGACATGGCTTAAATATGTTTAAATTTCAGATTGGTTGGGATATTATGATATTATATTATATGATATATTATAGATGATGTTTGTGAGATTTAAGTGGTAAGATCCGGTGAGTTTCTGTCACTTGTCTCGAGGAGTGGATGGTGAACTGGATGCGATGCGAAATATGCTGGATCAGTATCCCACCGGTTGGAGCCCTGAGAAGCACATGCCATGAGCTGTTGAATAGTTGAAATCTGTTGACATGATTGGTAACATTGCAATTTAATTATATAAATAGGTGGAGAATTGGACATTAAAGGCCATCAGTATAATATAATTAATAGATATTAATAGTTAATTAAACAATAAAATATAACTAATATTAATGATAATGATAATCACAATAGAATATATAACAATCAAAATAATCAAAATAAGCATAATAGTCAGAATCATGATGACAATAGTAATAATAGTAATAATAGTATAGTCATAATAGTAATATTACGGGCAAAGCCCTCAGTTTGCCCGCGCCGACGCCGACGACATGTCCGAACATCAAAAACACTGTGTTTTGTGGGACACAATGCACATGTCCATTATCATGGCTTTCATCTTGCAACGCACAGCTTAGCTACCTGTGCGTTGAATGTTACAACATCATCATCATCATCATCATCATCATCATTAAACTCTTATTGAAGATCTTCAATGAATGTAGCAGTTTAACGGGGGTGGGAGAATTAAACCCTTATTGAAGATCTTCAATGAATGTAGCAGTTTAACGGGGGTGGGAGAATTAAACCCTCTAAACCCTTATTGAAGATCTTCATTGAATGTAAAGTTCAACGGGGGTGGGGGAATTAAACCCTCTAAACCCTTATTGAAGATCTTCACTGAATGTAGAAGTTTAACAGGGGTGGGAGAATTAAACCCTTTAAACACTTATTGAAGATCTTCATTGAATGTAAAGTTTAACGGGGGTGGGAGAATTAAACCCTTTTTGAAGATCTTCAATGAATGTAGCAGTTTAACGGGGGTGGGAGAATTAAACCCTTTAAACACTTATTGAAGATCTTCATTGAATGTAAAGTTTAACCAGGATGGGAGAATTAAACCCTTTTTGAAGATCTTCAATGAATGTAGCAGTTTAAGCAGTTTAACGGGGGTGGGGGAATTAAACCCTTATTGAAGATCTTCAATGAACGTAGAAGTTTAACGGGGGTGGGAGAATTAAACCCTTATTGAAGATTTTCAATGACTGTAAAGTGTCGGAATTTATATTCCTTCAAAATCCCTAAGAAGTTGTGTGGGCGAACTGGGTTTTTGCGCGTAATATTAGTAATCATAGTATTAATAGCAGCAATACTAGTAATCATAGTAGTAACAGTCGACGTAATAGCCGCAATAATGGTAACAATAGACATTCATAGAAAACATAGTAGTATATTATATAATCATAACAACCATACACATAGTATGGGTTGTGAAACCGTCATGGATTCATTGGATTTCAAGGCCTGGTGGCGTGCGTGAGCGACTCCTTCGATGTCTTCAAAGCATGCAGGGAATACTGGGGCGATGCGTTGAAGGACAAGATCAAGGGCCGTATCAGTCTGGGACTCAGATTTCCCTTGGATAACCCTGAAGATGGCTATGAATGGATAGTGTTGGGATGTGTTGGGTTTTGTCCTGGAATACATGTCCCAGTCACAAGCGATAGAGTACTCAGCATGGTTTGCATCAAGATGAATGGCCAGAGGATTTGCTGTTTGAGGGATCATGAGAACTAGCCAGCGGGTGTCAGTTGGAGGGGTCGTATTTGTTTAAGCGGAAATCCTCGAGAAAAGGAACGTATGGGATGGTATGATTGGTAAGGGTGGATTAGGGTGGACGTACAATGTTGTCCACACACACTGAACATCACTGAACCCCCTTCACGTATTTGCTGTATCTCCATTTTCATCCGAGGCGAGACCAGCTTTGGACAGTTGGTGGTGCGACCGGACAGTGGCGATCCTGAGGAAACCTGCGTTGCTATCTCAGGTCCACTGGTATCCACTGGTCAACAGGGGGTGGGACATGCTGGGACATGGTGGGACACACTCAACCAGATCTCACCCATTCTCTTCAAACTGAGGTTGCTATCATGAAGATCCTCCTGGAGCAATTTGCTGATGAGGTGACGGAGACAAAGCCTGGAGCCCAGAAGCAGAGATGCTGCAAAAAATGATAAACATGGAGGCGGCAAAAGAGTACTTGGGGTTGTCCGAGGTATAGCATATAACTTGCCATTATTTTGCCACTTGTTACTTATTTTCAAGACACTGTCTTGAAGGGTACTCCTACTGACGACCGCCCGGTTCTTTGCAGCAAAGGACTGGACACAAACTGCTTCCGCCCTACATCCGGGTGATCCAGGGCGATGGTGTTGGGCACCCTACATACGTCGACAACGCGTTTCCTTCAGAAATTGGAAGATGTTTCTTTTGATGTTTATTATGGTTGTGTCTGGATTTCACGTGAGAACATGCAAGGTTGACTACCAGTCCATTCCGAAGATCCTGCAAAGGTTCAAGGACATCGGTTTTGAATGGTTTTGAATGGTTTTGCGAACATGGTTTTGCTTTGCGATTGCAAGCATTACATTCTGCTTCTTTGATCTTCTTTGATTCCTTTGCGTCTCTGGAAGAAGCTAGGCAACACCTACAATTCCTTCCCACCTCTGAAGACCTGTGTGCCTGGCCCAGGAGGAAATGATTGCAGCAGCTAACATCACCTTCGGCAGTGGCCCTGACCTCATGTGACAGGTGATACAGGTGTTTTTGTTTCCACTGCCTTTCCTGAACGATGCAATTCTGAGATAAGGGGATTGCAGTCTGGTTGCAGCAGAGATTGCCGAAGGAAGTTTAGAAGTCAAACTTCCGACAATATGGACAGATGGAAAACCAGAGGTGGGAAGAGTCAGAGAAGAAAAAAGAAGAAAGAAGATCAGAGATGAGAAAGAGTCAGAAGATGCAGGTGCACGAATATGTAGGAAAGTCGCGAAACACTGTGTTTTTCCAATGATTTGTGGCACCGGAGGGTCGAAAAGTAAGCTCGCTAAAGCGGCGGGTGCGGAGCCATCTGGCCAGATGAGAGATGAAAAAGTGCACGCCGTTGTGGTGCGAAGCACATTTCGAAGTCAAAATGTGCAAAACACACCAGGTCCGGACCACTTTTGGAAGTTGAGATGTCGAAAAAGTGCACGCCATTGTGGCGCGAAGCACATTTCGAAGTCAAAATGCACAAAGCACACCATGTTCGGACCACTTTTGGAAGTTGAGATGTCGAAAAAGTGCACGCCATTGTGGCGCGAAGCACATTTCGAAGTCAAAATGCACAAAGCACACCATGTTCGGACCACTTTTGGAAGTTGAGATGTCGAAAAAGTGCACGCCGTTGTGGCGCGAAGCACGTTTCCAAGTCAAAATGTACAAAGCACACCAGTGTCGGACCACTTTTGGAAGTTGAGATGTTGAAAAAGTGCACGCCGTTGTGGCGCGAAGCACATTTCCAAGTCAAAATGTACGAAGCACACCAGGTTCGGAGCATTTTTGGAAGTTGAGATGTCGAAAAAGTGCAGGCCGTTGTGGTGCGAAGCACGTTTCCAAGTCAAAAGCACCACATGCTCAGACCATTTTTGAAGGTTCAGATGTGGTTTTGCGTGGCAGGCGCAAGGGATTTTGCATCTTGCCAAAAGTGAGCAAAAGAACGTGAGGGTTTTGTAGCTTTTCCAAAAACGATGGGAGGCGTGGGGTATTTGAAGAGGACTGGAAAGATGCATGTCACTTGGCAGGCGCAGTGCAAGAGACATGCTTATCAGAGTGTTAGGAGGTCAGGGCGCCGATTTCCTGAGAGGGGTTGCAGTTTGGAGCATTTTGAAAAATCGCAAAACGCATTGGTACGAGGCCGTCAGCTCTGCACTCAACTTTCCAGTTTTGAAGGAAGTCTCGCAGAATTGCTTTGTTTTTTGAGGTTCTCAGCTTCGAAAACTGAGGAGTCTCACAGAATTGCTTTGTTTTTGATGTTGCCAACTTCGACAATTGAGGAAGTCTTTGCAGAATTGCTTCGCTTTTGACGTTGTCAAGTTGAAACATTCCGGACATCTCGGAGAATTGCTGCGTTTTCAAGCTAGATAGATTAGATGAGATGAGATGAGATTAGATCAGATCAGATCAGATTAGATAGATAGATTGACAGATAGATAGACAGACAGACAGATAGATAGATAGATAGACAGATAGAGAGATAAACAGATAGACAGGTAGATAAACAACTGCAACTACACTACGCTACATTACAGCTACAGCTACCACTACACTACAGCTGCAACTCAACTTCAACTTCAACTTCAACCCTAACCTCCACTTCAAATACACTACAGCTACAACTACCATTACCACCGCAGCTACAACTACAACTTCAATTTCAAGTTCAGCTTCAACTACACTACTACAACTACAACTACCACAACACTACGCTACAACTACCATTGCCACCACGGCCACAACCACAGTTACAACTACAGCTACAACCACTACAGCTACAACTACCACTAGACTACTACAACTACGGTTACCACTACATTACAACTACAACTACAACCACAACTACAAACACAAACGCAAACTACACCACACCACACCACACCACACTACATTTAGCATTTGTGGGTGAGGTGACGACTGCGACCACTCCAAAAACACAACTTCAACCACCTTTCGGTCCATCAGTGGATTCGCTCTGCCATCCGTGATTCACAACAACCGTCCTCTCCTATAGGTTTCCTATTTTTGAAACTTCCGCCACCGCCTTGTGCGGTACTACTGGTGCTACTACAATCTACTGCGTGTTACAACCACGTACCTTGCTTTGTCCATGTTTCTCTCTTTCTTGCGAGGTGGAGCTCTTTTGCAGAAAGTCAACCGCGATACTTTCAAGGCGCAGCATGTTTTCAGGATGTTTCCACAGAACTGACTCGCTGGCTTTGTTGACGTCGCCGGTGGCCTGTCACCTACACAACCATGTCACTCGCAGATTGCCTTCAAGTGCGCGGAAATTACTCTCGAGGGTGGAGAGGCCTGTTATTAACTTATGATGTTGGTGTTTTTCAATTCTTGCTCACACTTCTGTGCTGAAGTGGATGTTGGCCGTGCTTGGGGTTTGCCTTGATTGCTTCACATTTGGATGTAGCGAGGCTCGAGAAGTCTTCAAGGATCCGCTTACTGATGATGGCAAGGTAGGACCAACAGTTGAAGTATCCAATGGTTGAATTCAACAAATCAACATGAAAAAAGTGGGAAAACCAGAAAAACCAGATTTCACCCTGTATTTTCGCTTCCAACATTGACAGGTCTAGAGTCTAAAAATCATCAGTTTTATGTAATGGAGTAGAGAACATGAAGAAGAGGGCTAAGAGAGCTAGACTCTATACAGTCTATACAACCTTTATTTCTTGGGGAAACAAGATGCATCAAGATGCATTGTGTCTTCCGAAAGAACCAACCACATGTCAAAGCACTGTCTTTGTAGGGCCCTGGAAAAAGTTGTAACCAATCAGCATCAATCAACATTTTGTCCACCTGAAGGCTTCCAAGAAAGGCCGCCTCACTCTGCAGAAGGCGTCAGCGACTCAGCCTTGCGGAAAGCAACAGACTGTTTCAGTGACCTGGTGTGACTTCGTATGACTTCGTAGTACCACTTGATGGGAAAAATCGGCGACATGGACCATCAGAATCTAGACGTGCCCGGAAAGGAAGAGGTTGTCGAGTGACTTTTAATGGTTTTTTCATCAGAAATCCATGTGCACTTTTGAGGTCCGACATTGCTAGCTACTCTCCAGAAGACATCTACAAGCCACGTGAAGGAGCTGATGGCGTGAAGGGTCCGGCTGCCTTGAAATGGGGCCACTGTGTGAATGAAGGGCACAGTTAAAGTCTCAGCAGACAATAATGCCTTTGCGCAAAAGTTTCATGTCTGTTACTAGGACAGTTCTTGGAGAAAACTTCCAGGTGGAACTGGTTTCTTGCACTTCACTCCAGATGGAAACTATGTCACCGTGGCCAGTGGAAGGCCTTTGACTGCAGCCTCTGAACACCGGTGTTTGTGTGCCTCTCGATCATTTGCTGCGATTCATCACTGCCTACTAATCCCTGAAGTGGGCCCTTTGGGACCAAGCACGCCCACACTGGGATGTGTGGAATATCCATCCTTGAAACATGTTCTCGACATGACTCAGACAATGCTGTCAGGGGTGACCCTGAGAAAGACCTGCTGGCAGTGCCGCCTCGATTGATAAACTATGATAAACATGATGCATCAAGCTGGTGCCAGCCATTCAGGACAGTACAGGATCTTGCAGGATGGCTGATGGCTCTGCCAGGTCGATGTCTTCGAGAATGGCAAGCTCCTCAAGGCGCAGACGCCAGGTCTTGTTTCTGGAGCACTGGGGATAGTTCGGGAGCAACAAAGTGCACCATTTGATGGTCCACTTCATTCCATTTGAAATCATTTGAGATATTTGAGATTATTTGAGTATGTCTTCCAGCTTTGAACTGTTGAATCTGGAAGCCACTGAAGTGTTCTGTCCGCTGTATCACCAGAGCAGCAGGACTACAAGTTGTCTGAGATCAGAAAGCGGGCCGATGTGGAGAACGGCGGTGACCTTGGACGTCACCAGGTGACGTGGGTTCAGCTGCCATGGCCATGGATATCGAGGTCCATTTGTGAACCTCCCAGAGGACCGATTGCTGTGAGACCCTTCCAAAAATGGTAGTGATCTTGATTGATTTGATTGAGATTCATGTTGTTCAGCCAATGATGCTGGTCCTGTGGTGATATGCACTCGTTTATCATCGTTTATCCAACTGGACAGTCGTGTTTGATTTATATGAAGTTTAAATGGGCTACTGATGGCTACTGATGCTACTGTATAGCTTCATGATATGGCGGGTGCATCAGTGGTACATCGCTGCCATGCTGGTCCCATGGTGTCCTGCAGGAACCTGAGGAGCGGCCCTCAGAGAGTTGGACCGCTTTTTCCAAACGTAGCTGATGGATCTGATGGTGGTGAAGCCGCAGCGCCGTTTCAGGAACCCGAGCCAGCCCCAGTTGCAAACTTAGCTCTTGGGGCCTTGGGGCACCTAGGTGATCTAGGTGTACTGAAGCCTATGAATCCTCAGACTTTAAAAGTCTTTTGGGTTCATGGAACTGATCATTGCGGGAAGCTGAAGACCTGATCTGAAAACGGTATCTTGGGATCATTGGTGTCAGGTGCCACAGGCTGCTATCAGGCTGGGTTCATGAGTAGGTGATGTTGTTTGAGGATATTTGAGGTCTGTAAGTCGATGAATTCTCAACACCAGACTAGGTTTGCCTAGAAAGAGCATTCTACCTTCTGCTGTAAGCTCAAGTTCAAGCAGCCCTGACGCTGCAGTATAGCTTTGCAAGATGTTGCAAAGCCTTGGGGAAAAATCTCTGCAGAGATCTGAAGAGGCCAACTTACGTCACAGTGCCCTTCCCAAGTCAGAAGGTCCAGCACTCAAAAAGGCGTTCGATGATGAATTTGAAACCAGTCAAACAATAATCACACAATATTTTGACATATCTTAATATATTTTAAATGTGAGGAGTATTACCAGTTGAGAACCACCCTTGAAGGAAGCGTGTCGATGCACCAAGATCATGACTACCGCACCTCCTGGAGCTGTACGAATGATTCCTGTTTGCTCCTTATCCGTAGAATTCATTAGATCATCGTAGATCCGTGCTTTCCTGCAATTCCAAGTCATCACTTATCACTGTATCACCACTTATATGATATCAGATATATCAGGCTTGAACCATCTTGAACATTCTTGAACCAATCTCATGAAAACGACTGTCGGGAATCAAAGCAGAGCAAACATTTTCATGAAAAGCAGACAATGCATTTGTGCTGCTTACAGTGTGATTTCTGCCAACCTAACCTTTTTTATTCTTACCTTCGATACAAGCTTGCTCAGATGATGAACCGGCCCAGCTTTGTCGCGGCACCGCAGCCAGCTGCAATGCCCCAGGTGCAAGCCAGAGACTGGCAGTGATTTGAGGATGTTTCGTCCTTTTTTTTTTTCCTCCACTTGGTGACATCCAATTTACCTAATTTGCTAACCTGGAATGAGCTATGCAGCCCATCAAAGGTGAATCGTCCAGCAAGCTTTGTGGCTGCTCCTATGGTATTGAGCTTGGTGACGTGGGCCAGTCCTATTTCCAGAGCTGGTCTTTGAAAAGGGGCCAAGAGCGCAGTAATTTACAATGTATCAGCCAAGGAAAAGCTAGACAAAGCCTCATTCATCTAATGTTTTCTTTTTTCCCCATGTCTGTACGTAATTTCAACGCAAGTTTTGTTCAACTCCAAGTCGGGCTTGCCATGCCATGTGCACGTGAAGTTGTTTGAAGGCTGGAACCCAGCCACAGGCACAGTCCATGCCATCATCTCAGCTGCATTTGGACACAGATTTGTGCAGCATCCACCGCTTGGTAACCATTGTGATCCCATCCGTTGCTCAGGTATGTGCCGTCTCAAATCCGACCGGTCTTTCCAATGCCAGCTCAGGCGCAGAATCATCAGAAAGAGATGCAGTGGATACAGTGAGAATATGTAAGAATCATCGTGGAATTAACATAGATCACTTTGAAGCAAGGTCTTGACAATGTCTTGTTATTGCCATCCATGATGGCAATGGACTAACAAGTTATTATCAAGTAAGAACATCTACAAACCATTAACATCCCTCAACCATTCACCATCATTGACTATTGATTGACCATGGCATATTTACGGTGCTAGCTTTGCTGACTTGGATGATTGCCGCAGATCTCCCATCCAAGCTTCGTGGCCCCTGCTCCGGGTCGTGCAGCCCTCAGTGTTGTGGCATGATCTGTGCTGATGAAATCAGATTTGTTTATTACTAATGATAACACCAATAAATGAATAGATAATTAATAGATAACAATATATTATACATAATATATATATACACCTTATTATGATATCTTACGTGTATATATATATGTATACACATAATTACCAAATTACCTATATATGTATACATACACAGCATGTTGCGAAAATATTCACGTGATTCGTTTGTTTCAGCCGGCTGGAACCCAAGGACCAAGCTTTGTAAATCCAGGACAACCTATTCAGGCACGACTTACTGCAGTCAATTCGCCACTGATTCCATGGCCGTTCCAAAGTCTTGAACGCAGGCCCCTGTCTATTCAAGTCAAGGACTCCAGGCAGCCAGCTGGGTTTGTCCAAAAGTAGGGTACCCCTGAAATCCCATGGTAAAAAACATCATTTTGCACAATGATGACATGGCCTTTTTGGAGGCATTCCGCATTTTTGGACAAACAAAAAGTGTGTTGAGAATGTGGCGATGTCATGAGGCAACAGTGCGACCTGGCGTTGTGATGACAGCTCCAGGTGCACAAGGAACTGCTAAAATAGATCACAGTGGATGTTGGGGGCCAATTTATTGGATGATGTTCACCAGCATATGGGTATGGGTCAATACCTATAGATACATTTTTAGGGGGATGAACATCCATTTACCAGCTATTTGGGGGTTCACTAGGTGCCAGGGTTTTGACCCATTCCCATATGTCAGGATTGCCTTGACGCCCATTGACCTTCCTTGTGCAAGTTCAACACGGCTCTAGGTGCATCTCAGCCGGCCGTCATGCCTCAGCGAAGTGCTTCACTGGGCGTGGTGTACTCAGCCATTTTACCCATACTCACAGAACTGCCTGTTCACTGCAAGAGCAAGAGCAAAGAAGCCAGCGACTTCATTTCAATGCAAGCCTTCATCGTCGATTCTTCAACCATCTTTAACGTGTCATAACGTGTCTAATTTGGGTTTGGGTTTGGTTTCAGTATGCGACCCAGCTCTACTTAAAGGACTGCGATAGTTCCCACGAGGTTGGCTTCGGCATGCAGAACGTGGTGCGTGTGGTCCAGGCTCAGGGCTCATGATGGCCTCCTGTTTCAGGCCCGTCCCAGGCCATGGCCATGGCCGTGCCATGGCCACCAGCTCCATCAGCACAGGGGCAGCCATACTGCCATATGAAAAATACGAGTGTTGGTTCGAGTACCATCATGCTTTGCATAATCATCTATCATCTAAGCATATCATCCAGGTGCCCTGTGGATGAATCCAAAAAGCAGGATTCAGACGCAAAAGGAACTCAGTTGGTGTGGACGCTGTATCGATTTTGATGCATTCGATGCATTCAGCACCATTGGCCCAGTGGCGGAGGGTGCCAGCCGCCCCCGCCAGAGCTCTGGCTGCTGAAGCCTAATGGATCCTAATGGTGTTTTCCTGCTCAGTTCCATAGGGGCAACCACCCAGGGTCGAGCGAGATGGCAGCATTCTAAGGCCGAGGTTGAAGAACACATGTAAGAAAACCATAGAAAGCATGTGGTGCATATCTATCTAGACATCACACAGTTTTCTAATCTTTAGCTTATTCCAGGAGCAAAGCGCAATTTCCCACGACTTGCTGACGCTATTGTTTCTGTATGGGTGCATGTGAAGTTTCTGAGGGTTCAATATTTGGAGCAAATGAAACGCAGTCAATGGCAACTGACTACAAGGGTCTAATTCATATGCCCAGGCATTTCGGTGTATTCGGCCTTAGACTGGATGATTATGGTTTAACATAGTGATAATGCCCTGCGCGAAAATGAAGAAAAGATCTCGATGTGAGCTGCGGCACGACGTGTAATGATGTCACTCCTGGCATTTGACTCTGATGAGCACTTGAAGGTGTTGGTGTAGTTGAACTTATGCACAAATCTTTTCCAGAGCTTTGGACATGGATCCAGAAGTCTCACAAGACTAGAATGCCCGTCATCATTCGGCTTCGTTCCCATTGTGAATGCAACAGACGTAGTTGGGTTTTGCTAGTTTTGAGTCTTTGAGTCTTGGGCAGCTCGTCCTTTGCCAGGCTTGGCTCCGGAAAGCATGAGTCCCACGAGTCCTATATCATCATATTCATCATCTACCTGATATGATATGTATTGATTGATCTCAGGCCAAAATGTCCACAAAGTATACAAAGTATCCAAATACCAAACAAAATAAACAAACCAAAGTCAGAATGCATGTCAATGTGGTAACCCATGACGCCTCTTGAAACCTTCGAGATGTCACATAGCACAAGTCTAAACAGATCTTAGTGCCCCAAAGACTGGGCTTTGATCTGATGGCTCGAAGGAGAGTTTGGAGCCCAAGGGTCAAAATCACCACCATTTGATCGAAATCTTCTGCGCTTTGCAGAGATCTTCATTCATTTTCATTCATTTTTCGTGCTGCTTCGTGACAGGTACCGAAGATATTCTCGTTCCTTTTCTTCACCGCAAAAGCCTCAGAGTTTCATCTTAGCACATCTCAGCATTTGTGCCATAAAGCACCTTCTTTTGCTCCCGCTTCGCATCTTTACAGAGCGCAGGTGGTGGATGCCACGCTGACAGCCAACTCAGATACAGGTGCAGCTGGAAAGCCAAAAGAGCTTCTTTGTCTTTGTCGTTGTTGTCGTTGTTGTCGTTGTTGTCCTCCTCCTCCTTGTTGTTGTTGTTGTTGCTGTTGTTGATCTGCGCCCCCTAACTACTCAAACCGTGTCAAGTGAGGCTTAAGTAGGGTTGGCAAGATTGGAAGATGAAACTCGAATAAGATTGAACCCTTTCCAAACTTTGAGGGATTTCAGGCCAAAGTGAAAAAACACAAACACACACATACACACAAAAAGGGAATCTGGCACCACAGTTCTGACTTTGCATTGCACTTTACCAAAATCTTGTGACTATCGAATTGGAAGAATCGCTTCATTGAGCGCAGCATAGCGCAGCCCAGTCGGCACCAGGTGCATCCACCTTTTGCTTCAGCGTGGTTCGGCCAGGTGATGAGGTCCACAGCAGTTTAGATTGAATCATGCTGATATTCACACATTATTCACATCAATACTATCTCTGGTACTAATGATATCTAATGATATCTAATTATATAGCAGTATGATATAGTTTGCTATGTCTTGCTATACATCATACGACAACTTCTCATGTACCCGTTTTGATGGACGGGGCGACAGGCAAAGCTCTTGGCACAGCAATTCTTCGAAGGCCAGGTGCTGGGGATAGCTCGATGCCGGTCCTAATCCGTGGCCTTCAACTCCGAACGCCACCATAGCTGCAGATGATGGTTGCGCTGCCATATGTAGTCGAATTGTCAGGATTTGGAAGTACTCCCCACTAGAAACATACCTATCCCATTAGTGGATACATCCTGATTGTCATTGGTTAGACAATCTACTATTGTTGTTTATATCTTCATCTTTGTTGATTACTATCTCCCACAGGACAACCACAGTTCAGCACTTCCAGCTAAAGCATATCAAATCATCGCACGGTAGTTGCGTGAAAGTGGAGGCATCGGCATCTTTGGCTGTGACGAGTATATGATCTTCAGCAGTATCCCAGCGGAGGACTGGTGGCCTTGGTTGCTGTCTGATTTTTGTGTCGGAATGGCATGAAACATCCTGATAGTCCCTGATAGTCTCTGATAGTCCCTGCAAATTAAATTTTATAAGCGTCTTTTGGATCCTTGTGGCAGGAATTCTTTCAGCCTGCTCAGTGGGGTATTAAAAAGTGAAGAGCCCAGAGGGGAAGCCCCACTGCTCAATCCCAGTGGAGTTTGGAAGCTCAGGTGGCCACAGGTTGGTCCAATCGTGCACGTGGTGCCCGAATGGGATCAGTCGTCATGGGAGTCCTGCACTCATTCGCCAGAGAAAGCTGAGTCGCCTGACGATTCATTTCGTGCAAAGCCACCACCTAAGGCCTGATGTGCGCACCATGAATAAGGCCTAAACTGCCGTTTTTTTTTTGCACCGAAACATGATTCTGTGGCTGTGCATTTCGCAAGGTCTGGGAGCAAGTTATAGCGGTTGGCCTGTATCAGCAGTACGATTGGACGTTGAAGATGGACCGGGTGATAGAAGCCTGATATGTAACATATGACAGCAACAGCCTAGTTTTTCTGTGATTTGTTCCATTGATTTCAAACGAATGGACCTGCAGGACGCAGAGGTTGCATTTCTATCTCCTCGACTCAAAGATGTATTGCCAATGCCACAGAATTCCTAGCAATTGCATGCAATTGCTGTGTTGATTTGCAGATTATCAATGCCTCCTTACCTTGGATTGAATCCAAAGGACTCCGCATTGCTCTACTCTTGGTCATGCCTGCCTGTTTTGAAAGCATCTGTTTGCTGGACTGAAAAAAAGTGCATCAGCAGTTCAATCGGGCAGGTTGCGAAGCAATCTTTCTGGCAACTGGCAACGGGAAGATGTTCCGTGCGAATGCTCAGAAAGACCTGGCAAACGTGAGCAAAAGCGGCTGCACATGTTCGTTTTTTTGACAGTTTGCTGATATCCTCGAAATAAACAATCGACACATATTGTGTATATATATATAGTTAATATATAATATATATTTAATATATATATAATTATATATATATATATCTATACAGATTCTGGGTTTGTCCAAGAAAAGGGTACTGAAAGACAAATGGTTTCTAGAAAACATATTTATCTCATCTTGTCTCCTTTGGTTGAATCTCACGCTTTGCTCCAGGTCAGGTTCATGCCCTGACCCAAGCTGCCGTGACACAGATGGGGCAAAATACGCATTCCTGCAAAGAACAGGCAGATGCTTCATGCAGTCATATGCAGTCTTATTGGTCTATATTGGCATTCAATGCACGCAACATAGTAGAAATCAGATCTATTTTGCTGCTGCAACTGCTCTACGTATTCAGATGTCATTGTGAATACGTTGCAGGTGGCTGATACGTCCCAGGACTTTCATTAGATGTTGGATATTCAGAATTTTGATTCGTCTTGACTCTTGGAGCTTTGGCACTTTCTCTTTGGCACTTTCTGTCGTAGCTGTAGCTTGGAAGTGCAGTTCACAGTCACACAGCTCGTGCAGGAAAGCTACCTTCTAGACTGCTTGACCTTGAGCGGTGCCAGAGCAATAAAGGACAGGGAACCGACGGAACCAGGATAAACGAGGGAACTTCTGTCCCTTCAATTTTCAGCATTCGAATTGTTGGTTGGGACACTCTAAGGAGCCCAAACTCCTTGCGGATTTCACGCACGCAACCGTCGCTGTCGTTTGCAATACCAGAGTCTTGGCCGCATTTGGCAATCGTGCTGAAGCCCATGTAAGATTTGATTACCCGAGTGACATTTGCTGATATGGACGCGTGCTTTACTGCAGTCGGGAAATGCCGCGATAGCGCGGCGAAAGATTTGGCAAAAGATCTATAATAATCTATAATATAGTTACCACTATATTAGATGTATTTAGATGTATGTGATAGTATTCACACTTGGCAGTGACGCTTGCATTCAAGAAACCGGTGTGGCAACCATTGAACAATAATTGTGGGAGCTTGTCTCAGATAGGAATGGGAGTCATCCTATCATGAAGCATTAGTTTCATTCTTGTAGGCGAGAAATCCGCGAAAGGTTCCCGGAAGGTTGGCGAAAGGCGAATTCTGCCAGGATCCCACCCTGGCCCAAAATGGTCTAGTTTGTCTTCTAATGTTGCAACCTCGAAAACCCTTCAAAGTTGTTTCAACTTGTGCTTCCGTTGCCGCGTGATCTGCAAAACGACTTTGTCAAATGCTTCCAATTCCTTTTCCTTTGCAATTCCCATGTAGACCCTTGGTCCGAAGTATGCACACGAATACACATGATAGCACCTCCCTGTCCCTATTCTGGTTGGGTGCGAAAGGGTGCTAAAGGGTGCGAAAGGTTCGTGAAAGCGCGGCGAAGGGGCAGCTTTGGGATCCATAAGTTTGAACAACCATACTCCCAGTCGACATAGTCAGGAAGTTTCGAATGCTGCGAGTGATAATAATTCCACTTGGTGTGCCAATGATGTGAAAGTCATTGGACATGGTCTTGCCAAGCCACATTCCTTTCGTCCATTGTGGCAAACGTTTTAAACTGGTTTTCAAATAGCCGATTTTTTGAGAGTAAAACCGTCCTGTTTTTCTCTTGTAGCTTGTCATGGCACGCTTCACAGAAAAATGATTGTGCAACCAAGCGCTATAAACGAGTGCCCATGAATGCCCATGCATAGACTGTGACAAATCGTTGAAACTGATTTCATCAGCAACAGCTGCGTCTTGACTGGGTGAAAACTCTTGGGATTTGGGATTTGTGGATTTAGTCCAGGTACTGGCAGCTTTTATCGCTTCCCATCGTGGGGCCAGTACATGTCCTGCATGGGTCAGGCTTGTGGTGGGTCGCCTAAGTGCCCATTCCTTTTGTGCCGGGTGTGTCAAGGATTCTCAGCCCAAAAACATCCAAAAACGCACCCAAGTGCAAACAGAGCTGTGATCTTATAGGAACACAAAAAAGGGCATCAGACATCCATCCTCACAAGCATCCATGTACAGAAAACATCCGAGCAGGCCGGCTATTCAGTGATTCCGAAGTCTCCATCCAATCCAGCCAAGGCAGGAAAGACCTGGACAATGAATCAAATCAATTCAAATCACCTGAAATGTAGGCGATGTAGCCAGAATGAAAATAGTCAGAGCACGACAGAGACAGAAAGAGAGAGAGAGAGATAGATTAGATTAGATTAGATTCAGATTAGATTAGATTAGATTTGATTTGATTTGATTAGTTAGATTTGATTAGATTAGATTAGATTGGATTAGATTGGATAGATAGATAGCGACAGCGACGGAGTGACAGAGATAGAGAGACAGACCCATGTGCGTCCCTCTGGTCCATATCCCTTGAATCATATGCGTTGCCCTACCAGCATTTTGGTACTGGTGCTCCGCAGGTGTCATGGACGCGTGATGTCTTGATGAAAGGCATGGCCTGGCGCGCTTTAGTTTTGCTATGCGAACTGGTCATTGCATGTTCCTCCTGCTCACAGGTGGTTACCTGAGACCCACGATCTACTGTTGGGTGTCTTTGGCAAGAACTTTTTTTATGATTCTGGGACGGACTATGGAAGTTTCAGGAAGTTTCAGGAAGCTTCTGTTTTTCTTGCACTGGCACTCGCCAGTTTTCTGAAATGTTATTACTAATGATTGGACTAAGAGCAGAAACTTACGGAACTCTGCTCTTGAGCATGTCCGTAACATTTAGTAACTGATCACTCCATCTAACATAATCATCCACATTCTGCCAGTCAAGGCGCTGGTGCAAAATGCGGGGGAGGCCAGATTTTTTTTTCACAGGACGCTGTTGTGCGCAATAGAAAAAAAGGTAAAACACGCAGTAACCCAAATTCTTGACAGATCGCGCATAGTTAGATTTAAGATGATTTGAGATCACTTAATTGAAATAGACTCCAATCGGATTGACCTCAACATATGATTGGATTTGGATTGCCGGTGCCTTTGGGCGCCATCTCCTGGGGTGTCAGGAGCCAGAGCTGATGGACTGGCAGCGGGAACGAGGTCGAGCATCGGATGGATGGCCTGCAAATATTGGTCATATTTTGCCGGGTTTTCATGTTCAGCCATGTTCAGCTAGCGATTGGGCATTGTGTTGGGGTTTTAGGATTTCTTTCAGGGTTTTGGTGTCTTTTTCAAGTTTGTGACACTGATGCTGTGCATGGTTGGTTGGTTCATGTGCAAGAGACGCTTTGGTCCCTTGTTCATCCATGACTTGTGCTTGTTTGTATCATGGTCCTAGTTACCTTCCGGTTTATTGGTCTTGCCCACTTGCACTCCCTTTGGGGTTGCCTTGCCTTCGTGGGCTTCCCCTCTGGGTTTGGCTTGGTTTGTTTGGGTCTTTGCCCCTTGGTTTCCTTTTTGCGGTGTTGACACTACCGCATGCGTCCTTTGTCAATATGGATTATGATCATCATTGTATGAGAAGAAATCCATTGGTATTCCATTGGTCATTTTCAGTAGCTTACATACTTTCCAGATCTTTCCAGAAGATCCAGATTCCTAGTGCGGGAAAGCAGTCCAGTGTGGGACTTGAAGATAGAACAGGTCATTCCGCAGAGGCATACAAATTCATCAGAATTAAAGGGCGAATTCATACCTTAGAGGAAGGTGCAGATGCCTCAAATGCCAAGTTTATGTGCCCAGCTAATCCCAGTTACTCCGAGATGCCGCAAATCGTGCCGGGTGTTGCAGGCCTCGGAATTTTCGCCTGTGATGGCTGGATGGTGGTCAGCAATGTCTCTGCTGTGGAGGCAGAGACCAATTATCATCAAATAAATGCATACATTACATATTCATATATATATATTATATATGTATATACGTATGTATATATATATATATATTACGTATAATTACAATTATATGTATACATATACATAATGTGTATAATCTGATATAAATATATAATTATATAAATATATGAACAAAGAAAATTCTATCGAATATTGTATGTGTAACATCATATTATCACACACACATATATATATATACACATACATACACAATATATTAATCAAATATAGAATCGTTTCCACACTGACGGGAACAAAGTGTTGAAGATGTTGAATCATGTCAATGTTTAGTGTTTCTTATTTTCCGGGGCTTTCTCGTCGCGAGTGCGAAGATGCTAAGCAGGATCTCAACATGCTCTTCTGTTTCGGATGAACTTGAGATCCCTCGATCTCTTGATCAGGTCCTTCAGGGACAGGCATGGCACACGTCAGGATCCTAGTGATCCTCTAGCCTGTTTGCTGCATGGTTAAGGTTGGAATGGCAAGGCGCCGTTTGTTGTTGCATCAAACTATATATATACATATATATATATATACATATATACATATATATATATATATTGAATTACTCTATGCCCTGAAGGCAGTGATTCTGCACTGCCAAAGGAATGTGACCATCATCAACCAGCCCACCACAGTTGCAAAGTGCTGCCTGCCTGTTCTTCCAGTCAGCTGCAAGAAGATAGTTGAAGCCAAAGTTCTTACTGCAACTGGCGATCAGCAATATTGGCATGGGTCAAAATCATTGGATTTAACAGTGAATATAACAAAATTGGTGGGTCCATTGGTACCCTAATTTAAGGGCTGCCGCCCCTGCCGCCGATCCCGGAAAACAATATCGGCATTGAAAGGCGGTGATTGTTTTTTTTTTTGGTTATCTACTTGTTGGATCTTATTGGTTTCTTGGATTATAATAAACACTCATGGGGATATCCATTTGCCAACCACTTTGGGATGGTGGTATGCTCACGGGGTGATAGTTTCAACGGCTGTTTCTGAAAGTTCTCATTTTGGAAGGCCAAGTGGGCAGTGTCCAAAGACTTTGTGGCCTGGTGAGGTAGCAATCTGGTTATTTTAACGTTGCTATGGAGAAGCACCATTTTCAGGAGAGAACGCATCATTCCAATCATCTATAGATGGCCCATGGCTGCCATAGTTTTGTTAAAAAACTAGAGGGGAATTATATGTAGTATGTATGTATATATATAATAATAATAATAATAATAATAATAATAATAATAATAATAATAACAATAATAATAATAATAATGATATAATAATAATAATATACATATATATATATATATATATATGTATGTACATATATATATATCATATATATATATATCTACATTGTATATTTGGGGCTTTGGGGTTATATACTACTTGATTGATTCGGCAATACCATGGCTCAATGATGGGAACATCGACGTTTACGAGCTTCCCGCAGCGCGGTAGTTCTTCGTCTCTGTGGTCTGCATCCATGCGCATGATACGACACAATTTTAAGCCAAAACATGCTATTGCTTTTTGTTTCACCGGAGACGTGCTGAACAGATTTTGCAGGTATGCAAACCCAAGGTTTTCCCAGGAACATGGCGGATTTGCCGGATCTATGTTGATTTACCGGGGGTCTTGTGTGCTTTTATTTGAATACTTCCAGCCCCCAAGCTTGCTATTTGCTAGTTTCGGGGCTGCCCCCGCAGAGCCTTAGCCCCATGCTGCTGAAGGACAGAACCGGCCCGCGGCCTGCAGCTTACGGTGCCTAACGTTGCTTTCTGAACGGACAAGAAGCTAGCTCCCAAAAGTTTCTTGCCTTCTTGCTTCTTGCCGCTTGCTGTGTGCAATGACTTCTTGCTGGTAATTTCTCCTCTGACGCGCTCCCCCTGCTGCAAGCGGGGTCGGCGGATTTTGACTCATACCCACATTGGATTACCATTTGAGATGTTGGGTTGAAATTTGGAATCCATCCCCAAGCACGGTCCTGCACCCGGTAGGACCTTTGTCAGCAAAAACGGCCACTCGGCTGCACAACAACAGTGAGTTGAAGAGGAGCAACATAAAACATGCCCGCGGCTCGCATCTCGTGAGTAATTGGTTAGCCTGCTTTAATTGAGTACTATTGAGTCAGGTTCGCTAGGCCTGATGACAAATTTGAATCTGATAGAACAACACCAACACAAGTCCGTCCACACTTCCCAAGAACCTCTCTGGTTTCAAGAACAATAACATGAGGTGGCATAGTCCCGATCATCCCAAACGCTCGGGTCCTTGCCCCAGCATCATCCAGCAACAGTTTCTTCCATTCAAGCAGTTGTCGAGCAATGAGTGGCAATGAGCAGCAAATGTTGCACCGCCTTATCACAAAGTATGTCTGTGATGACGTTCCATCAGCTGTCTACTCTTCTGCAAGCACACTCGGAGAGTCTGCATGAATTTGCAGTGACACGCAGGTATTTGAAAAGGCATGGCAGGCAGTTTTCCAGAAAGGCCATTTTCGCCGCCCTGGCCAGTTGCTGTACATATATGCAAGAGTTATGGGGATTTGAAGTAGACGAGTTACATCAGTTGCTGAAATACAACTTTTGTGTTAGTTCATGCCAGGTGATTACGATTGGACCGTGAAACTTGATGTCAGTGTGGCTGTTGTCCCTGAACGCTTGCGAGCAGCCTGAAACCAAATGATAGAGACGATGACTGCGGAACATTTCATTTTGTGACCCTGCAAGCGTTAGGGCAAGCTTAGGATATTTGAGTATGAGTCAGTACGAGTATGAGTCAAAAGTTAAGGCCCTCTGAACAGCAGCTGTCAGTCACTCTTAGTAATTTGTCATCCCTATTTGAGTATATTTGAGTATCCAATTTTGACCTATATCCCATTTGAAGTCACCAAAAAGAAGCAATTTTCTGAGCGCCCAGGTCTTAAAGTCTCGATGTCCACACGATGACTGTGGTAAGAAACTGCTTCAGACTTTCGGAAAGGTGCCTGACCTCGGGAGATCAATGATCCTTGCGCCAGTTCTGTATGAAATTCGTGTGAAATGCAAACACCGATCAACCACACGTGAAACTTATATGATCTATTCTGATCTTTTATGAATCTCATTGAATCTCATTGACTCCCAATTTCTGTGATGGACTTAAAGGGTTTGGCAGCGGGCCAGCTGCACCAGCTGGATGCCAAGTCGAGTCAAGGATTTGGAGGGCCCAGTTGAAGCCCTCAGCAACGCAGCGGCAACATCTTTGGCAGCAGGTGCGAGCAACTGCTTCGGGACTTGGTCATTTGGGCATTTGCTTGAGTCCAAAACCAACCACCTATTCATATCAACAATCAAGATTGTAATCTGTTGTTTTGTACATATTATGAATACTCTTGCTTGCTTCCTTTGGTTCTTTTGATCAAAAGCCCTGGTTGTCCAGACCTTTTTGATGTATTCGACCATGAATATCATGAATACTACATAGTGTAGCTATTCGTATGGCTCACCGTGAACAAATTCCAGGCCTTGGCCAGTGTAGCAGTGGACCTGACTGGGACAAGCAGCCGGAGAACGAGTGGCTTGCCGCTTGTACGAGTGCGCCAGAGCCAGGCGGAGCCAAGTAACGTGCAGATTGCAACAGGCAATGGCCAGGCCTTACAGCAGGGGATGTCATGGGCCATTTCTGTTTTTCAGGTACACTTGGGATAACTGCTATGAGCACACCTGCGCTGCTTTCCAGCTTCCACCAGGCTTGAGCAACAGCAAGCTTTCTCGGAATGAATGCAGAGCCCTTTCGTTGTTGTTTGTTTGTCATTTCATTTTGGTGAGGGTCGCTCTCATAGTTGGGGTTTCAGTGTATACGGTTTATATAAGTTTCCACAAATTCAAAAAGAATGGGTATCCGGTGGCAATCGGTGGCATGCCAAAAACAACCTCCAAATAGCCAATACAACCTTGGGAGCCCTGCTTCGAAAAAGCCACCGTACTACCTGGCTGTTGAGACAGGAAACGCCCCGGCCATGCGACACGGTGCATGCGAGCTTTCACCCGTTTCCGCCCAGAAGCCCAGTGATCACAAATTTGCCAACTGTCGATAAAGAGAATATGACGTTCAAAGTCTGTCTACATCCTCAAATCAAAATCAGTGCACAGATTTCCTCCAGTCGACTGTCTGTGTATTGCCGTGTACGCTCATGGTATGGATCGGTTTGAGGCAAGCAGATGAGCAAGAGACCTGCTTGGAACAGACTGGCTACTACTATATCCAAGCCCCGTTTGCAACTGAGAAGACCAGTAAATGGCAACGTAATTCAGCAGATTAGTGATGCAATTTATGATGTGAAGCATCCTGCCCTGTACTGAGTGTGCTCCGAGGGCCACAACCACCTGGACAACAACAAGGACAACAACCTCAAGAACGTCGACAAGTTCCACTGTTTTCATCTCAACTAAACTTGTGTTTGGAAATGCACTGACTGCCAATTCCAGTGAATCTGTGTGTGGGTGTGTGCGAGGCAACAACCTCAACTTGGACTTCCACCGGTGTAGATCTCAGACTGCGACACTCTTCAATTCATCAGACATGATGATATACCGATTCTTTGACCGGACGCGTCTAACGTATCCAGGACAAACCGTTGATGTTCATGTTCATGTTAGGGAAGTCTTTTATTCCGCAAACATCACATTGCTGAAACTCAGTTGCAAAAGTTGCGCCAAACAGCATCTTCATCTGGGAAAGTTTCTTGGTCTGCACGTAAACAGCTGGCGAAGTTTGAAGTCCAAGGGGTCAATTTCGGATGTCCCCATCATCTCCAAGCCAGGACGGTCCTGGCAGAGACTACTGCCAGTCTGGGTCATCACTATGGAGAATGAGCACCAGGGCATCCCTTTTGTCTTGCTGGCATGGCAAAATGACATGCTTTGACACTGATAGCGACGCTGATAGCTGATAGATGCTGATAGCTACTTCTAGAATGATGGACCAAACGCACATCGATGCAAGAAGGCTTCTGTGATGTCACCTACTTGCACCTTCCAAGTTTGCCTCTAAAACATCTAAAACGACCTGCACTCCTAGCACATCAAAATGGCTGTGGTGAATCCCTTTGGCCATTGTAGGCGATTGGATTGGTGGCTGGCATTTCCTTGCTGATTAGCATCCCTGTGTATGGCCACTGACTGAGCCATGGGAATGCTATGGATCTTTGATGATTTTTCTGTAGGGACCATGTTGCAACAATTATTGTACAGTCAGAAACTATAGCCACATCGATTTGCCAGAATCCTTCCAGTTCCATGGGTCAAAGGTTTGTTTGGAAGTCGCACTGACCTGACAGTACCAATGCTTTTTCCTTAAAATAGTTTTGAAGCGTCCGTAAGCAAGATTTTGTTCGTCTTCTCGGTGTTTTCATTGAACACTAATTTAATTCATGCTCACTACTGTGGCAGCATTTCAGCGTGTGAGTGGGAAAGCAGGAAGTGAAATACCATGATCGCTGGAAAGTATTGAAACAATGTTGGGAGGGACAAAGTTTGCTTTGATATAGCCTTTTCTTCTGTTGAATTTGCTACTTAACTTCAATCCATTTAATCCATTGGTCAATTGTATGGGTCAAAATTGAGTACACAATACTAATATATACTAATAGTATACCAATCATTGGAGAGATCACACCAACAAAACCCACCAAATCCGCGGTACCGCAGCACACTCCAGGTCTGTGCTGCAGGAGGCCAATGCAACCAGCGTTCTGCTCTCAGCGTCAAAGCTGGAATCCAATGGCAGAGACAACTAGATTGCAATGAATGTTGTGTAATACAATATGATACAGTACGCATGTATACAGTATATATATATATATGTATATATATATATGTAAAATTATGTAAACATTATACATATGTCCGTAGATATGCACATAGAAGTACATACTGCATTCGTATTTCTATACATCAATGTATGAAAACTAGGAAAATAGATAAGCAACTACAGAGATTCTGTTTGTGCCAGCCTGCTGTCTTGTGAGTTTGATAAGGAGATCTCGTGCTGAAGAGCTTGTTGAGGACAGCTGCGGATGCTCACCATTTCGATGTTGCCATTGAATCATTGATTCCCAGGATCCAGGTGATCCTCTGATACAAGGTGGCTCAGGTGGCGAAAGGCTGGAATGCTACAGCCACTATCATTGAAAAAATGGCATGCGTCAGCATTGTTGTCATAATATCGTTAGAATGGATGCCATATGATGCCATGAAATGATCTTCAAGCAGACAAGAGTTCTACTTGCCACTTCGTTCAGATATCCTCTGTCCAGGAAGTGTTCGTTTGTTCAAGCATGACCTATGCTGTCCCAGCCACAGGAGCCCATAGGAGCTGAAAAGAAGCTGAAGGAGAGGAACAATTTGGATATATTTGGATGATTTCAGATGAATATTTGGATATATTTATCCCATATTTGGATGATTTCAGATGATTTCAGATGCATGTGCCAAAACGGCAACGTGAGCTGAGAAAACACTTTTCGCTTTGAACACAGCGATCAGCTTATTGGGGACTCCATCACAAAGGGTGGAAGTCTGCCGTGAGCAAAAGCAGCCTATCACTAGAAGATTGAGTAGAGCCCAAACTGGCTTCACGGCTGTAGATCGAGGCAAAACAAGGCTGCTACAGTGACCCATATGCTTGATTATTCTTGAACTTTTAGGCTAAGGAGCGCTGCTGATCGTTCGAAGTCCTTTGCTGATAGGTACTTGCATGGCCACCTTTTGCATCAGCAGTGGTTCACACTTTGAGCCTTTCACTTGATCTGAAACAAACACCTAGTACATCCTAGTCAAATCTCCTTAGCACCCGGAGTGCCTGAACAGATCAGCAAACACAATGTATGCATTCACACCTGAAAGGATCAGCAAACAACTTTGAAGTGGCAATATTGTGGCATCCAAAGTTGCATCCTTGATCATCTCAGACCTTTGCCATGGGAACCACGCTGCACAAAACTGCGCTGCTGCCGATGTTGGTGACGTGTGACTCCTCACGGTCCTCTCGTTCGTCCCGGTGTCCCGGAAGTCTGCCGTATGTTGAAGGCCCTGTGGTGCCACTTTGCACTGGGCATTTTCCTGAGAGGACCTCGGCAAGTTTCCCCTCTTGGATTGTGCACTTCTATGGAGGGAACTGTCGTCGTTGTCGGGAAACAGCTCTGATAATTCAAGATGTCGTATCACAAGAAGTTGTGAAGCAAAGCATGTTGAAATTTGGCGCAGTGGATTGCCAGGAAGAGCAAAATCGCAGTCTTTGCAAGAGTTTAAACATTTGGAAATTTCCAGTCTTGATGGCAATGGCAACCAGTTCACGCTACACTGGACCACTAGACGTCAACTCCATGATTGAGTGGATGGAAGATTTGTTGCGGCCCGATGCCCTGAAACCGGTCTCAAAAGAACTTGTTGTTTGTCCAGCCTTTGAACTTTATGAAGAGCCCAGATTGGCCACAGAATTCCTGACAGCGCACAATATTTTCCGTTGTACTGCAGGCCTTGCCATGCTGGAATGGGATTTACATGCTTTCCAAACAGCTCGAAAGTATGCTGAGAAAGCTCCAACGGATAGCTTGTCTCACAGTGACACAGCAGAGCGGAAGAATCAGCGAGGACAGATCTACGGAGAAAATGTGGCAGTGGGCCACGGTCTTTGGCCTGGGCAAGTTGTCGCCCGTTGGCATGATGAAATTCGCAACACCCAGGGTGGGAAATTCCGACCCAACCGCGCTGGCTTGGGACACTACACACAATTGGTTTGGCGAAAGACACTGAGAGTTGGCTGTAGCTTGGGTCAAAACAAACGAGTGGCTGTGTGCCACTATGATCCGGCTGGAAATGAGAAGGGAAAGCACCTCTCGCAAGTTGCAGCCCCTCTGCCAGGTTATCATGGCATTGAAGGGCAGGAACGCTGTGGTGCGATCGTTGAAAGGATCGGTGCTTCGTGAAAAAGAAAGGTTACTGATGCTTTCCTTTGTAGTATTCTAGCAGGTTGTTTCTGATCTAGAAGTATGCAGAGTGTAGCATAGCCCAGAATGATTCACAAGGTAATGAAAGGCTCCTTCTGCTAAACACACAGTGAACATATGTGAAAATACTGAAATCGCTGACAGAGTTTGACGCGGTTTGTCAAATGATTTATGTATTCCCTTCCAGGTGTCAATTTGACATGCGTGTCCGATCGCCTCACTGTCTTTCTTGGTGCAGAGCAATGTAGATTGGAGCCATAGAGCTATAACGATTTATATCATTTTATATCTTTATGAAGCTTTTGGCTCAACAGTACAGACGTGCCTCAAAGTGCCTTAAAGTGCCTTAAGGTGTAGCAAAAATGCCGAGTGGTCCTGCTTTAGTCATGGAGCAACAGTGGGAACCAGTGGTGTGGCGGAAGAGTGCGCCAAGTGGGCAAGCTGCAAAGAGCACTGCGGCTGTCAATCAAGCTCGTCGCACAAACGACAACGTTGAAACCTCCAAGAAGCAGAGTGCTGCAAGCAACCGATCCTCACATGCATCGGTCCCAAACGCTCGGAAGCTGGATGAACATGCAGAGACTTTTCGTCATCAGACGGTCTCTCATGATTTCAAACTGGCACTTCAACAAGCTCGTCTTGCAAAGCAATGGACTCAAGCTCAGCTTGCTGCCTCCATCAATGAGAAAGCCTCAGTGGTGAACGACTATGAGTCGGGTCGTGCCATCCCAAATGGAGTTGTAGTTGTGAAAATCAATCGAGCACTGGGCGTGCAGCTGCCCAAGGCTAAGGCATAAGATGTTTGGGTGAGCCCAGACGAATGTTAGAACGCGTTGGAACTTGGAACCATTGAGTCGATGCCCTCTTCAAACCTCTTGAATGTGTACAGATGTACAGGCGGTAGTATCAGTAATGAGTGCACTTGGCCATGATGGTTCAAAACAGAGTGGGCCGTACGGAACTTGCTTCTGAGCATGTTTCATTTCTTTTCAGCAGCATACATACAGCATTGCTATGCATTGCTTATATTTCTTATTGCGGCATAGATTCGTGACTTTCCTTTGGAGTAGCAAGTTGTTTCTGATCTAGAAGTATGCAGAGTGTAGCATAGCCCAGAATGATTCACAAGGTAATGAAAGGCTCCTTCTGCTAAACACACAGTGAACATATGTGAAAATACTGAAATCGCTGACAGAGTTTGACGCGGTTTGTCAAATGATTTATGTATTCCCTTCCAGGTGTCAATTTGACATGCGTGTCCGATCGCCTCACTGTCTTTCTTGGTGCAGAGCAATGTAGATTGGAGCCATAGAGCTATAAAGATTTATATCATTTTATATCTTTATGAAGCTTTTGGCTCAACAGTACAGACGTGCCTCAAAGTGCCTTAAAGTGCCTTAAGGTGTAGCAAAAATGCCGAGTGGTCCTGCTTTAGTCATGGAGCAACAGTGGGAACCAGTGGTGTGGCGGAAGAGTGCGCCAAGTGGGCAGGCTGCAAAGAGCACTGCGGCTGTCAATCAAGCTCGTCGCACAAACGACAACGTTGAAACCTCCAAGAAGCAGAGTGCTGCAAGCAACCGATCCTCACATGCATCGGTCCCAAACGCTCGGAAGCTGGATGAACATGCAGAGACTTTTCGTCATCAGACGGTCTCTCATGATTTCAAACTGGCACTTCAACAAGCTCGTCTTGCAAAGCAATGGACTCAAGCTCAGCTTGCTGCCTCCATCAATGAGAAAGCCTCAGTGGTGAACGACTATGAGTCGGGTCGTGCCATCCCAAATGGAGTTGTAGTTGTGAAAATCAATCGAGCACTGGGCGTGCAGCTGCCCAAGGCTAAGGCATAAGATGTTTGGGTGAGCCCAGACGAATGTTAGAACGCGTTGGAACTTGGAACCATTGAGTCGATGCCCTCTTCAAACCTCTTGAATGTGTACAGATGTACAGGCGGTAATATCAGTAATGAGTGCACTTGGCCATGATGGTTCAAAACAGAGTGGGCCGTACGGAACTTGCTTCTGAGCATGTTTCATTTCTTTTCAGCAGCATACATACAGCATTGCTATGCATTGCTTATATTTCTTATTGCGGCATAGATTCGTGACTTTCCTTTGGAGTAGCAAGTTGTTTCTGATCTAGAAGTATGCAGAGTGTAGCATAGCCCAGAATGATTCACAAGGTAATGAAAGGCTCCTTCTGCTAAACACACAGTGAACATATGTGAAAATACTGAAATCGCTGACAGATTTATGTATTCCCTTCCAGGTGTCAATTTGACATGCGTGTCCGATCGCCTCACTGTTTTTCTTGGTGCAGAGCAATGTAGATTGGAGCCATAGAGCTATAAAGATTTATATCATTTTATATCTTTATGAAGCTTTTGGCTCAACAGTACAGACGTGCCTCAAAGTGCCTTAAAGTGCCTTAAGGTGTAGCAAAAATGCCGAGTGGTCCTGCTTTAGTCATGGAGCAACAGTGGGAACCAGTAGTGTGGCGGAAGAGTGCGCCAAGTGGGCAGGCTGCAAAGAGCACTGCGGCTGTCAATCAAGCTCGTCGCACAAACGACAACGTTGAAACCTCCAAGAAGCAGAGTGCTGCAAGCAACCGATCCTCACATGCATCGGTCCCAAACGCTCGGAAGCTGGATGAACATGCAGAGACTTTTCGTCATCAGACGGTCTCTCATGATTTCAAACTGGCACTTCAACAAGCTCGTCTTGCAAAGCAATGGACTCAAGCTCAGCTTGCTGCCTCCATCAATGAGAAAGCCTCAGTGGTGAACGACTATGAGTCGGGTCGTGCCATCCCAAATGGAGTTGTAGTTGTGAAAATCAATCGAGCACTGGGCGTGCAGCTGCCCAAGGCTAAGGCATAAGATGTTTGGGTGAGCCCAGACGAATGTTAGAACGCGTTGGAACTTGGAACCATTGAGTCGATGCCCTCTTCAAACCTCTTGAATGTGTACAGATGTGCAGGCGGTAATATCAGTAATGAGTGCACTTGGCCATGATGGTTCAAAACAGAGTGGGCCAGCGTACGGGTTGCATTTTTGTCGAGCAACTGCCAAAAGCCACTTTATCTGCAAGCCCTACTAGGCCTATCTAGGCCTGCCAGCTTTGATGATGACTCCAGCAATGAATTCATGACATGCTTTGGGTCCTGTGGGTTTTGTTTTTCTGCATTTGCAAAGTTGAAGCGTTCAATACTTGCGGAAGTTTGGTTTCCATCCCTCTGCGCTGGGATTAGTGCTGATCCACAAAGGGAGCACGTTGAAGTGGGGTACAGAGCCAAGTTGTTGACTCTCGTACCGTACTAAACAGCCAATGAAAGCACGTCAACAAAAAGATGCCACAAGCTTCATGGTCTACTGAAGATGCACAAAGAAGAGAATGACTGTTGTGAGTCTTGTGGGTCTAACATGGTTCTCCCACCACTTTGCCTTTCCGACGGAAAATCAATCATGTCCTTTGCGAGGCCAAAGCATGCCCCGATTTGAGGTGCTTTGGGAGTTTGAGGGAGAACAGAAGGTAACGGGACTACTCCGTACTGTATTATTGCGATCTGCAAAGTAAATCTTGATGTAAATAGATGACACAAAATATTTGATAGTCTTCACCAAATGAAATACCACGTTTTTTGGCCTCTAAATGGAAACGTCACCTTTGGAATTATCTTTCCAATCATGGCTTGTAGAGGAGCTTTCTCGAAGTGAGCTTTGCTCAGCTGTCCGAACCTGAGAGACTACTTCAGACAACTGCTCCGGTGCCGCCAGGCATTGCCATTTGCATCCAATGTGGTGTTTCCACAAGTGAAACATGGTGAAACCTTAGATTCGACTTGTGAAGTTCGCATCTTTGTATATATCATTATATATTATATTATATATAACTACTCTCCATCCTTGAACCATTCTCTGGAATGGGAGTGGCTTTCGCTACGGTTCCATTTACCATCATTTACCGATTAATTGAGTTCACAATCATTACTCCATCTTAGTTTTGAATTGAAGAAGACTTTGTCATTTGCTCGCGGAAGATTTGGAGGTCCTGGACATTCAGAAAGGCTTAGCAGATTTGACCAAGCGCTTGGACTCTGTGGGCGAAGCGTGCAGCTCAGTTGAGATTTGGCACTGGTCCACTGCCAAGCAGGATACAGTACCCCACTTTCCAAGTTTTACAAGTAGCTATGATTAGCTATGCTTGTCAAGGTGTTTGATATTGTTTCAGGTTTGATGACTCCAGAGAGTTCAATCATCCTGTCCATGAAGGGAGCCACGCAGAGAGGTTTTTGCAATATGATATATATATATACACAGTAATAATATGCGTAGCTTCTGTTGCCCGGTGTTTACTGTAGGAAGGGGACAAAAACGTTTGCAAGGTGTTAATAAGTTGATAATGTGATTGTTTTCAAAGTTTCGCAAAGGTGGGAAGAGAAGGAATGTCTGCAGAGCTTGCAAAGAAACTCAAGCTTGCACTGGTCGTAGCAACTGAACGCCCTTTGTGCTCTGTTTGGCCAAGCAACAGAGATGAAAGCCAAAGAGTTTGACACATTTTGACACTACATCACAATTTTTTTGCAGATCTTTTAGGCAACAAGAGCTTTGAAACATTGTCAGGAGTGGATGCATTGGATCCATTGATTCGGGAGCACTTAGAACATCTTAGAACATCTTAGAACATCTTAGAACATCTTAGAACATCTTAGAACATCTTAGAACATCTTAGAACATCTTAGAACATCTTAGAACATCTTAGACTGTGTCAAACATGTAACAGCTTTGGGGCTTGTTGTCACAGGCGAGGACAGTCGCAATGATCTTCGCCTGTAGATTGCTGCATGATGGCCGAGCAGTTGCTGATGGAGCTGAAATCGAAGCGTCCAAAAATGTGGATGATGGTTACCAACGGGGAAGGCGAAGGGTTGGAAACGGCCCAATTTTACATGAGATTGAAACACTTCAATACTACAGTATTGGCTAGGTATGTTGAACATTGCAAAACTATGTTAAGCAGGTGTTTATGAGAGACAGACTTGATAGCTGACTTGGATTCTGGCCAGAGGTAGGCCAACCCTGACAAGGTGCCTTGGTACACAGATCCCTTGTGAAGATGTGCAAAGCAGAAGGTTTGTCGCAAGGTGAAAACGATGACACTGTGTTGTTGCGAGCCTTACTGGAGGCCCATGGAAAGGGTTCGAATCCGGGAGGCTACTCCAAAAAGGGGTCGGACGTGCCAGGAAGCAGTTTGGATGAGGCTTTCCTGGAAGGTGAGTTTAAAGCCCTATGCACATTACATGGTGCGAGTGAACTCTCCTTTGACCAGTGTATGTCGTGGGACTGGATCGCGCATCAAGTTGGTGTTACTATTACCAAAGATGCGACTGGGGAGATTTGGCGACGGGTGGTGGGCACTCGTGAAGCAGCGTGTGAAACCGATTTCGTCGCTTTGGCTCGTGCACTGCAAGCTGAATCGGAGACTGCGACAACAATTCAGTCCTTCATGCGTGGATGCGCAGGGAGAGTCAAGGCCCACTCTCAAGCACGGGACGCAGCTGAGACTGCTCAAAAGAGTCGCTGCTCAGCAGAGATGAAACTTGCTCCCTACAATCCCACCCCAAGTTGCGCTGTTCGGCAGGCTTTAGATGCGTTGTCTGTTGGACCTGAAGATGTGCTGTACGACTTGGGATGTGGTGATGGACGTTTGTTGATTGCAGCTGCTCAACGAGGTGCCAAAGCCGTGGGCGTTGAATACGATGCTCGCTTTGTGGAGAAAGCTGATGGTGCAATCCGACAACTGGAGCTTTCAGATTTCGCCACAGTGATGTGTGGTGATGCCTTTGCCACCGATTTGGTGCCAGCTTCCAAGATCTTCGTGTATCTGGTGCCGGATGGATTGAGAAAACTGGAGCCGTCTCTAAATGCAGCGTTGAAACGAGGAACGCCCATTGCTAGCTACATGTTTTCGATTCCGGGTTGGTCTCCTGATGAAGTGCTTACAGCAGAGACGCGTTCCTCAGAGTGCAAAGTTTGGATTTACAAAACTGCCAGCTGCCTAGCAAAATAACATTGGTGCCTGCAGTTGCAGGATGTTTGATGTTTGTAGAAGTTTGACAATTTTTAATTTGTCCATGTTTGTCCTATTTCAACATGTTCTGATGTATCTTGTAGATAGGTTTGGGACGGTTTGGGAATGTCTTATCCAAAGTGGTGCGCATTTCCAGCAGATGTTCAGTCTCCCATGCTGTTTCAATAGCAGCCCACGGAGATCACAGAAAGATCGTGCTCAGCGGAGGTCAATAGTGATCCTTGAATTCTTTTGTTTCAGATTTGTTGGTTCTGAATCTTAATTTTAATTAATCGAATGGTGAATGGTGTTTCACTTGTTTTCACATGTTTTTTACCGATTCAATTTGTTGTGATGATGTCGGCTGAGGAGAACGCCTTGTTGCGCGAGGTGCTACCTTCTGAATTAGCATACTGTATATTCGCAACATGGCAGTGCAACAATACATAGCAGTACCTAACAAATCCTAACAATACCTAACAGGCCATCTAGATCCATCTAGCAGAATCACATTTTGCCAAGTCGTGGGCTTTTGGGGCGTTTTCCTGGTGTCTGGTGACCTCCAACATGCTCCGCTTGCTCCGCTAGGAGAATGCTTTGCTGAAAGATGAGATTGATTCCAGGATTGAAGGAGCTAGGCCTGGAAGCCCAAGCCCAGTCCATCTCCACCCATGTCGCCATGGCCATGGCCCGGATGTCCAATTCATGCAGCTGTGGCAGTTGAGGAATTCTGGAAGACGTTCGGGTCGGCGAAGCTCATCTCGGGAGAGGCTTCTGGGAGCGCAGGGCAACGCTACATACAGATTCTAAAATGATCCAATTTTAATCATTTTAATCCAATTTTACATTCTACATGCTCCAGGATGGGTATCTACACATCGACATATCAATACGTATAATATCATCAGTTATGGCTGACTGCATTGGCAGAATCCGGCTGATCTGAAGGTGAAGAGCTTGCATGAGACTTGCATGAGCCTTGCACTGTCTGAACGCCGACGGAAATTTCAATCTGCGAGTTTGAAAAGAGCGGCCGACAGAGGAATGACGATTGCAACCTTTGCACCGAAAAAGCTTTTGGAAGACACACACACACACACACTCACACAGTCACACTTGGTCAATATTGGTCAATTGTTTGTGAATCTTGGGCCATCTTGTGCCTTATTGAGCGACGTAGAGACATGTAAAGACACGATCACAATCATTAATGTTCCGCAACTGTCAAGCTTCAGGTCATTCGTGACCCAAATCCAAGTCAGGAGTCAGCCCAGATCATCTTGGGTTGCAAAAAACAACAACAAGCGTAGCGCCCTACAAAATTGACGCCGCTGACGCCGAAATAACATGTAGATTCAGTGGATCCCATCGGCATTCAAATGCGATCAACACATAGTTTTGGCTCTTCAAAGTTTGAAATCATGTGCGCCTGACATATCATATTCTTATATGTTCGTTCTTCGATTCTTTCATCCTTGATGTCATTATTGATAAAGAGGAATTCCATCAGCAGAACTTGACATGGTTTGACATAGCTGCATAGCTTAAGTTTTGTCGATGTAGCATGGCCTTTGGGAAGGCTGGCATGGCCATGTGGCTGAGAGTTACAAAGATCAAGACATGACTTGTGTTTGAAAAGCGACGAACGAATTGCTGATGAGTCATTTCGTTGCAAAGATCTATCGGAACAGATTGGAGACACATTTATGTTATGTTTCATCATGTCGACATCACCGTGACTCAATTGATCTCGTTTTACACATTTGTGATCGTTTGTCATCCTTTCTCATGTCTTTTTTTGTTCGTTAATTCTACAAATCCTTCTATTCTTCCCTTCTTTTGCTCGCACTGCCGCGCAGTATGGGTTCCCAATCGGTCCAGGCTTCCTTAGAGGTGAGCCTGGCCACGGTACCTCCACCGGGGCGATGTCGGTCCTGGGTTACTGCAAACAGCTCCAAGCAGCTCTTAGGTTTCCCATTTCATCCCATTTCCCAGTGTTTGAATATATATATATATATTATATATATAATATGTATATCTATATACTCTATATACTTTATATTATTATATAATATATACGTAGAATATAGATATTATATGCACATATATATATTACTATGTCTGTATATATAGTAGTATAATTATCTATATTGACTTACTTGCAAATCGCACAGATAACTGCATGAGTCCTTGGAACTGTTTGAGATGATGATCATCATCCACAGCAGTGAACACTGCAGCCTTGGCTCCAGAGGGTAAGCCGGCAAGGTAAAGAGACCGTAGTCATTCTTCGCTTGCACCAGGGAACCACCCTTAAGTAAAAAAGCAATGCTCACGCGCTGTCAAAGAAGCACTGACCACAGTGCTGTCACACACGACCGTGACAAGCAAGAGACAGGCAAGCAGAGAAAGCCAAGGAAGTGAAATCAGGGTGTAGACCTCTTGAGGGAATTGGCCGGGAAGGACACTTGCACTTCCTCAAGGCTGGCGGAGCGGAGTGGAAACTTGTGGCCTTTCCAGAAAGCCGTCAGAAACTGGTTGATAGTTGCATGGTTTCACGTCTCTTTATCTTCTATCCTACTGGGATCATGAATGATCATCAAACATCATGAGCAACATTGTATATTTATTTTTTAGAATATTAGAATGTTATATAACGTTCATAATTCATGAGTTATATAATATATTATATCATAGATATAGAAAGATTGTCCAATGTACATCTATCATCATTATCATCACAATTCATATCGTCATAGACATGTTTAAGATATAAATAGGATATACCCTCTGGTTATTTAACATAGCCATGGTATAGATGGCCCATAGAAATAGATGCTTTACCGTTCTTAAACATGGGTGGATTTTCCATGGCAAACTCTTAGTCATAACCAGATGGTAATATGGCTAATTACTATATGTTACTATAGTTATATACACTAAGTACTATGAAGTATATGTTAAATATAGTAACATATAGTACTATAGTAACATATAGTACATTAACTATAGTTATACCTGTTATATATACTAATTAATGATAACCAATAGAACTCCCACTCTCCAACCGCGCAGGTGTCATGAGGCCTTCGATGCCGCAAGGCCCAGGCAGCGGTGAGGACCTTACGATGCCGCTCATGGCGGATTAAAAAATGGGAGCACTGGAGACTAATGGCTGATTAATGGGCTGATTAATGGAGTTTAATTGATGGACTTCAATGATTTTTAATGGTTAACGAATTCTTGGCATTGTTGAACAATCATTGGCTCACTAGCCACTATAATCATTCGCTTTGCTAGCAACATTGGTTGTGCGATGCTTGGTGGTTGTGATTCTCCGAGGTATGGGTGGCATGAGAATGCCTCTGGGTATGCCTATGATGGGCTTGCCAATGATGGGTATGCCAATCATGGGTGCGCAATACCTACACGAAACGCTGGCTGGAACCCCCATGGAAAAAACTAAACAGATCCAGCGCAGCGCGAAGGTATGCCGATGATGGGCATGCCAATGATGAACATGCAGCAAATGATGCAAGGCTGGATACAATCCAATACTGTGCAGCAGAAGACATTGTCTTCAGCCGTTTTTCCTTTTGTTTTATATACGCATAATATATATATACACATAATAAATATAATATATATATATATATATACAGAGATTTAGCAGCTGAAAACCTGGAAAATCCTAAGAACCTGCACAATAATATTATTCATCTTGGAGCTTCAACATCTTCAACCATCCCATCCCATTCGCTTCCAGGCGGCCAAATGGCTGGAGCTTCTGTCCCTGCGTCTCTGAGCTGCAATGCTTTGGTGTTTGTGTATTTCCACTTAGGACCGCTAGCCATCCCAAAACCATCCAATTCTTCTACAAATCCCACACTGAAATAGTGGATTTCTATATATTTCTATGGATTTAGGGGCTTTGCAATCTTTAGATATGCTGTACTCATGTGGTATCCAGTGTGATGACTTGCTGTCATGCCAAGGGGTGCTGCTCAAGCAGGCTCTGTCTCGGGCAGCCAGGGCCTGACCGCCATCAGTGAGAATATGAGATAGTGACAGTAAGAACAGTGAACATAGATGAACATAGATGAACAATGATGAACATACTAATTTGCTCTTAAAATGCTCTTAAATAATGAACACTAACGATCTGGGAATCTCAGCACGCCGCAACGCCCAGCTTTCGGAGGCCCAGGTGGTGGCCCTGCACCCTTGGGCACGCCTCCAGAACGTCCTGAAGTGCTTGAGCGCAAGGCCGGGGCGGAAAGGGAGTGAAGCATAGAAGCATAGTGAAGCTTGGAAGGTGGACAAGTCCGGACAAGTTGGATGAAAATTTGGGTGAAGTTTGGTTGAACTGAATGGTTGGACAATGGACATCTCAGTTCTTAAACACGAAAGTGATGAGGCTGCAACTCGAGTGTATGTAGTGATGTTGGTGAATCATGGGCTGTAGACACGCCGTTTTTCTTGCTCGATGGCGTTCTGCTTGTACCAGTCTGGCCAGAAACATTGGAAGACACCTGTTTCAGCGTTAAATGTCTCAGTTTGATGAGTTTCCAGACATCAATAGACATCAGCTCCAACATTTTTTGTTCTTAGGATATCAAACGTTGTTGGATATATCGGATACGTATCATGCCCAAAATGGATCAGGAGCACTTGCTGCACGACTTGCAGCAAGCTGCCATCGAGCTTGCCCACAAGCAATATGCTGAGGCCGTGGGTAAGTCCCCAGTTACCCCAACAAAGCATTATGAATTATGATGTTCCCCAATATTTTGGGTAGTATAACCCCAGGAATTATCAACCAAAAGGATCCAAAAGGGTTTTTTACCGCTGCTCAAGTTATCCCCAGTTACCGCTGCTGGCATAATCGGGATGACCACTGAAGTGACCCACTTGTGATCCCAGTGATTGGGGATAGAATGGATTTCCCCAGTGTACATTGAGTGGTCATATGAGTCATATGGTATACATGGCATATACATGGCATATACATGGCATATACATGGCATATACATGGCATATACATGGCATATACATGGCATATACATGGCATATACATGGCATATACATGGTATATATGTTATATATGGATAACTGAATAACCACGGTATACCGCAAGGTCACAGAGAGAGAGAGAGAGAGAGACCAGTCTTTTCTGGCACGGGCGCAGGAACAGAATGAGCTGCGACAGAAACGAGATCGAAGTCGGTCCAGAGATGACCGCTGGGTTGCAGCAAACACCTGGTGATGTGATTCCTTTGTTGGTGAAATCTATATATCTGGGTTCTGGTATGTTTTGCTTTCTTAAACATCCATTAAAACATCATAAAAAGGGTTTTCCCACTTTGAAAACTTCATTGGCCTGAAGCATGAGCATCGATGGCCTCTGACATGCAAAGCACTTTTGTCATTCTAGACAGTCCTACAGCTTGAGACTCGAGACACAGCCCTGCGTTCTTGCAGGAAGACCGTAGACATTCTGCAAGGGATCTCAGACTCTTCATGTGTTTTTTGCTGTTCATCCATCCAAATGGAGATTGGGACGCAATTCCAAATGCCTCTATTGTAGAAGAGAAGATGCTGCCTGCCGAAATTGGAAATTCCATGTGCCCTAGACTGTCGGAGTGTAGATCCTTTTTGAGGCGCAAGATGAGGTGAGGTCCTCAGTACTTGAGCTCATCGAGCATGTCGAGCTGCAGCTGTGCAATGATTGTTTCAACTTGTCATGACCAAGGCAGGAAAGGAGGATGGGAAAGAAGAAGCTCCACCTCCCTGCCACCTGTGGTGTCCTCAATCTGAGGTTGTTTTGCCATGGACAAAAGATGACCAAAGACCAGAGTTCCCAAAGGACAACATGCCCACATTGCCGTTACTGATGCCTGAGGCACCCAGCGAAAAAGCCCAATGCCAAGTGCAAGTTCTGTCAGCGAGCTAGCAAAGGCTGCAAAGCTGCCCCCAAAAAGGGCAAAGAAGAGGCTGGGAATTTGAATGAAGCCCTGCCATACCTACGGATGGCAGCTGCTGCCGCAGAATTTCTGCTGAAGACGTGGGGAAGACTCGGGGTGCAATAGCTTTTGTATAAACATTTGTCCGGTCACAGTAAACAATGGTTTTGAGACAAATCTTTCCAAGGCTGTCCTGGGCTGTCCTTGTTGCTGGCCAAAAACATCTACTGTATTCGCCTGTAAAGTAAATGCACAAGTTGCTCAGAATCAGCGGAACTTGGTACACGAGAAAAGTGTAGGGCAAATGTAAAGTACTCCAGCAAAAGTGCAACAGAAGGAACACTTGTTTGGAGAATCTCGGGTTTCAGAGGAAATACAGCTATGTACTGCTCTATTGCACACTGCATCCCCAACTTTTGTTGCTTAATTCCTGAGAGGTTGAAGGGTAATTCATGGCTATATAATCAGGGCTATTTTGTAGTCAGTCCATGTCTGTCTCACATACATCACTGTTCCAAGGCAGGAGAGGGGAAAGACCATAAAGAGGCAGAAAGGGACACTGCAGGGCTCTCGACTCCGGTTTCCGCTCAGAAAGGGAACCACTGAGATGATGCGATGACACTGCGGGTATGTTTCAAAAAGTGGGGGACCTCCAAAAGTTACTCATCTCGATTGACACTATATAACCACGAAGGCGGTGATCTACCTCGAATTTCACATTTGACACATACCCAGATCACTGTGCAAGCTCTCAGAAATGAATTGAGCAACAATGGATCATAGCTATATGTTATACTATATCGCGTGGCGTCAGGAACATGGCGGCCAGGGCAAGCTCAAAAAGGCCAGAGTTGTCCGGCATTTTAGCATTTTCATCATTTTGTCAGCTGTTCTCATCAGATCTCATCAGTTTGTATGATTTTGTCAGCTGGAAATGCTGGAAAGTGAATGGAAGATACGTTGCCAGGACATGGACGATGAGGAGGATTACTCTCGCCATGGCCTCGGTTCTTACTCTCTTTGGGCGCTGTGACCTTGACAACGATACATCTTGATACATGGATTCCTCCATTGACCCTCTCCTGGCAAAAAAGTAGTTCCTTTCAAAGCGACAAGTTAAGCCGCTGAGCAGGTCGTACCTTCAATTGCAGTCCAATCTTGAAAGATCAGATTTTGGGCACCAGCCTCAGTTTGACGTTTTGTGACTTTGGATGAACAAGCTAGAGGATCTAGAGGTGGCTGGTTTATTATGGTTTATTACCTCCAGCAATTGCCAATGGAAGAGTTTATGGAACAGTGCTAAGTCGACTAAGTCCTACTTGTGTGGTTCTCTCCAAGGCTCCAGCTACTTCAAGAGCATGCTGCAGCTCACTACGATAGACGAAATCATTGAAGAGATCAAGAACTATGCCGATACGTTGGACGTGCCCTGGCCTTTTCTGGCTTTCGAAATTGAAGATTGAACATGGCCATTGAAAGATGTCCAACTTCGTCTTGTAAAGAGCCACGGCCAGGTGTACAACTCTGGGAGTAGCACATCGCCATCCAACTTCGTTTGTCAGGCGTGGCAATCGCCCAGAGCTCTGCCTCAGATTTTGACCGGGCTGACGGACCAGTGGAAAGTGAGATAATGTGAGCGCATCCTAAATGCGACAGGGAGTGAAGGGGAGGTTTCTCTCATGAAGGCAACTGACGGCTATTGGGGAGAAATCTTTAGGGAATGTAATGAACATATATAATTACATGATTATACAATATTATACATATATATACATTTCATCACACCTTTCCCAAGTCTAATATTGTTAATATGCTAATTTGCTTTGGGCCGTGCGCTCACTTGCCTGCGACGTCGGGAGCTCTGTGGCGGCACCTCTTGTCCTGGTTGATCAGCTTAAGCGTATGCTAGCTGCTAGAGCAGCTACTAGCAGGGGTGGGTTTCAGATTGGGATGTAACATGATGTAACCACTGAAGTGGTGATTCCGCCAATGTTCTGTGAATGCTGCGGAATCATGCTGGCAAGCAGGCTCTTGTTCAGAGGTGTCAAGACCAAGTAAGTACTGAGACGGTGCCTTTGGGATCCACACACTACAAACCGACTTCAAATAAAACTTTCCCGGCTCGGACGAAGGTGTACCGCATTTTTACTCTTCCTGAAGCAGAAGACCTCAACCAACTGCAGGCATGGAAATGGTACATGCGTCAAGATGCTTCCAAACCCTCCAAATAGCTTCATACCCTCTTCCTGCACATTTCATGGCTGCAAGTATTTCTAGACATGCACAGGTGATTCTGGAGAACTCTACGCCCACTGTACGGATCTCGGACGGTCATGACAGGGCAGCATTCAAACATATTCAAACACAACATGGTTTCCCAGCATGTGAAGCAACTTGCGCTGCAGGTGCGTTGTGCCGGATTGATCTATCTCCGCTTCGTTGTTCCACCAGCCAAGCTCTTTGACAAGCCCCACCAGCTTGGTTTGAAACAACTTTGGAAGTTTGAGTCGAACGACACCTCGATTCTCAATGATTTTCATATGTTCGAGAAACATGCCTCTTGAGTGACAGGCTGGAGGAGTATTTGTTCGATGAGATGGAGTTGAAGTACCAGGTACATGTACCACAATCAGCAGACCATAAATCGCTGGATGTGAGTGTTCCGAGAATGTCTGGAGTCTTGCGTGTCTCGTGTTGCTCTATGTTGCAGAATGTTCTGCTGTAGATTCTATCAAACTCTGTTCGCCGTTTCGCTACAGCAAAATACTTTTGCAGGAAGCTGGCAGAAGTGTCACAACGACCATTGGTGAATATGTCGAGGCCTGTGACACCAAGTGCATCACAACGCCACAGCTGAATTGCAGCACTTTTTTGTGTTGAAGTCTCTAGAATCCTAGAAGTCCCTACAACAAGACTGTCAGATACTGTCAGTCTGTCAGTCACTGTCAATGGTCACCCTTTGCAAGTCATCAGCCCGTGGCCACAGATCCGGCTGTGCAGGGCCTCTTGGGAAAGGAAAAGTATTTTGGTCGACCGCTGCCTCGAGTGCCCGTGAAGGCCGGGGACTTTCGTGCCTTTGGATGGACAACGGACTACGGCAGCCCGCCTTAGAGAGTCTGCTCTTGTACGTCATACATCGCCGGAGATGAGTTGGCATGGATACATAGAGCATAAATACTGAACAATCACTTTGAGACACTGTGAAATGAATGTGACATGTATAGTTAACGAACAAAGGCCCACAGTCTGATCATAGACTGTTTGGTTTTTCTGGTCAGGTGAAGCATCAACTGGAAAAGGAGCTGGCGCCTATTAGCCAATATCGAAAACGCATGGAGGCAGAAGTGGTCATCAGTTGTTCCACATTTGATGGATATTGATGTTGTAAATAATATTGTATATTATTACATGATGATATTTTGTATAAGAATTGTTTGCACTGAATTGTGAGGAAAGATGTGTCTGCTCTGCACCAAATCTTCTGCGAGTCACTCTTCACTGTGACAGGCCCATATGAAAAACAACATAAAGAAGATTGCTGGAACCCCAGTGGAGGCTCCCTGCACTGCTGATATTTTATTGTTTTCTGCTTCTTTCGGCAGAGTCTCTACATATTTTAAATGGATCATGTTCTGCTCCAAAGTTGCCACTCGTCTTTGGATCTATGGGTTTGTCTGGAAATAGGGTGCTCGATGGGCACTCCTCAATCTTGATGGGATATCATCATCCCGATTGAAATTGTTATGTATGCACCATTATATATATGATTATATTAATAATATATTATATTATATTATAATATATTATATTATATTATATTATTGAAATTATATTATATTATATTATATTATATTATTAATATTATATTATTGAAATTATATTATATTATATTATATTACATTATATTACATTATATTGGATTACATTATATTGTATTACATTATATTGTACACCCTAGAAATTTAACATAGCATAGATCAGCTCTGGCACCGGCTCATTAACATAGCATCCGGTACCGTTGTGCGGCCTGGGGAAAAGGATATAGGTAGATTTTGGGCCCGTTGGGCACCAACTCATTAACATAGCATCCGGCGCCGTTGTGGGAATAATTTGTGCATTCCCCAGGAAATGGAGATCAAAAACCTGCGATGGGTGCTAACCTGGCACCTGAAAGAGACTGACCAAGCTAGAATCCTGGAAGGCAGAAATGCTATGCTAGTTTTTTGTTTCCCCTGTGTATCCCCCTGGGGTGGTGATCCCAATGCAACGAGTCGGGGTGAGCAGCAGGTGAGCAGCAGCAGGTAAGCAGCAGGTAAGCAGCAGCAAGCAGCAGCAAGGAGCAGCAAGGAGCAGTAAGCAGCAAGGAGCCAGATTGGCAACATCGACCAGGAGTTTTTTCCTTATTCAATCTATTATGAAAAACTGTTCGTTTTGAAGCTTTTTTGGGTCCAGTAAGGGTGAGCCCCAGGAAGACATGCAAAAACAGTTGTGCCAGTCATGATTTTCAATCCAAACCAGAGTTTTGGCAACAGGATTGCTAAGATAGCATTTGCCCAGGGTTCCCAAAACATCCAATAGTACATCATAATCATCATGGCAGCAAGGAGCCAGATTGGCAACATCGACCAGGAGTTTTTTCCTTATTCAATCTATTACGTAAAACTGTTCGTTTTGAAGCTTTTTTGGGTCCAGCAAGGGTGAGCCCCAGGAAGACATGCAAAAACAGTTGTGCCAGTCATGATTTTCAATCCAAACCAGAGTTTTGGCAACAGGATTGCTAACATAGCATTTGCCCAGGGTTTCCAAAACCTCCAATAGTACATCATAATCATCATGGCAGCAAGGAGCCAGATTGGCAACATCGACCAGGAGTTTTTTCCTTATTCAATCTATTATGTAAAATTGTTTGTTTTGAAGCTTTTTTTGGTCCAGTAAGGGTGAGCCCCAGGAAGACATGCAAAAACAGTTGTGCCAGTCATGATTTTCAATCCAAACCAAAGTTTTGGCAACAGGATTGCTAACATAGCATTTGCCCAGGGTTCCCAAACCTCCAATAGTACATCATAATCATCGTGGCAGCAAGGAGCCAGATTGGCAACATCGACCACGAGTTTTTTCCTTATTCAATCTATTATGTAAAACTGTTCGTTTTGAAGCCTTTTTGGGGCCAGTAAGGGTGAGCACCAGGAAGACATGCAAAAACAGTTGTGCCAGTCATGATTTTCAATCCAAACCAGAGTTTTGGCAACAGGATTGCTAACGTAGCATTTGCCCAGGGTTCCCAAAACCTCCAATAGTACATCATAATCATCATGGCAGCAAGGAGCCAGATTGGCAACATCGACCAGGAGTTTTTTCCTTATTCAATCCTTTGAAGCTTTTTTGGGTCCAGTAAGGGTGAGCACCAGGAAGACATGCAAAAACAGTTGTGCCAGTCATGATTTTCAATCCAAACCAGAGTTTTGGCAACAGGATTGCTAACATAGCATTTGCCCAGGGTTCCCTGGAACCTCCAATAGTACATCATAATCATCATGGCAGCAAGGAGCCAGATTGGCAACATCGACCAGGAGTTTTTCCCTATTCAATCTATTATGTAAAACTGTTCGTTCTGAAGCTTTTTTGGGTCCAGTAAGAGTGAGCCCCAGGAAGACAGTTGTGCCAGTCATGATTTTCAATCCAAACCAGAGTTTTGGCAACAGGATTGCTAACGTAGCATTTGCCCAGGGTTCCCAAAACCTCCAATAGTACATCATAATCATCATGGCAGCAAGGAGCCAGATTGGCAACATCGACCAGGAGTTTTTTCCTTATTCAATCTATTATGTAAAACGGTTCGTTTTGAAGCTTTTTTGGGTCCAGTAAGGGTGAGCCCCAGGAAGACATGCAAAAACAGTTGTGCCAGTCATGATTTTCAATCTAAACCAGAGTTTTGGCAACAGGATTGCTAACATAGCATTTGCCCAGGGTTCCCTGGAACCTCCAATAGTACATCATAATCATCATGGCAGCAAGGAGCCAGATTGGCAACATCGACCAGGAGTTTTTCCCTATTCAATCTATTATGTAAAACTGTTCGTTCTGAAGCTTTTTTGGGTCCAGTAAGAGTGAGCCCCAGGAAGACATGCAAAAACAGTTGTGCCAGTCATGATTTTCAATCCAAACCAGAGGTTTGGGCAACAGGATTGCCAACGTAGCATTTGCCCAGGATCCCAAAACCTCCAATAGTACACCATAATCATCATGGCAGCAAGGAGCCAGATTGACAACATCGACCAGGAGTCTTTTCCTTATCCAATCTATTATGTAAAACTGTTCGTTTTGAAGCTTTTTTGGGTCCAGTAAGGGTGAGCCCCAGGAAGACATGCAAAAACAGTTGTGCCAGTCATGATTTTCAATCCAAACCAGAGTTTTGGCAACAGGATTGCTAACATAGCATTTGCCAAGGGTTCCCAAAACCTCCAATAGTACATAATAATCATCATGGCAGCAAGGAGCCAGATTGGCAACATCGACCAGGAGTTTTTTCCTTATTCAATCTATTGTGTAAAACTGTTCGTTTTGAAGCTTTTTTTGGGTCCAGTAAGGGTGAGCACCAGGAAGACATGCAAAAACAGTTTTGCCAGTCATGATTTTCAATCCAAACCAGGAATGTTGCAACAGGATTGTAACATAGCATTTGCCCAGGGTTCAAAACCCACAATAGTTACATTCATAAACCATATGGCAGCAAGAGGCAGATTGGGAACATCGAACAGGAGTTTTTTCCTTTATTCAATTCTATTAGTAAAAAACTGTTCGTTTTTGACGCTTTTTTGGGTCAGTAAGGCGTTTGAAGCCCCAGGAAGACATGCAAAAACAGTTGTGCGAGTATGATTTCACTCCAAACAAGCGTTTTGGCAACAGGGATGCTAACTAGCATTTGCCCAGGGTTCCCAAAACCTCCATAGACATCATAATCATCATGGCAGCAGCAAGAGCCAGATTGGCAACATCGACCAGGAGTTTTTTCCTTATTCAATCTATTATGTAAAACTGTTCGTTTTGAAGCTTTTTGGGGTCCAGTAAGGGTGAGCCCCAGGAAGACATGCAAAAACAGTTGTGCCAGTCATGATTTTCAATCCAAACCAGAGTTTTGGCAACAGGATTGCTAACATAGCATTTGCCCAGGATTCCCAAAACCTCCAATAGTACATCATAATCATCATGGCAGCAAGGAGCCAGATTGGCAACATCGACCAGGAGTTTTTTCCTTATTCAATCTATTATGTAATAAACTGTTCGTTTTGAAGCTTTTTTGGGTCCAGTAAGGTGAGCCCCAGGAAGACATGCAAAAACAGTTGTGCCAGTCATGATTTTCAATCCAAACCAGAGTTTTGGCAACAGGATTGCTAACATAGCATTTGCCCAGGGTTCCCAAAACCTCCAATGGTACATCGTAATCATCATAGCAGCAAGGAGCCAGATTGGCAACATCGACCAGGAGTTTTTCCTTATTCAATCTATTATGTAAAACTGTTCGTTTTGAAGCTTTTTTGGGTCCAGTAAGGGTGAGCCCCAGGAAGACATGCAAAAACAGTTGTGCCCGTCATGATTTTCAATCCAAACCAGAGTTTTGGCAACAGGATTGCTAACATAGCATTTGCCCAGGGTTCCCAAAACCTCCAATAGTACATCATAATCATCATGGCAGCAAGGAGCCAGATTGGCAACATCGACCAGGAGTTTTTCCTTATTCAATCTATTATGTAAAACTGTTCGTTTTGAAGCTTTTTTGGGTCCAGTAAGGGTGAGCCCCAGGAAGACATGCAAAAACAGTTGTGCCAGTCATGATTTTCAATCCAAACCAGAGTTTTGGCAACAGGATTGCTAACATAGCACTTGCCCAGGGTTCCCAAAACCTCCAATGGTACATCATAATCATCATGGCAGCAAGGAGCCAGATTGGCAACATCGACCAGGAGTTTTCTCCTTATTCAATCTATTATGAAAAACTGTTCGTTTTGAAGCTTTTTTGGGTCCAGTAAGGGTGAGCCCCAGGAAGACATGCAAAACCAGTTGTGCCAGTCATGATTTTCAACCCAAACCAGAGTTTTGGCAACAGGATTGCTAACATAGCATTTGCCCAGGGTTCCCAAAACCTCCAATAGTACATCATAACCATCATGGCAGCAAGGAGCCAGATTGGCAACATCGACCAGGAGTTTTCTCCTTATTCAATCTATTATGTAAAATTGTTCGTTTTGAAGCTTTTTTTGGTCCAGTAAGGGTGAGCACCAGGAAGACATGCAAAAACAGTTGTGCCAGTCATGATTTTCAATCTAAACCAAAGTTTTGGCAACAGGATTGCTAACATAGCATTTGCCCAGGGTTCCCAAAACCTCCAATAGTACATCATAATCATCATGGCAGCAAGGAGCCAGATTGGCAACATCGACCAGGAGTTTTTTCCTTATTCAATCTATTATGTAAAACTGTTCGTTTTGAAGCTTTTTTGGGTCCAGTAAGAGCGAGCCCCAGGAAGATATGCAAAAACAGTTGTGCCAGTCAAACATGGCACCTTCCATTTGGTGGTTCCAGCTTTGGAGTATTCGCCATGTTCCCAAACACAGTACGGACACTAACTTGACACTTTTGGGAATTTGTGCTGATGGAGGCGCGGCAGGTGTCAGGTTAGTATGAAAATCACCCCATGAACATGCAAGATTTCAGCTGCTATGTTAGCGCTGTTCAACGGGAAATCCCGAACGCTAACGTAGCGGGATATTTTTTTTTGGGCCCAGGTTAGATTTCACGGGAGTATTACATTATAGTATATTATATTGTATTATATTATCTTACATTATATTATATTGTAACATATTATATTATATTGTATTATATTATATTATATTATAATATATTATATTGTACTATATTATATTATATTATATTATATTATATTGTATTATATTATATTATATTATAATATATTATATTGTATTATATTATATTATTGAAATTATATTATATTATATTATATTATAATATATTATATTGTATTATATTATATTATTGAAATTATATTATATTATATTATATTATATTATTGAAATTATATTATATTATATTATATATCATGTCATGTCATGTCATGTGTTTGGAAAACCCAGATGTGCAACATCTTTTTCCAGTGCTTGGAACCTGGGAGGTTTTCCACGATGGACAGTGGGTCCCCGGCACCGCCCAAGACTTTGTGGGCAGGGTCGTGAAGGGGCGCAAGGCGAGGCCATTCCTCAGCTGTGGATCAGAGATGGTTCAATTTATTTGGTAAATTGTACAAGTACATACCGATGATAAGTTACGTCCCCCGGAATCGGTAATTTCATTGATATTAAGTGGACAATTTCATATCAAGAGAATTGTTTTGCCATACTTACTAGTTGATTTGGGGCTAGGCTGCTAGGCTGACAACTCTTTCTGCTGCACAAACGCTCTTCAGGTGAAAGTTGAGCTGGAAAATGCACAAGAGGTGAATGTGCACATGGGCAAGGCCGACAAAGATTGTGCATTGATGGAACTACATACTCCAAACAGCCCATCCATAGCATAGGCCTACCAGTTTCATCATAAGACTCAAGACTCAAGACGATTTGAAACTGTAGATTTCCCGAGTAGCTTGTGACTCTTGATTATGATTATTTTCTGTTGTATTGTTTGTAGAATGCCTAGCGATCCCTAGCGCAGCAATTCCTTTGGTGAACTCCCTCGAAGTGCCTCGACGAGTGACCGAATCGTGATGTAGAGCAGCAAGATCTGCGTGAGGTCGTCCTCCGAGATGAGGGTGGCAAGGCAGAGGACAGGGACTGGACAGGGCATGCCAGGGCCACTGCCTGAAGTGTTGTTATATAAGTGTTGGTGAGGTTTCCCATTTCTGATGGATTTCCCTCACTTTTGATTCAGGCCTTCTCTGGTTGGTGCGCAGTTTTGCCCTCCAGGATCGGGGTGACGACAAGGAGTCAGGAGACGACAAGAGCGGCTCGGAAGATGAGGGCAAAAAGAAGCGCAAGAGGCCGGCCGGGAGCCGATTTCAGGATCAAAAGGAGTATGCAAAAATATGAGTAGTTTGGGTCTGGATGTCTCTGGAAATTGGATGTAGACTTGATTGCTACTCGTACCTCAGTAAAGGCTACCAACTTGCATGTAGCATCATGCATCAATCATGCAAAAAGACATCATTCTGTTGCATATCTGTTGCATGCCTTGCAAGTCGTGGCTTTAAAGACGACATTTGAGCCCACAAACAACAAGCTATTTAATCTGGTATGTACACTAAGTCAGTAAGTGATAGGTTTTGTTTTGATTTGCTTCCTTTCTTCCATATGCCCAAAATCCCCCAGGAGGAGCAGTCGAAGCCGTAGTAGGCGGAAATCGAGGAGTCCATCCTTGGACTGGTTGAGGGCTTAGAGATGCTCAGATGTCCTGATCCAACTTTCTGCAGGGTTCTGCCTGGAGTTTTGCAGCATTTTGCAGCCCTTGATTTGTCGCCAGGTGCCGCTACAAAGGCAGCCAGGACAAGGATCTGTTGGAGGCACCTGGGGATTGAACTGGGTCAAATTGAATATGTGAAACCTAGCACCACTGAGAACCATTTGGGAACCCCTTTTGCAACATATTGTAACATTCGTAACCTCACACATGCTCAGAATATGTTTGATTGGCGGCCTTGCAGAAGCTTTGGCTAGGATATACTGAGACCATGAGCATGTTGTAGCGAATGGGCAGTGAGCTTTATGGAGTCAGCATGAGTCAGCACTCTTTTGGTTTGGCCATTGCAGCTTAACAACCATTGCAGCTTAACAACTCTTAACAGGCCTTGCGGGAAAGGGCCAGGGAAGAAGCGGTCATGCCCTCAGCGAAGGAGCAATTTTTGTGATCCATGAATATCGATGATTTGTTCCGTGTGCCCCGCCAATTTCACTGTTCCTTGCGTTCCTGGTTCAAATCTTACCACCTCCCACAGCCGCCACCAGCTCACGGGTATTCATCAGGGCACTTAGCAACAGCATGTGACAAGGTGTGCTCCTACGGCAAGACCTACTCTCGAAGTAGTCGTCCTGTGACGACTACGGAGGCCTGGAACCAGAAGGGCTGACGAGATTTGCATTCTGCAGGTCTTTGTTCACACAGAGTGATACTTGGCCATGGGGGTTGCTCCAAATCTTGACCTCCTGTCACAATTGTCAGAAGAATAACATACCTGGAATCGTCAATGCGATCTTGCTTTCCAGGGTGGTGACAAGTCCTCCCGATCAGACAACAAGGAGCAAGCCTATGCTCAGCAGATCTGACACAGTGTAAGCTTGAATTTAAAGTTATCGGCGCCAACAAAGCAATATGTTGGCAGATTTCAAGTGAATCTTATAAATGTTGTCCTAGTAGCGGCTCTGACAGTTTGAGGTAGATGCACTTCTAGCCATCCAACAAACAACTTGGCCAAAAGCAGCAAGGCAGTGTACTTTTAAAGTTAAAGATGCGTTGAATTTCTGTTGCAGGACTCTGGAGGAGGTGAATTCAGATCAAAGATGCGACAAGAAGAGGAGGAGGCGGGAACCCTTCCCATGGTCAACCTACTCGCAGTATTGAAATGTATTGAACCAATATCAACCGATAGCCACTGGACCTACTGGAAACATGATGAGCAGCTACCTCGTCTTGACCCTCCTCTTGGATCATCAACGTTGTCCCCCTGTCCATCCCTATCCCCAGTCCATGGGACTTTGTTGCTGTGACCCATTTGGGAAAGTCAAGCGCATATTGACTCCAAATGAGTCTGTAAAATTCTGTAAATGCTTTCGATTAGAGCTACTGGGATTGACTCGAACAACTCGGGCATTTCAGCAGAGAAATCGCTTCACGGCATGCTGAGAAACTGAGGAGCATAAGAGAAGAATGCGAGACATCTATGAGAAGTATGGCAACCAGAAAGCTGCCACGTCCAACTATGCAGCAGGCGCAAGTTTGCTCCCAAAGCAAGAGAGTGAGCTTCCCTCGATCTTATGAGCAACTCTTGGAAAGAATTTTACTTTGATGCCCTCAACATCTTTCAACCACATAGATGATAAGGACTAAGGCTAAGGACAATGTTGCAGAACTTAAGTAGATTGCTGTTTGCTGAAACGATGAATCAATACGAATCCTTACGGATAAGTTGTGGGTAGACTCAAAGATTGAACCGCAATTCTGGCCCATCTTGGCCCATCTCGGCGCATCTTGGCCCATCTTGGCCCGAGGTCCGCGAACCGAAATTGACCAACCCGACGTTCTGAGACTCGGGTAGAGCTGGGTAGCTGTGGGCGCACGGAACCCTGGACCAAGCTGCAGCCTGGTGCTCACCCGCTTTGGAAAAAGTGAGGGGTTCGGCGGGTTCCGGGATGAGCTGATAAAATCTGCAAGCACTGAATGAATCTGATGAGATCTGATGAGCAGTGTGGTGGAGCAGTGTGAATTTCACGTGATTTGACATGAACTTCACCGAGTGTGGGAAATTCTCAAGATTGACTCACTTGCTTCATTTGTTCCAGTATACTCAGTATGTTCCAATCGTTATTTTTGGAGACAATCAGAAATCGGCTTGGCATCGCAGGCTCCATGGCATCGTCAAGGCAGCACTCAGGCGGGCCGCAATTCTTTTTTCCAATTCAACCAGGGCAGATATGGATGAGATCATGGGATGGAAGGATGGAACATGGAATATATTTACTTATTATTACTTACACTTTTACATTATTCAATGGGATACAATATATTATATAACATAATTTGATATTTATAATTTGGATAATGGGATGTGAGATGATGTAAGATAGAAACCACACACGCACATATATATACTGGTTGGTGGTTTGGAACATTTTTTATTTTCCCCAATAGTTGGGATGATACTCCAATCTGACTAATATTTTTCAGAGGGGTTGAAACCACCAACCAATATATATATATATATATATAGACGTATATATATATATATACATATCAGCATCATGGATACCCAAAAATAGTAAACTTCATGGGGAAACTGATGATATGGTGTTTTGGGGTACAGTATGTTCAGACATGTTCAGACCAATTTTTACTCCATGAATATTTCGGAGGATGATCGCACAGTCATTGTTTTCGACTGCTGTGCAGGATGGGAGTGGCTTGATTACCAAAGTCCTGAACTTACAAGGGCCTTGAGAGATCATGGGGACCTGGTTGAGATATGTTGAGATTCATTGTCATTTGCATTGACTCCTGCCTTTTCCTGAGCCTCAGGCAGCTCCACCGCAAGGCGGCATCGCGACAGTTCTATCATGGTTCCATGGTTTAGTTGTTGCCTTTAAAGGAGCCAGACCTTGGTTGAGCTTAGGCTGCTGGCATTTACTCGTACATAGCTGCCATAGCCTTTTGCTTTTACTCAAGTCGAGATTGAATCCCCGCCACGTTTGGCCAGTTTCGGCTTCAGAAAGGAAGAGTTGGTTCCAGCTCGTTCCCAACACCTGTCCTTACCCCTTCAAACGCAATCAGAGTCCTGACATGACGTCCCTGCAGCAGGATCTGTGCTGCAAAATACCATGACGCTTCCAGAGTGCCTTGAGCCAGCTTAATATTGATCTCTGACACAGCAAGGTTTGTCAAACTGGTATGATGGAGGTTTCCCGTGTGATGTCGTCGATTTTTTCCTAAAGCATAAAGGTCCTCTAAAGGTCCTTAATGTATCAGTTTCAAAAACGGGTCGTGACATGACTGTCTTAAATTTCGCAGGTACAGACAAGCCATTGTGGAGATTTATTCCATCCACAAACCAGACAATGTCATGAAGGTCGACTACCTCTTAGAAAAGTGCCAGCCTGAGTTTGTATCATTTTGTGTCCTTTCCAGTGGAAGCCAGCTAGTTGAACATGTTTGATATCTTTTCTGGCTAAAGTCATCTAAAGTCTAAAGCGGCTAAAGATATCTAAAGAACACACATATAAGTATCATATAATAAGCATATATATATATAAGCTTGCTTTGTCGCTGTGAATCGAGGTACAGAGGAAATGAGGAATATCTCTTCAGGAGCATTTGCACCAAGTGCGCCTGGAGGGTGCCATGATAGGCTGAGGCACTACTCCCATCGGCATTTATCGACATACGCCGACGGGAACTGGAAGGTATGAAGTGGACCCTTCGCGCTGGCCTCGCTCTGAGATCCAGACTCTACAAAGTCTTATCCAAATATACGACTGTTTGCATGACTGATCGGGGGGGTCATTTCTGGTCCCTACTTGGGATAATTGCCCAATTGACTGATCATTCTTGGAACAGTTTGACCACCAACAAAAAGATGTCATGGTTTCAACTTGAACCGGGAGGTCTTCGCAATCCAGCTTGGCGCCCGTCAAGCCGACGCCGACATTGCTGCCGCTGGAAGCTTAGATTGAACGCTGGAAGCAAACCTCTAAACTATGTTGGTTCATGTTGGTTCCAATTGCTCCTGTAAGATCCATGAGCAGAATCTTATTGCAAAACATAGGGTTAGTAACGTATGTTTATACTTAAATAAATTTAATAGTATTGGCCACATTTCGTGAACACTTCTACGTGTTGAGGATCCAATTTAGCAACTCAACATAGATCGTTTTTCGCGGTTTCTTTGGAATGTCACGCCTCATCACTCCAGCATGAAGGCCCTACTTACTCTCTGTTGCATGTGCCTGCAACAGAGAATAAAGAAGCCACAGTCGGCTAGGGTCTGCTAAAAGCTGCTGATGGTTTGCAACCAGAACGACCCAGCGGCAAATGTGACTGAGTAAGAGTCTGTATGCAGAACTCTTGTCCTACTACAATTATTGGGTCCTTACGTTAAAACAACACAGTGTTTTCAAGAGCGCAGCCGTGCAGCGGCCAACAAAATGGGTACAGGCCACCACCGCCACCTCCACCGGTGCCTTGTGGAGGACCAGTTTGGCAGACTTCACCGTGCCTTGCTGCGATTTGATCGTTCCGAATTCGCTCCGATTTCTCGATTATTGGACTTTCAGCATGTGATTGGCATATACGGAATTGAAGGGTGTGTTCAACTATTGCCAATATGTGTAAGGTATTCTAAGCCTGAAAAGCAACAGCGCTGTCGCACAAAGAGCTAGACTTCTGAGGCCAGCCGTGCAGACCAAAGCCAAACCTCGATATCACCTATCAGGCCGACTATGGCTGCATAGACAGTGGACGTTTCAGCCGTGCGTTTGCATCGAGGTCCTCCAGTGGCAATTCAAAATGCCGCTTGGCATCGCTTGGTACAAGCTTCAATCATTTTTAAAGACTCAATCCGCCGAAACGATACCGGCAATCTGGCAGTTTGTTGAATCTGAAATTTCACTTGCGTACTGTAACGCTTGTCATATTGGTATCATATTATGTGGCAATCTTCTGCACTCTTGCTCTCAGGGTGGCATGCCAACTCGATCAGGCAGAGCTTTGGTCGATGCCTGTTTATTCAGACCGATTGCCCCTCTCCCTGCCAGGGCTTTTTGATGCTTTTTGACAGGTTAGAGACCCCTTTCGCAGGTACTTTGTATTTCACTTTACTGGCAGTGTTGTTCATCTTTTGATAGACTCGAGATGTTCTGCCTGACTCAGTGGCAGTCATGCGAAAAAACGGTGATTGCTCGTTCGCTTGATAGCCAATATCTTGTTCCCTCGGTGCACTGCTTATGCACCTTCTCACTTTGCTATAACATCTATAACATGTTCCCCGCCTCAGCCGCAATCTCTTCAACTTCCTACCACCACCGCCCAAAACCTGAGGGGCAACGGCATGTGTACGACCAGTCTAAACAAGCATTCAAATAGCACACAGCACCCACTGATCCCCACTGAGTCCAGGGTGCGCAGAGTGCAGCTTTGGTTCCTGACGGACTGTATTGGTAGGTTCAAGTTGTTTTCGAATTTTCCACAATTTGTCTATGACATGCCACAGGGATTGGCTATCAAGCCAAAACCTCAGGATTCATCAAGAGAGGGAAAGCATGCGTTCGATTTGTTCATAAACATTCATAAAACAACAATGAAGGACAACGAATGCATCTCAAGTTTCATGTGGTAGCGAGGAATTATTTTGCTACGAGGCCCCACCTCCTGCTCCACTCAAGCAGAAGCACGAAGTCATGGAAGCTCTGGCATGTCTTAGGCGGTACGAAGATGTACATAGCAGGCGATCGTTGATCGTGATAAACTGGCCATAACCATTAGATCATGATAGATCAACACCCATTTGCCTCATGTTATGGATGATATGGATGTTGTCCAAACAGTGGGTGATGGACCGCACATTTTGTAGACGCCGATAGTTGGAGTGGGATCAATGCATATCAATGCCACATGTTGCCACATGTTGCAATGCCAATAATGCCAGGAGTGGGATCCGGCAACTGGGCAGATGGTTGCTACAACCATAGAAATCGAGACTGGAGACTTGCCCCAGGCTCGACTTCGAGAGCTTTGATGGCAGGGATATGGCACAAAAAAGGACGAGCACAAGCATCCTTCTACATGTCTACATGATTCTACATGCAGATACCTGGGTCTTCTTTATTGATCTTTATTCTGTATACTGTATATTGTGTTTAATCAACGTTTGATTTGTGATTTCTTGTTAATTATTTTGTTCTGATTGCCACAGCGTGTCAGGCAGCGCCAGCCCCAGTTCCAGCACCATGTCCACCTCAAGAGGTGAAGGTGTGGATCAGCTGGTCAACCGAACAACCCATTGATGGCTAACTGCAGCAGGCATTTTGGTATCATGTTGGTCATGCTTGACAATGCTTGGCACTAGCATTCGCAAAGATGGCATTGCAACGTGCAGCACTAGCCCTTCTTGATCCATACCAAACAATGACAAGTTGTACTTACTGCACACCAGATTTAATCTGATTTTATAAATTTTTATAATATACGTTTTCAATAGGTCCGGAACAAGCCTCTTATACCTAACTCATGGGTTCCATATGTCCGGATCACCGCGGAACGATTTACAACCCCGTTTTGAGAGCCATACCCATAGTTACATTCGTCTCCGCAGAATGCATGGGGCGAGAAGTTAAAATGCTGCACGTTCTGCCTTCGAATGAGATACTGAAGCTTCATATATATCTTCATATATCTTCATATACCTTCATTCATCTCCAGTCATTTTTTGCATGTTGTGGCGCCAGATGACACCTCCCCCGCCTCCCATGGTGGTTGTGCCGACCATCCCAAAGCAGGCCACTTCTGGGGACAAATACGTGCATGTAATGACTTCAGTGACCTTTGGATAGCTAACTTTTTAGTCGACTGGAAGATCTGCAGAGGTTTGGACAGAAAAGGAGAGGACAGAGGTTTGCGTCCATCTTTGCAGTCTCTAATCGATTGGTGAAACATTTTGCAGCTTGCCCATAGCCGCCATAGCCTTTCATGGAGGCGGCTCCGACTCCAGCAACACCGCTGATGCCAGCAGCAGCACAGGCCAGGGCCGTTTCCATGCCATATCCATTTCGATATAAAAAGCCCACCCGCTTGTGGTTTTCCACAACACTGACCCGTCTTGCTTCGGAACTTTCAGATGGCTTTCAAAGAGACTAACAGTGACTAACAGATCACAACAAAATACCAAATAAAACAACATCAAACAACATTTTGCAGTTGGCGAGATTTGGCGAGGGAGAGCAGAGATCTTAGTGTGCATTTAAGAGGGATACTATACACGCACATTTAGCAGGTAGATACAGATGACACAGTCTTCAAGTCAGCGGTCATTGGAGGCCGCCGCAGCCGCTGCCCTGGTACCATCAGCTGCTGAAATCATGCCTCAGGCACTGCCTACACATGCATGGGTTGTGATGACGGCATACATGTCATTAAGATTCATAAAATATGTGTTATATTATATTTATATTATGATGTGCTTTATCAAATCTTGCTTTGGAAGAGAATCTTTGGGCACTGCCTTAGATGCGTTTGAACTGTTTCACTGGTTCTGACAGTGGACCATGGTGAGCCATCCGACATTGGATTTTCATCCAGCCTTGGGCTAGGAGGCGGCCGACGACGAATATGACCCCTTTGCTGAAGGCGCCGCCTGCGGCGCCTGCGGCGCCTGTCCGCACACTTCCCTCCCAGTGCGTTTCGCTGCTTGCCCAGGCATGGATCTTCCACAAGGGGAACTGGACATTGTGCATCCCCGCCCTGCTGGGAAGTTGGAGACCTCGTTCCTGAGAGATGTCAAGCAGAAATTGGAGATCCGCAATCCGCAACAACATTGCCAGCTGCTTTGCCTCTCAAGGCTCAAAAAGTGGCTCACAACTACAAGTAGATGGAATTAATACATTGGCATATTATCATATATTGACATATTGTCGCCATTTGCCGCCCGTGATGCAAATGCGACGCAAAGTATATCATTGCACCGCTAAAACAGCATTGGTTGACAATCTTGCCTTCCACAGTCTGACAAGTGAAACAACAAGCCTTGTAATATGCATAGGCAATCGCAGCTTGCACAAACCGAGTCTGATGCCATCAACACATGTTTTGCCAGCTTTGCACCTAGATTGCAATGCCCAGCGGTGCCAAAGTTGTGCTGCTTGTGGTGGTTGAGGCATTTGGTAGCTCAATCCACAGCCTGGCATGGCAACCCTGGGAGCACATGAAGCAGCTTTGGCAGTGGATGCATCCTGGACAGCACCACCATTTTCTTCACCATGAAGCCGCCCCATGGACAAAAGCACATGTAGCTGGGCGAGAAGCACTTGGTGAAGAATTTGAGATGAGAGGCGTAGTGGCACAAGTGGAAGCTGTGTTGTGCTGTTGAGAGGTGAAAATCTTTGTGGCATAATGTGGCATCAAAGAAGTAGCTCTTCCAATGGGTGTCAGGATGGAATGCTGAAACTTTGATAAACTTTGTAGATCTGAAATCATATGCCCTGAGATGCAATTTAACCGTTGAGGGGCTTTTCGCCATCTCCCTTTTTTTCATCATTGGACATGCCTTGACATGCCAGGTGAAAGTCAGCTGCGGAGGACAGTCCCAAAGGCTGGAAGACTTAGCAAAAGGATGTTGCCCTCAAGTCAGAGGAATTGTCTCAGCAAGTCTGAAACGTAACTGCACATCTAACATGTGCTTGCATTTTGAGTTTCAGGTGGACTTGAGCAATTTCTCTTTGGAGCTCTTTGAGAACGACTTCCATCACAAGCAGCCCCTGGTGCTTACTGGTCTGGTGCCAAAATGGCCTGCCACCAGAGAATGGACATGGGAGCAGCTCACTGACCCAAAAGGACAGCCGCACAGAATGATTCGCGCACACCAGTGTTGTTTCAGCATGGGGAAGTTTGATTGTAGTCTTATCACCTGATCATACTATTTTATTTGTTGTTATGTTTAGAGATATACTGGTAGCAGCTATGATAATCTATAATGCATAGGTGTATGTGTGTGTATGTATATATACACACACATGCGTGTTCAGAATATTTATCATATACTTGTAGTATATGTCTACACGCGAAAGACGTTGGTGCTAACCAGTAAGAGATGGACATCGACTAAGAGATGCAAACACTTGCAAAACCCTGCACTCTTCGTCCAGCATTTGAGAACTCTGCGAGGAAAGTATGGACGCTTTCAGCTAGACAAGCACTTGACTTTCTATTTCTCAACGCATGCGCAGGCCATGAATTTAGAACATCATCATCACCTTCATCAAACTGTCATCTATTTCGGGGGGTTCTTGAAATGGGGTGCCCCAATCATTCAAACTTGATCAATTTTAACAAGGAAACCAATCATTTTGGGGTACCCAAAATTTGACAAAAACACATTTGGGCACTTTTTATAGGAAACCTGTTTCTACTTTTGTTGCCTCCCAAGCCTACGATGATGGCCAGAACGAGAACCTGTTCTTGGAAAACATCATTCTACAGCCACCATTTGCACATGATTGTCCCCTTCAGTGCGGGCCCTTAGTTTGGGCCTAGCGCCAACTCTGGTCTCTGTTCTTGGTGACGCATAGCAAGCTACAATGTATCTTCCCAGAAGGTTCAATCAGTGTTACGCAAAACTAGCGCTTTCTATATAGAGCTGCATGGTCCCTGGTTGTGGGTTGAATATGTACAGTAGTGTTTATAACATATTAAAACAGAAAAAAGGTGATACTTCCAGAGGAAATATGTTGAATCCCTTTCCAGCAGTGATCGTGCACCCTAGGTCTGTGTCCCAACAAGGAGATGGTCCAAAGCAAATTCTTGGAAGACACTTGGAGGCAACTGACACAAGCTGCATCATGCTCCATGGTTTTGGATTGGAATCGCTCTCTAACACACACATATATATACATACATATATACATACACAGTTCAATTCATGAGAACTGTGCTTTGAAATCTCAACTTGATGCATGTTGGACATGTTGGATGGTGTACAAGCTACCAGCTTTGCCAAGGAAACTTCTTGCCGCGCCTGAACAAGGACGAATATGCTGCTATGTGAATAGTTATTCCATTTGATTGTGTTTGATTCTGCCTCTTGAAGTGTCCATTGCCGTGTGCTGCTGTTGTGTCGTCGATGTGGCAGCCTAAGAACTGGCATTATAGATCAATGCAGGTCTGAGCACCTAGCAAATGCATTCGTTGTGCTAATGCTGAAACGGAAATCAAATGCCTCTATCTCATGTTCTGCAGAACTCAACCTAGACCTATATAATATAGACCATTTTCAGACCTAGAATTACCAATGATTTGAAAATCCCTGCCATCAACATGACTCACCATCATTGTTGAAGTTCTTTGATCCTGCCAGGCCTGGTCTGAAGCCAAGGAAGAGGCCATTCAGGTGAGCGAAGCAGCAGGGTCAGTGCTCGTAGGTCATAAGCTCTTGAATTGGTTTGCGTCAAATTTGCTGATTATGGCTGAAAGCTGTTTAATTAACCGCAAGATTGAGAGGTGTCAGGAAAGCGAGAGGGATATTCCTGGACCTGCCTCAGATGAAAATGACCTAAAATGACCTTAAATCTTTGGACCAAGGTTGCAAGCAAACCATGCTCATAACAAGACACAGCTGAAAAATCTCCCGAGTCATCCTGACCCAACACTTTCGGCTTACCACGCTTACTGTATGATCCCTAGTGACCTAGTGGTTCACATGTGGCCAGTATATATAGATTAATATAGATGATATACTGTAGATGGTTGTATAAATAACTTTGATGACAGGGTGTTGGTACTCTAAATGGTTGGTAAAATCTGTGGTAAAGGCGTGTGTATATAGTTTGCCTATAATATTTGCCTTTTTTTGCCAAGCATCCCCTGAACCTTTCGTTGCTTCACCAGGAAGGACTTCTGGAAGGCGACTTTGCCGAGTCGGTGCAAGGCTTCGTCATCGCGGGTCCTGCTGGAGCTGGTGGCATGCTCCACATCGATCCAGGCTGATCAACCCATTGAATCCTTTCATACATTCTGTCTAAATATGTCTAAATAATGTTTGTTTCTTTTTCTGTATCTATATATTATATTATATATATTATATATCGTCTAGATTATATATTATGAGATAGGTTTATATGTGATGTATAGTCTGTATATCTATATGTTGATATATTTTGATGTATGGATATGCATATCACACGGGTGTAGAATCTTGAGTGAGGGATGGTGATGGGATTCCAGAAGGATTGCCAGAAATGACATATTTTCCAGCACCTCAAAGGCTTCAGAAACAGTCTAGGAGATGGTTGATTTGGACTAAGAAGACAATGGCGGAAACCTCTGATGCGGCTGTGAACATATAGAGCGAAGACCTGGGTCTCATCATGACTCTGCAGCTAATATGAACATATGAATCTTGCAGAACCTTCATAATCATCCAACTCAAAAAAAAATGCGCTGCCCTCTTTAATTTTTCCATGCACCTTTGCCCGGCCAGATTGGACCTCCTATTGGAATGCGTTGGTTCACGGCCGGAAGCGATGGATGTTTTTGACCCACGAGGACTCTGACCTGTTTCGCAGTTTGATGTCGTTAATGTCGTTGTCAGATTGCCTCTTGACGCATCTTGACGACTCTTGACGCTTGACTCAAGGGTTTATGATGGTTTCTGAGGAGCTCACCTCACTGGCAGATCTGGTGATTTCAAAAGGCTTGACGCAGGACTGGGATGTGCCAAGTTTTACTGGTTTGCTTAGCAACTTTGCTTGGATTTCGCAAAAAACCTGCCAGCTTTCGGCATGCTTTGATGTGATCTAAAGTTTTAAAGTGTTTTTCAGGAGGTGGCCAATCTGACATCGCCAGCCAAATCCGGTGTTCAAGCAACACCTCGATATGTCAAGAAGTCTTGGGCTGAAAATGCAATTTGTTGTGATCCAGCAGAAACGTTCTGATTCGTTGTGAAACAAGAAGACACTTGAGCGACTTTGGTGCATTTTTAGACACAATGTTTTTGCACAACTGTTTTGCCTCTTTCCGAGCATGCATTTCTGTAGATGCAAATGCATTCGCCTTTTATGCCTCATGTCAATGTTGGAATTTGTAAAGTACTCAGTAAATCACATTTGAGGTTGCTGAAGAAGCTACCTGCAATCATTTGGTTTGGGAAGCTTCTGCCACTTTTGCAGAACGCCAAGCTCCAAGAATGCATTTCAATGAAAGCAATGCCCAAGACTGGACAGCAAAGCGAGAATGCCAGAGAACCTTTGCGCATCGTTTCATTTCGAGGCCAAAGTGGACTTTGCCCGTCAGGAAGTCGTGGTGGAGGTCCGCATGCAAGCAGAGATGTTTGCTCTACTTGAAGCCACAAAGCTACCGTTGGATGTCGACTTTTTTTTTACGTCCAGGCTGGGGAATTGGTTTATGGACCTCCTGATGTATGGCATGTTGCTTTGGCCCTAGAGGAGATGGGACATGATGGGACCGCAGCATGATATCCAGCACTGATTGAACCAAGAAACATGTCAGATGGAAGGACTCGATTTGCTGTAGCGAACAGATGATCGACGAAGGTAACCTTCTCCGCTTTGTACAGGCTCGCAATGGACCACGGTTCACAGTCACAGTGACCGTTCACCTTTGTTCACCAGCTGACAGGATGAAGGGCAGAGCTATGAACCATCCTTTGCCTACCTGGGTTGCCAGGAGCGGGTCCCGGTCGCACATGGGTCCCACATGGGTCCCACATGGGTCCCACATGGGTCCCAGCTGTTGCGTGTCCCCATCTCGCCTTGAAGGCTGGCAAGAAGCATTGGCCAGAGCTCATGGAGCTGCACTCAGCTTCACGCTATTTGCTCATATTTGCTCATGAACTTCATTGATGATGTTGGATTTGGATGACCTTTTCGGGATTTCAGTGCAAACCAGTGAATACATTCTTGAGTGAAGAATGTAGATGGGATGGACTTACTGGTGTAAAAATGAATTGCTCCACATAGATCATGGCACTTCTGTGGCGACAAGATGTAGCCATGTAGCCGAAATCCTTCCTAAGATAGCCAAGACTAAGACCTTTCCAACAATTCAACACAATTCATACTTGGCTTGAGGAGCCTTTGGCCTCCTTCTGTGAAAGAGCTGAGAAAGATTTGAGGAGGCATGTCACGCCTTTAATCACCTGATGAAGATGCACGGATATATAATGCAGCCATAAACAGGACATTCTAGGTTGCCCCACGGACCTTCGGCTACGCCCACGCCTTGCGTTGACATTGACTAGTTTTCAGTGCAGGGTACGGCTGGGAAAAAATGTCACGCCTTTGAATGCATTATGGCGCATTTGATCACATGCAATATCCTTTGCTTTGGCAAGGGAAGCTCGCCTTCAACGCCCTGCGAAGAAAGGCATGGAACACAGTACACGGAAAGGTCTGGAAAAGATGCAAGTCAGCAACCAGTGCGATCAGACCCGCATTGCATCTTGCATCAGATTGATCGCACGACCATTCTGCAGCCATCGCGGATTGTTGCATGGATTGCATCATCCATCCTGAGGTCCATGCAGTGAACTTGATGATTCACCATCTTGCGCTGCCTGACGCCATGCATATGATTACCAATGCATAGCGCCAAAAGATCCAAAAGACCGCAATGTCATGATTCATCTTGAAGGGCTCGGAATCGTTTATGCGATTTTATGCGTCTTGAGTGTGCAGATCAACCCATAGTAGTCTGCCACAATCTGCCACGGAGTATCAAATTTCTTCCTGAAGCCATGCGAATGTCATTGCCCGCAGATTGACATTGATCGTTTGCTTCTTGGTGAAAGAAGCGGCTTCTTCGAAGCTGTGAAGCTGGGCTGCGACCTTGCGGGGCCTTGCCGGGCCCACGCTGTTTGCATCGTCAGGATCTGCCAGGTTTCGTCATTTGGGTCTAAGGTGCACCCAAAGCTGATGAACCCAGCTGCGCCATGCCGGCAGGAATTGTGACAGGAACGATCAGGAAAGTTTGGAATAGGTTAAGATACAGGATGATACAGGTCAAGTGGTTTGTAGTTTTGGAGGGAGTTGGCAGTCTCACAGACTGTCGAACTTCTGTATGCATCAGGATGATATTGGAATATATTGGATGCGGATCAAAGCGTTGGCAGGTTGGTCCTGGCAGACCAGAAAGTGCTGCCATAAGTCGAGTGAGCACCAGCGACTCCATGGAGGTTGATGCAGTTGCAGGCAGGGCCAAGGAAACGCCTGCCGACAACATCTACATCTGCAGCTCTTTGTGATCTGTACTTAACCGCTACATTTTGAACTTTTAGGCGCGATCTATGTACCAGTCAGTCCTTCCCAGCAAACAAGGTCTGATAAATTGGTCTGACCTGGCTGCTGATGGTGGTGGGAAAGCCTCACTTCTTGATCAAACAGAGTAGAACATAGTAAGACAATGTACTATGTACATCTATGATCATCTATGTACAGTAATTCCAAATTTGAGTATGAAAGCAGAAGCTCCTGTGGTTGGAGTACCTGCTTGGAGGCGACGCCAGCAAGGTCAGGATCCGAGCGTTTTTCAGTTTAGTTCTGCTCTGAATCGGGTTGGTTTCCACCTTTACAAGAACAGCACACACATTCCGTGACATTCCAAAACAGAACAAGTGTAACAAGTCAAAGTTTCAACCTGTTTCAACCTGTTTCAACACAGTTCAATTATGTTCAATTACGTTCCATGATTGGATCTGAGGCATCAGGTGCCCCTCATGCACACCAGGAGGATCAGCCAATGACAGAGGCCAGGCTGTTTTCAGATGACAAGTTCAATGCAATTTGGACTGAAGCGCGATGGGTTAGTGAGCTGGACATGGCCGGACCTCTATGAGCCATTTTCGGTGCATTTCATATCATTTCATACTCCCCCAAGAGACAAAGACTATGTTGGGAAAATATCAGTGTCCTGCGGACAAATTTTGCTCAGGCTGACACCACCCATGGCGATGAGGGTTCCCATCTCGACATGAATCATCTTGGATCATTTGGATCCCTGGTTGGCATTTCGTGGCCCGTTCCCAGGTCAGGCAGCATCCTTCGATCCCTACCTGGGTGCAGTGTCAGCAAGGGCCCGAGGGATCCCGAGGGCACAGCGGCGTGTTGCATATTTGGCCATGATCAGCTGCTGATCAGCTGCTAATCAGCTGCTATTTGCACCTGATTTGTCAGGCAGCCACAGAGTGTGAAGGGGAAGGCGAGGCTTGTCATGGCCGCATGGCTGCTGCAAAGAGGCTGTTTGTTGCAGGTGCACCTGGAAAGAAGGATGATGCACCTGGGCAGCATGGAGATGGATTGCACCACTGATGTCCTGAGTTGAGAGCAAGAAGACGCTCAAAACAAAATGCATGTCTTGTGCGTTGATTTCTTGTGGAAACCAAGAGTCACTTGTAACAAATAAAATCAAATAAATATAACAGCAATTCGACATCCCAAAATGATCTACAGAGAAGTGCGGTCATTTTTGTCCTTCATTGAAAAAAATGAAAGCTCAGGTTGCAGCTCAGACCGTGGCTGCGCTGGCGACCTTCCAATGAAAAATAATGCCAGTTTGCTTTGCAGCTTTGCATTGATGGATTGCAGCAATTGGCAAAGCATCTTGATTCATGGCAGCCATGACACTAGATGACATCGGATGTTGTCACCAGCAAACATGTTCAGTGGTCACGTGGCTTGTGGAAATTGAAACATAGACATCAATGTCTGGCCTCAATTTATTGCCCTGCTTGTAATAAGAAAAGATCTATTTATATAATTGTACAGTGTAAGCAGTCAATCAATGGTCTCCAGATTGCAGTTCTGCATTTGCAGTTGAAAAACAAGTTGGTTTACTGCGGAGGTTCTGAGCTTTTCAGGAACATGTCAGTCACTCTACAAAGAAAATAAGGAAGCAACGTTTGAAATAATACAAAATGATATAGAATGGCTGGAGCTTCGCTCTATCGACTACCCAAGTGTAATTTGGATGTGGCTAAATTTGCTTCTTTTCAATTCAATGGTGGTAATACACCCTTATATAAACATATTATTTTGACCGCAAGAGGTGTCTTGCCATTTGTGGATTATGATTTGTTCAAGTGGTAGCTTTGACAGAGAAATGAGACAACTTTACATTTTCTTGCTCCAGGTAAGGACTGGACTTGATTTGATTTCTCAATGTTTTTTCCTCGTGTCTCTTTTGGTGACCATGGGTTGATCTTGCGGCCGACAAGAACCATAATCCATTTGTTTGGTTCATCAGTGTGGTGGCAGTAGAACAACTCGGCATGATGCTGACTCTGATCCACTAGCAGGAAATGACTCCTAGGGGCGGACACTAGTTCAACAGCGGCTAAAGAGAGTCTTTACTTGGATAGAAGCAGACAAATATGTGCTGGCGTCTCTTGATTCAATTTACACGTTTCATCTTCTACCCTCGCTGCAGCAGTTGGTCCAGCCTGTAGTGATGCTATTGCCGTCTCCAGGAATATAAAGAGGCTGGGCAGAAGTTACTGTTTAGTTAAATGCAACAAATGCTGTCTTGATTTGTTTTCAATTGTTTTCAAGACGGGCTATGAACAGCTCTCCAGTTTGATCAGCTTGGATTCTGAAACACCTTCAAGTACCCAGTCATACCCAGTCACAAAAGTACTTAAGGTGTTCAACCCAGAGCTTAGACGAAAGAGTCCTGTGAGGAACATTTGGATATGTTGAGCAGGTGAAACTGTGAACCACCGTGTTTTCTTGATCAGGGCAGAGATTTTCTTGGATGCTTTGGAGGTGCCGCCTGGGCCGGACTGTGTCAGGAGTGGACAAGTTGGACCACTGGGAATAGGCAATGGTGTGTTCATCCTTCCAACACTAAATTGTTTACTATGTTTACTTGCAAACAACCAGATTTTCTCTAGGCTACTGAAGATTAAAGATTCAAATCTGTCGGGTTGGAGCCTTCGCAACGACATTTGGACCATCATGATCATCATGTTATTCCGCAAGACTGTGGTACAGGTGAATGAGAAACGCCATTGGCTTGCATTTGGTTCAGGTGTAGACCAAGACAGGATTGTGTAGGTTGTAGAGCCATGTCGAAACTCAACATCGACAACCTCAAAAAGGGCATCGTGCAGCTCTCAGCCATCCTCAGTGGAAGTGAGATTGTTCTGTATTATGCGCTTCAAACGCTGACTCACAATCGCTGACAACTGATTTGTTGAATCTGATATTGGTGTATGATATTGGTGTATATTATATATATATGTCTACATATATAAACTGCACCTGGATGGATACATCAGCTAGGCTATTTGAACTAAGATGAACTAAATAGCACTTGGTTTTGAGATGGCTATAGAGGCCATCCTTGACATTAGCGTTGAGGTCCAAATCCTTGATGGAAGCAAGGAAAAGCAGCGCAAATTCCTTGAGACAGTGGCTCTGGCATGTCCCAAACCACGAGGTTCTTAGCCTAATCCCAGATCTGGGCCTCCACTTCTAGCCACTTTGGACCGCGGACGTGTCACCAGACCCTGCCAGGTTGAACTCCAAATCGGCCTGAAGGATTACGACACGCAGCGCGACAAGCGATTCGCAGGCAATCGGAAAGCCACCGCACAATGCCAACTTTTCTGCAAAATTTCTACCAACTGATCCAATTTCACCTGGGAGTGGTATGAGTTGAAATCACTTGCAATCTGGAAGTGTGGCATAGTGTGCCAAAATTCCAAAAGTGAATAAGGCTATGTGGAACACTTCTCTGACACATGGTAACGTACATTCTAATGATTGTAAAGTGTCTTGTCAGCACGCATTGCGTTGACCATGCACCTGGACATGTGACATGCAAAAGAGCTGAACATTGGTTGGATTGAATGAAGTAGATGACTCTAGATTCTAAATGCCTTTTTGACTCTGGCCTTTGCTCCTTGACCGTGAAGTAGTAGTCAGGTACCATCAAGTTGCCAAACGTGCCACGCCCACGATTGAAGGTGTGACCCTAAGCACTATGATTCGCAGTGATCCTTTGAAATTCCAGTGAAATTACAGAGTTTCCGTAATCAGTGGTGTGGGTCCACAAGAAAGCCCCATGCTTGCAGGTGTGCGTTCTTGGGGATGCAGTGCATTGCGAGCAAGCCCAGAGGGAAAAAGCCTCAGAGGAGCTCAGTGTCTCTGGAGTTGAGTCTTCAATTCTTTTAAGCAGTCAGGTAATGATGGTAATGTCCGGTAATGTCATGTTTGTCTCAATTCCACATGTGCTTTGTGACATTGTTGTCATGCAAATTACTGTAAATCAGTGATGCGAACTGCGCTCTTTGGGTTGCAGCTCAGGCCAACGTGCCTTTCAAGAGCGTGGAGGCAGGCTAAATTTATCTAAATTTCAATTGCCAACATACTTGTATCCAGAATCGTCACTGCAGATCACTGCAGCCCGCACCCAGTCCTTCAATTGATCAGCACATAGCAATTGTGCCCAGGATTTGAAGAAGCTGAACAAGAACAAGAAGATGGTGAAGAAGTGACCTGGCTCGGCAGAACTGCAAAATCTGCCATTTGGTGCCAAAATCCACCAATGCTATGAAGAGTTGGTGAAGTTCCCCCTTTTGTTGTCTCAACCGGTCATTGCCCGGCCTGTTTGGGGTGTGCTGCTGGTGGTTGTGGCTCACTTTCTTGTCACTTCTGGTGGTTTGCTGGTAGACTCCCTCGGGGCTATGCTTGACAAGAACAACATGTCCATGCTTGACAGGCTCCAACTTCCTGTGACATATTCTTTGAGTCTGAAGACCCTTCTGGAATTCAATGTTTTCTGATCAGATAGTTCTGGGAATTGCTGAATAATAATTCCCTGCTCACTGCTTTGAGCCCCCCTTTTCCGTTCTCTCGAGTTGCGCGTTGCGGGTTGATCCTGCTTCATGCATGCCTGTGAGTGTTTCCGCCAAGCTACTCGGAGTCTTTGCTTGTGTACCAGCTTGTTTGGTCCTCTAGAAGTGCTCCGTCCTTCACATCCAACTCAGGTTGGCTGACAGCTTTGATGCCTTCCTTGCCTCCCAGGCCAGAAACTACTGCTTAATGCTCTAGCTATCTTGGGCGTGTTTGCAGTCTATGAATTCTTAAGAAGTCCCAGCAAGTCAGAACGCACCCGAAGGTGCTCATCCCACAGATTCCTCGATTGCTTGGCCCTGGTCTGAACAAGGCAAAGCCGGAGAATGTTGATACGTCTTTGAACTTGGCCAAGCTCATACCCGTGTCAAGCGTGATAGATTCAAGCAAAATCACTTGAAACTTGAAACGGATGATTGCGAGGAAACAAGAAGCAGCCATCTTCAAGTTGATGAAATGGATACGAAAGCATGCTCTTTGATGCTCTTTGCATCTCTTTGCCACTCTTTGCCCATTGTTCTCCCTTTCGAGATCTTTCGAGAATCACGCGTGCCCTGCAGGCTGGCAAGTTCCCTACTCTGGTGCAGCATTCTGACAACCTGGAAACCAAGGTCACTGAGGTTCGAAGCCAGGTGCCGCCAGCGGGGTTCAGAGATGTGTGCCTCCTAGAATCACCACTGTCGATTTCAGTGGGACTGAGACCCACCGGGCTTGGAGGATTACTTACGTATACCTTTCACATCCTTTCACCAATTCTTAAGATATCGTAAGATAATGTAAGATATACTACAGATATTACCACAGATGTTTGGAGCCACATATCCCATCAGCCTGTTCTCCCAGTAGATCAGCAGGTGAAGTTTCAGCTGAAGAAGGTCCTGTGCATGGGCGTTGCGGTGGGCAACGTGGGCATGACCCCGGATGAGCTGAGGCTGGGCCCCTGGGCCATCCGCTGGGTCGTCTCCGACATGGTGTACCCCCAAATCTGCTGGCTCATCATGATGTTTACCATTGTTCACCCCTTTACCCATGGGTTTAATATACGTACTTTAATCATCATAAAATTCATAAACCATCCACCGATTATTTATGATGTTCTCTGTTAAAGTTACCCTTTTGGATAAAACGACCCATAGCAATACTTAGCAATCCATATCAGCTGATGGTGGTTAAGCATCTGCTGGGCGAGGCAGAACTGTTTGATGGCCATCAACTTCCTGGTGTCGCTGCTCAAGAAGAACTGGAACAACGTGTCTAGACTCAGCAGGAAAGACTTAAAGATACTTAAAGATCTTAAAGACTTCTTGCCCCCTGTCCTGCATTTGATTGGTGACCCATTATTGTTGGCCTTTTGCCACAGCTTGGACAAGACAAAATGATCAGATTGTTGGTGCTCCAACATGCTTCCAAAATTTCCAAAGAAACTGCAGATTTGAATTCAAGGTCAAACGATTGCACATCAAGAGCACGATGGGAAAGCCCTTTACCATCTATGGCTGAGAGTGTGGAGGGAAACATTGTGCACATTGGACTTGTCTTGGGTCGAAGAAGAAAAGGGCTGCGGGGCTTTGTGTTGCAATAGTTTGAGCTAAGTGGTGAACACTCTCCAAATAATAGGGCACTGAAATTCAAGAGAGCCAAAAAGCCGAACGCTTTAGATGGCAATTGAACAGGACTGGCTTGGGTCAAATGTACTCTGTAGATCTCTATAGTATCTCTTGGTCAATTTCAGATTGATCAGCAACACAGTCATTTGGAGTGAGCTGCTGTGCAAGCGATTTTTCCTTAGGGCCTCTTTGGCGGAGACACCAGGCGCGTGCAGAGTAGTGTTTCACAAATTGCAACACATGTTTTGATGGAAGAAGATGCAAGTGGCGATGGTTATGTGATGGCAAATCATGTGGCTCAAAGTTTGACAAACAGCCGCCCAGCTTAGCAGTAGGGCAGTAGGGCGTAATAAAGCATGGCAGTGCTACAGCGCGTGACCGTCACTGGAGGGCAAGGGTTGCTTGGATATTGTGGGATGATGGGATGATTCAACGATCTTGGTGCAGACACTTCGTGTATCTTCCTGCTATGATTGTTTGATTTTGATTTTGCCTGTAATTTTCCAGGTTTTTGGGAGCTTATGCGACTTTGCTGAAATAAGACACTGCCTCTCCAAGCAGGAATCACATCATGATTTGAGGTGATCAAGGACTTGTTGGCCAAGGGTGCGGTTGTCGAGTCTTTGGATTTGAAAGAAGCACCTGACATCTTGGCACAGGCCAGATTTGCCTGACATTTTATTCATGTTTATCCCATATTTATTGAAAAATGTGATTCGTAGCACCAGAAAGAACAGAAAGGAACAGAAACTGAAGCACTGCAGGTGTTGTCAGAGGAGGAGCTTGGACGATTCAGCACAAAGCTGGTTGATGTGGCAGATTCTGCAAAGGCGCAGTGGGATAAAGCTGAAATCTGATGGATGTTTATATCATGATTTAATTGATTTTATGTGTAGCATGTGTAGCTGGAAAGAGCATCCACAGCATAGGTAGACAAATACAATCAAATACACTCTTATACAGAGACATGATGCATCATGATGCATCTATGGTTTAATACGTATTATATGCCCCGCAGTCTGCAGATACCGGTTTGGTGTGTCTGGTTTTATGTCATGGACTGACCAGCAAAAGAAAGCGTTGCGCGTTTGCAGGTGAAGGTGGCTTGGCAGAGCATTGGTCCATGGCAAGATTCGCATGGCGACAAACTTTTCTATTGAGGTACTGGTTGAAAAAGGTTGAAAACTACTTTAGTCTCATGGATCTGATGGCAGTTTCGCCAAGGAAGCGATCCTTAACTTTAAACCAACAGCCGTGATCCATCTCGCTGGCGTTCAAATTCCACCAGTGCGTAGCTTGACTGCATTTTTCAAGATCTTTCAAGATCTTTCAAGATCTTTCAAGATCTTTCAAGAGCGAATGAGCAGAGACAGCGGTTGTTTCCTTTGAGCCATGAAGATCCATGAAGCACAGTGTGGCCCTCTGAGGCAGCAATGCCCCTCTGGGCGTTTCAGTGAATCTGCTGGGCACCGTGAATGTCTTTGAAGCAGTGAAAGCTTTATGCGCGGACGGGGTGTCTCAGCTCCAAGCGGCATAGCACAGTTTGCTGCTGTTGTGTATGTTAATTAAACATATTTAAACCTTCTTGAACCAGTTTTGTCACAAAAAGAGGATCTGTAATCTGTACAATTGGAGGATTTGGAGGCGAGTTCCTGTTCAAACACTGAACTTTTTTTGGCCAAGGGAGCAGCGGTGCCAGTGGCATATGCATCTTCTGGTGCCGTACTTGGCCCATCTTCAGATTACGCTGCTGGAGCACCCTTGCCGGCTGAGCGAGACTATCACAGGCGATTGTTTTTGCAGCGAAGAACGGCATCAAATGAGACACAAAGTGTAATCTTCAATTCAGATCAAATGGGATGACTTGGGTATATCATGGTACATCATCGAGTATCATGGTATATCAATTTCGGGCCTCCAAGATGTGTGCGTCACCTATCCCGCAAGGCCTCGGACTCTGTACGGTGTGTTCAAGCTGTGCAACGAGGGCATGGCCAGAATATATTGGCAGGATCATGGCATCCCTTCAGAGCCTTGTCTCATTTGGGATCCTTTATCATCTTTATCAGTTTCTTGAAGCATAAAACCCAACTGTCAGACCGGAGGGTCCGATCTTCTTTTGAGCCTCCTTGTGACCTGAAGCACTCAAGGTGGGTCTTCGTCCACTGACTATCTTTGGCGTTGGAAGAGAAATCGGCTTGACTTCCGGGCCGACCAAAGCAGTCAAGGCAGCAATCCTCGGGCGCCGCTTCGAGATCGAGGCCAGCGGGTTGGCATCGGCTCGGCCACATGACAACGGAAATCTGGATTCATCACACGCAAAGGATGTTTCCTGATGTTTCCTGCACAAACGTGAATTTTCCCTGACATGCCTATGCAATCAATGCACTACTTCGATGGTTTTGCAGATGTGGATTTTTCCTCTGCGTTTGACTACATCAGCACCAAGTCCTTTTAGCATTTTTCAGCACTGCTCTTTAGGCAGAAGGCTCCAAAGGTGAAACGCTTTGCAATGGCCAGTGCGACTTTGCAGATTTCTTCTATTTTCTTCTCTGTTTCACATGATTCCTGACATTCCTGACATTCCTGACACATCCTGACACCATTTGATGCCTGCAGGTCGCAGGTGTCACTGGATTTCACCACGTGGCAGACGTGGCAAGGCTCTTCGTTGACACTTTGCCTGGTGCTGTCCGCCTCCCCGGCGCCCACGTTTCTGGGATCAAGGCAAGCACCGTACTCGGATGGTATGGTGTAATGATGTACTCAAATGTATTGGCTGTATTCAATACATCTCAATACTTCAACTGGTATTGAAATTATGCTTGACACTCTACGCACAGCCGCTTAAGACCTTGAGAAGCTGAAATTGTTACTGCAGGAATTCATTAAGTCAGCATCTATCAGATCTAATTGACAGAGCAAATTTGGCAGCGCGGCCTGTGCCATTCAGGGCCATGTAGTCTCCTACGAGGCCAGAGGTGAATTTTGTGATGTGGAGAAGGTCAGAGATTGCAGCCTGAAACTTCGGTCATTCAAGTGGGGGCACACATTGTCACCAGGAATTCCTGAGAAAAGCCGCCCAAGTTGTGCCCGAGGCTGGGTTCCTGCAGATAAGAAACAGAAACAAAAGCCTACTACTGTTAAATACGGTTCAAATTTAGGTAGATTCATGTAGATTCATGTAGATTCTGAATATTATATTAGATTATATTATATTATATTATAGTATAGTTAAGTGTTCTGCTGTTTTCCTAGACATTTCCGTTGCTTTCCGTCCAGTTTAACTGGTTGTCGTTTACAGGTGGCCAAGTTGGCGTGGATTCGCAAAGGCGCTCCAGAGGTGCCCATCCACGGTACCTTGGATGTTTTGATGTAACCAGTGTGGGGTGCCCATCCCACCCGGGAAAAACCCTTTGGAATCACCAGTGAATCACCAGTTTAAGCTCATCAAATATGGTTCAGTTATTCCAGTTTAGGCAATGAGTTAAAAAAAGTCCCCTACTTTTTGAACATACCTTGGACCTAGCTATTGCTGAAACAACTTGGATTCACCATGGTTTTTCCAGGTTTGGTGGTGGGATCCTCAGTTTTCCCATTGATATCCTCTTTGAGGCGATGTGGATGAAGCACCACTGCACATGCTGACCCAACGGGACAAGATCCACATGTCATTAGAGGAGGCCATCAGGGAGATGGTGCAGCGATACCAAGACTTGAAGGTGGGCGATGTGCTATGATGGATGAAAGATTGGAGGTGGAAACTGGATGAAGATGATGAAGTCATTCAATTTTGGGGTTTAAGTGGTTTGATATTTGATCCACATTTGAGCTACCTAGGACAGCAGAACCTGGAAATCCTGAAATAACATGAAATGATTATTTTGTAATTTTTCGGTTGCAACGGACAGCTTTGACCGTACTTGTAGTACTGTACAGTACTGTGGACTTCTGTTTTGGTCCCAGCCACTTGCTGAATCTTTTTTTGGTGTGAGGCACGTGGCAAGCTGAGTGATAAAGATCTCGGTGCAGAGCCACCGGTGCCGCCAGCATCAAAACTGTAGGACTCTGTAGGGCTTGAGCTGGAAGCTTTGACCAGCCGCTCCTTTTGACATTTCGACGAATCTGTACAAAGATTTCTGGTTGATCCTGGAGGTGAAGAGATCTGAGCCAGAATCCGCCACCAATCAGTGGAGTTATAAGTTGTAAAGGCAGCCGAAGCACAACCCCAGTGAAAGGTGATTGTAACTTTTTGTAACCCGACTGATGAGTGGCAATTTACCCCATGCTACAGTCAGGTCTTTTGTGAGGACTGAAGTCAAGACGGTAGCATGGCACAAAGATTGCTGACACAGCACCTGGGGAGTTTGTCCTCGGCGGAAAAACAGTCATGAAGAGAATGCTGTAGTTGATTATAGTTGCTACCATCGATGGTTTCAGAGATTTTCAGAGTGCATGTCTTTTGTACTGGTAAAACCTGGCAACACCTGGCGATGCTGTGATGTTCAAGCCACACATGCTCTAAGACCAAGACACAACTAGATAAGCAGAAGCAGAAGCGACATTTACGTGTTTGTCCAGTAGAGATAAAGATGTCAGGTGTTTACTTCCGTGGAAGCTCTGTGTAACTTGTCAATCTGCAACTGAAGAACTTGATCTCAGATTCTTGGATTAGCATGGATTAGCGCCATTTGTAAAGCCACAAGAGGTGTTCCATTTAATTAATCCACAAGGCTCCCGCAAAGAACGTAGAATGTTTGCCATTGAAAGCCATGTTGTGGCTATTAGGTGCTTGGACCTGAACCGTCTTATGCACACACAGAATGTGACTTGAGATTGCATGGTTCATTGATGTTCGTTGTAGCTTCTTTGAATTTCGCTGCATGAAATGGTGCGCTGGTGCATAAGGGTTCGCTTACTCGTTTGCTTACAAGTGCCAAGTGCCTCCAGGTTTGTTTGCTCTACTGACAAGCGTCTTGTCACAGGCCCATCGTGAGTTGCTGTGTTGTCCGACCCACCTATTTTGCAGTGCCTCAGGACTACATGGCAAGGATCGATCCATCCTTGCGGAGATGGAAGAGAAGTGTCAGAGTTTCCGAGGATTTGCTACTTGTCACATCTTGTCACATCTTGTCCTAACTTTGGTCACTGGGTAGTTGTACGCTTGGGAAATTTCATGGCAACCCGGCAACATCCGGCAACCAATGGCAACCAATGGCAACCAGACTTCTCCCGAAGGCTGCTTCATCTTGAAGTTCATCAGGGCGAGTTGCGAGCCTTTCAAGCTGATGGCCAGCAGATGGATTTGTCACTAGACTAAATTTCAGGATTACAGACTCACATGACTCACTAGTTCTGCTATGCTGATCTATGTGTTGCACTATGTTGTGCTAGTTGCTAGTTGAGCTTGGTTTGATCGTTCAAGATCTTCAAGTTGCGATGGAGAAGGGGGTGTCAAAACATCAAGTCTATATATATATACATGATTATACATGTCCAAATAGGAAACAAATATACTTTGAGTATCTTTGAGTCATGTGAACATTTAACTCCCTGATCCAGAAAAGTCATGAAAAGTCTGTGTGTGTGAGTAAAGGCTGTTTGTTTTGAGGTCAGAGGACGATGCAGCGCAACTGCAGTCCGTGTTCCCGTTTGATGCTTTCGCTCCAGAAGCAAAGCTTGAGCCGATAGCACCTGCAGCCTGGGATGCCAAGCGCCTACGGCCACTCGATGGTTCCATGCGATATGCGTGCAATCCTTGAATATCTTCAATGCAATCCTGTTGCTTGATATATTTGTTTTTTGCCAACCTTTGTTCTGTTTGTTATGTCTTGTTATGATCATAGACCGCGGGTCGCCTGTCCATCTCGCCATTTCGTGCCATTTCTCTACATTGCCTCGATAGTTCTGAGCTCTCTGAGGTTTGGAAAGGACGCCCGCCCATTTGAGGGATGCGCTGTGAATGATGAGAACCACCTGGAGAGGACGACAGTGGACCCTTAACAGCAAAATACATCAAGAAGCGCTTCTCATACCCCACTCTGGACTCGAAAGCAGGGGGGCTGACTACCTTACATCATCAATATCTATTATCTGTACAGATGTGAACAGATTTGCAATCGCACATCGTGCCATAGCTATCCATTGCTGTGCAACGTATCGAAGCAGATTGACATTGGACATCATTGGACCCAGATGCGTCCAATGAGGCAGTCTTTCAAAGATTAAAGAGTCCCTTGCCTTCACCTGAGCTGTTTACAGCTATCGGATGCAGATTGCAAACGAGGCACGGATACGATCTGAGGTGAACCGCTGGGCGTCGTCGTCACTGTTGGAGGGCTATATGGATACAGCCATGGTGAAGGAGTGACAATTCAGATAATTCAGGATGCAGGTGGAGGCAGTGCATGACATCTTGAGAGATCTTGGGAGTTTGGACTGGTCTTGAGGAGAAGATGTATTAGATGATCCTGCAGTGGAGCTGTTGTTGGAAATGCAGCACCTTGAACAGCATTCTCAATTCCTGCATCTTACTAGGACTACAAAACCATAGCACATCTGTATGAATCGCTTCTCACAATCTTTTGATGCAGAATTTCCATCCAGCTTCCCAGGCAGAACGGAATCCGCAATCTTCGGGCCTTGTGCTTGGGCTGTGAAGCAAAACAGGCGATTCCCAATTTGGATGATTGAAAGCAGCTGAATCTGTCTCTTGAAGTCTCTTGTATCTCTTGGAGAGACAACACCTACTTCCGACGTCTACAAAACCCCCTTCACCCCCATGCCTTGCACATCCATGGCTCATTCTGTGCCAGGTAGCTTCTCTCACTCGAGCCAGGAGCTTGCAGAAGGATTGGAACATATTGCAACTGTTTGGACATGTTTGGACATGCAATCCTGGTATCGGAGCTTTATATACTAGATCATACTAGATCTATATAGGATTCTATCAATATTCTAATATATTCTATAGGTATTTTGTTTCAGCTGCGGGGTCCGTGTGAATTTGGTCGCAGGTGTTCCAGGTGCAAGCACTGGACCCCCAAGCCCTGCGCTCGGCCGTGCCCGAGATACTTCTTCCCAAAGCCTTTGTAGGCCCGGCCCATGCCCGGCCCATGCCCGGCCCAGTCGGATCAATCGGATCAATCGGATCAATCGGCCCATCAAAGAACAATCTCTGACAGTGGTGTGAAGTGGATTGAAGTGGATTGAAGTGGAATAAATCCGAATAATGCCTTTTCTTACACCTGGAGCCTTGGCTGTCAGAAAAGCCATGAAGCCAGGCCAAGTTGATTTGCTTCGTTTGGATTCATTGCCGCACGGATCCTCCTGCCAAGTGTTGCGAAGTCTTTTGATGAAGGTTTGCAACTCAGTTGGAGATGAAGTTTGACTCTTTTCAAACTGCATCGGGCCTTTGTTGCTTTTTTTGAAGGGTTGGTTGCTTTTGCTGAATTCGTCCAGTCGATTTATGAGCAGGTGCAGCCGCGGCTTCTTGCGATGTTTGTTTTCAGTCAGGCAGGGAATTCATCTCCTGTTGCTGGGCACACGCAGCTGTGACTCTTCTTTTTCTTGGGTTGAGAGGTTGCAGGCTCATTCGCCTTGATTCAGGTGCCACCTCCCTTCAACTTCATACCCCATGGCACCCTAGCGGCATTTTTTGTCCATTTTTGTCCAATGACACCTTGGACATCCTTGGACATCCTTGGACATCCTTGGACCAAAGCATAGATTTTCCATGATTTTCCATGTGGTTCATTACGAACTGTCACGATTGTAGCTGAGGTCAAAGTGTGGAAACACCGCCAGCCATCATGGCCTGTTCATTGTCGGCAGTGATGCAGGCATAGTGCGCTTGTTTCTTGCAGCTCCAAGATGATTCAATGAGATTGGGACTGTTCGATACTAAGAATACTACAGTATGTTTGGAGTCTTGTCCTGAGGTGGTAGCACCTTACAATCTCTTCCTCATCCACTTGACTGGCCCCTATGCTTTGTTTGTCCAACGCGACGAATGGCACCAGGCAAAGAAGAGACGAGAGTGTTTCCCAGATTGGACCAGAATATAGAAAGCAAATAACATGTTGTGCTGACTGGGGAGCCCTCTTGCTTCAAGTTGCAAAGTCTGGAGCCCCATTTTTGGGAAGGAGCCTTGAGTGCACTAATTTCCTTTATTCTTGTTGTTTTTGGATCCTCGCAGAATAAACTCTTCGTGTCACTGTGGGTCCTGGCATTTCATGGACTTCTTGCAGGAGCTACCTATCGATGAATTGGATTGTTACCGCAAGGCATCAGTTTGGGGCATGGAGGACAGAGAGCTCGAACTCTTGAGCTGGCTCTGGTCAAACACATCAAACCTTTCAACATCATTTTTTTGTCGCATCCATGCTTCAGGACATTCCTATCAACTTTGTGCGGGAATGGTTTTTTGAAGATGTCGATGAGGTGGGACTGGAACTTGCCTTGCTGGTGGGACTGCTGGGACTGCTGGGACTGCTGGTTGCTGACTCCCAGGTCTTGCCGCGGATATGGGGCAACCTCACTGACCTCTATTCGAATGGCCAAGGGATGTTCACGTTAGCAGTCTAGGTCAGACACGGAGTGTAGAGATCGAAGCAAAAGGCTCTCTTTGGGCTCAGCAGGTGCTCTTGCAAATTGTGTCATTTGCGTCTGGTATCGTTTGGCAACGTGAAACTGCTCCGTTTGAATCTTACCAAAGGACCAAACTGTCCCAAAACGGGCGGATGGAAGATCCAATGCTGTGGGCATTCCTTCGGATCAGGTCCTTTTAAGTTGCCATGTTTCACAACGGCATGGATGCTGGACAGAGGTTACAAAGGGTGCTGTAAGTTGCCCGGGCAAGTGGAGCTGGGCCAGCCTTGAAAACGTGATAGTTTCGCATTTCTCACATTTTACAAGCATAATTCTTTCATATGCTTCACATTGTTTCTCATAGTTTGCAGATTTCACATTTCAGGCGAACTTGAGCTTTTGCAGTAGTTAGATGCAGACACTTCACTGGTAACTGGCAAATGGCAGGTTTACTGGAGCAGTGGTCGCTGTGAATACCAGCAATTGATGGCTGCAATGATAGACGCCTAGAGAATGGTGTCATTTGCACGATCTTTCGGTGCACTCCAAGCCTCTCAAGTCTTGCTATTTCATCAATGGAATTTCCAAGACCGAATGAACCTATGATAGTAGCAGGACTCAACGTGCTTGAGTGCAACTGTGACGTTGATACATGCTACATGTCTTGCTGCAAGTCTTGCTTTGGTTTCAAGCGGCTTGTAAAGCCTACGCCCCAACCCAGGAATGACTTGGATTCACCTTCACCTTTGATTTCAATATTGAATCCAAAGGAAACACAAGTGGCATGTTAACGACTTCAACGACGTCCCGACGTCCAAGGCGTGGCATGTCAACGACTTCAACGACTTGGCCTCAGCGGTGCACGATGCTCGCTGAGGCCAAGTCGTTCATGTCGTTGACATGCCGTGCCTTTCTGCTCTTTGTTTTTTTTCCGCAGAGATGGAAAAAAATGTGCTTGTGCATTGACGACAGTGGATGCTCGTTCGTGTTGTTCAGTTGCGACTTACCATACTCACTACTTCGCAAAACAGTCTCTCAACATTTTTCGACTTGGCTGGTTGAATAAGTGCGGCTTTGTTGGACACGTTGATATTCAATGCGCACAGGGTTTGTGCGATCATTTTGTTGCGATGTGTTATAATTTATAATATACATTATACATTCAGCAGCGCAGGAGGATGACGAAAGGGTTTGCCAGTTTCGCCAATGCTATTTGTCATTATTTGTCACACTTTGCGCTGTGATGAGATATTTGCCCTTGCTACATTGTCGCGTCCAAATTTCCAATGTCCAGCTGGCTCTGGATGTGTCTTGGGTTGGACCTGTGGCTGTGATGGCTGCTATGGATGTTGCTACGATTTCGCCTGCAGATGCCAAGCTGCAAGTAGATCCTGACATCAATTTTGCCATGTCTTGCAGATGTCGAGTGTATTACAGTATTATGTATTAATTGTCTTCTACTTCATGGCCACTGGTAACCAGCTGGCGATGATGGGGATTGAGGTTGGTTCCTCTCAACATGTTTGGCATCGCAACGGCCCTGGACAAGATTGGACAAGCCATGATTTGCTGCAGGCACTCGTTTTGTCGGATCTTTGAAGTATTTCCAAGGCCAAGGGCTCGCAATTGCTGAGCCAAGAATTGCGGTCTGGGCCTGAAGCGGAATTACTCAGCACAATATGGCTTCATATTTCATCTTATATTTCATCTTATTTCCAGTTCCTTGCCTTCGCAAGTGATTGTGTGGCGTCGACAGCGTCATCAGACTAGCTCGCAAAGAATCTGCTTTTGTCAGGCAGGACCATCTTCTGCCTGGCGAAATGACCGAGGCTAGGACTAGGAGTTTCAAGACCGCAACAAAACACTCCAAGGATCTCCAAGGTCTATGTAGGTCAAAGAAGAGCGCAAGGGAGAAAAACATGTAACTACAGCATACTACAGCATACAATAGCCCCAATGGTCTTCTGCTGAGCACTGCACACTGTTGCCTTTTGCCACGGACTGACTGGAATCATGGTGATGCAAAGACTGCCGTGCGCGTGTCTAGCCAATCTCCAAATCAATCCTGGCAACTTGCTACTTGTATGAACGAGGCAGCATTGCTGCAGCTACAGCAGCAATTTTGTTGGCAGCATCAAGCGCAAGGCACTTCAGAATTCTGTTCCGACATAAGCTGATGCTGGAACTTGGTGAATACATGTGAATACTAATTCTTGTTGTGAAACACCGCGACGTATTTTCTTCATTTTTTCTTTTGCTTTCTCAACTTTGGAGAATTCTTTGAAGATTTTGAAGATTGGCAAGATCAGCGGACTGGTTGCACTACAACACCATGCCAGGTCAAAGGGCCTGCGTCGCTGCCGCAAACCTGGCGTGCATGTGAGAGCTGCTGACTCTCCCGTTGCTTGGCGCCAGATGTTCATTCTTGGCACAGTCGACACAGTCCTCTGAACCAATGCTTTAGTGAAGTATTAAAGAACATCACAGTAAGAACACATATGATGCCAATATCATCCAATATCATGAAACTGCATCAAACTGTTCAGAAGGTTGTACTTGAAGTGAAGGAAGTAGAGGCAAACAGTGCTGGTCTCAGTTATCTGCTTTCACCGCATGGTGATGCTGGTGATTGGACTCGGTCTAAATTTCAGGTACCGATGAAGACCAGAAAAAGATTCTCAAAGGTCTTAACCTGACCATCCGTGAGGGTGAGGCTTGGAAAAAGAAACGAGAGGATGTCGATTCTGATGATCTATTGTAATCTATTGTAGTCTATTGTAATCTATTGAGATCGATTGTGATCTATTGTGATCCATTATGATCTATTATTTAGGGCCCGGTATGGCCTCTTTATCAGCTAGTTTCTGACGTATACACTTTGGAATTTCAGAACCTATAAGTATATCAGCTGAAACTATATAGAAACTATATTGAAATTTCAGAAACTATATTGTGAAAAATCTTGCCAATGTTGTCTGGATACTCACATGTCACTTGTCACACAGTGTATAAAACAATATTTGAATAATATATTCAGTAAATAAATAACATAATTGTTGAAAAAAAAACGGTCTTCCAAGTCTAGCCTTCGGGCCATTGAATTTTGATTCATTCATCTCCTTCTGAATATCACAAGCCAATTCGGAAAATCAATGGGGCGTAAAACAAATTGAAGCCACATATACATCATCACCTGGTGTCATGACACACTATTATTTGGACCACAGACACATAAAGCCAACCTGCTTCTGTCGGTTGAGGTGTGATAAGTGATATTTGACATGTCGTGTCATGTCACCTTGTCATATGCCATATCAGAGCCATATATCATATCATGAATCATATCATGTTGTTCATGTTATATCATATCATAATCATGTGACAAATGAGTCAGTCGTATCAATGTTAAAGATAGGTTAGAGTTTAAAGACTATAGATAACTATGACTATTGTTCTAACTACGACTATATAACAGTCTTTGATGTGATTTGTGACCTATGGTCCATATTCTATGATATATGATTCTTTGATACGATGAAATGATATGACGTATGATTCTATTGTTTATTAAATGTTGTTCTTTGGGGTTGCCTGATGTTGCAGTTTGTAGGCCTTGCGCGACTGTATGATGTGTGTTCAGTGCTTATGTTGATTCATGTCCATTCATAGGTTCATGTCAATTTCGGGGTTTGTGAAAAATAAACGAGTTTCTGGACACATGAGATGGGGTATCGCATTCGGGCCAAGATGTAAATCACTTCCATCTGGAATGTGCAGATATTTACTCAGCAACATTCTAAATCTTGACCCTGGAAACCTTAACCCTTCAGCCAATATAAATAAATAAATAATTAAATATATATATGTGTGTGTGTGTGTGCGTTGTTTCATGGCAATTGGCCCAGCCCACCGCCCCTGATGAGCGGTTTGGTTTCGATGAAACCTAGCAAGTTTCACAAGCCCCCTGATTCTACACAGCCCCAGGGTTTCAGCATAGATCATGGCAGTTTCATTATATTCCTGTGATTCCTGTATGTTGCATGTTTTCTGATTTCTATTGAAACGAGGCTCCCAGAGACGGTCTCAGACGGTCTGAGACGGTCTCCAGCTCTCCTTCAGCCTTAAAGCCTAGCTTTATGAGATTTTCTGCGAGCCGCAGACTGGAAAGCATCATATTTTGGTTTCCTGCTTTAATCCTCACTTAATCCTCAGTTTGGAACTTCGCCCAATCCTCATTCCTCATTTTTCCGGAACCTCACCAAATCCTCATTCCTCATTTAGTCCTGATTTTGGAATCTCACCAAATCCTGATTCTTCATTTAATCCTCAGTCTGGAACCTCATCAATCCTCGTTCTCTCACCAAATCTTAGTCCCTCATTGAATCCTCCCTCATTGAATTCTCTTGCCTAGAATCTCACCAAATCCCCATCCCTCATTTAATCTTCATTCTAGAACCTCATGAAATCGTCATTCCTCAATTGATTAATCTTCTTTCTTGAACCTCATGTAACATCCTCATCATGTATGCTTCACTATCCTCATTTCTCATTGAATCTGGATTCTGAAATTTCAAAACGCCATCACGCATTCCGTATGAATTTTGATTGTAAGTATTCACAATATATTCTATATATCATATTTCTCATGATTTTATGATTTACATCATGTTTTTAAATTTTAACATCAAAAAATATGATGACCCATGGTAGCAAAAAAAATGTGTGCTGAAACCGTCGAGACCGTTTCCTACTGTAAAAGTCATTAGGGTCAGAAACCGTCGCGACCGTTTCACACTAAACCATCCAAAAAAGTCGAAAAAACGGATATAGTCTGAGACCGTCTGAGACCGTCTCTGAAAAAGGCCCCGACATGTTATAGTATGAAACCGTCGAGACCGTTTCAGACTATCCCAAATCGTACTATCATGATACAGTCGGAAACCGTCAAAACCATTTCTACAAACACCATTTTCGTGACATTGATAATACATACATACATACATATATATATATATATTGTTTTTTCATTGTTTTTCACATTGTTTTCGGGGTGTGCATTGCAGTCACGAATCATGAATCATGAATGTGAATTTGATTATATGCCTATGTTTAATTATACTATTTGTAACCTTTCACAATCATCACCATCCCATACCATACTATGAAAACAACATGATTATAATATGATCTCTTAATACAAGTGGCCTATTTTCCCCCTGAAATCTCCATATAGTTTCTATATAGTTTCTATAAAATTCCATATGGTTCCCATATAGTCTCAACTGCCAAAAATGCCCACAGACAAAGAGACCACACTTGGTTACAATCTATTATGATCTATTATGATCTATTATGATTGTCTAGATTCGCTTGAGAGACCCCACTTGCTGTAAAGTTTCACGATTCGAAAAGTGTTCGGTGGCCTGGAAATTCCAGGTCCATGCTGTGATGGGCCCGAACGGTGCCCTGGCTGAAGATGGTCCCATGGTCCCATGGCTCCCATTGTCCCACGGTCCCAGGTTCCGGTAAGAGCACTCTGGCGAAGGTTCTGATTGGTGACTCAGCCTATGAGGCCAGGACAAGCTGCAACATGCTGCAACTATAAAACATTAGAATCATTAGAATATAATAAAACATAAGAAACTGTTAATAGATCATAGTCATTCATAGTCATCATACAACCATCTCCACAGTGGATGAACAAACCTTCTCCCCCCATTGGCTTCCAAATCTGGAAGCTGGGAGGTGACGACAGGAAGCGCAACACTCGGTGAGAGCAATCTCTTGGACTTGGAGCCGCACGTGGGCAGCCCAGACACGGCACCTGTGAGTCGTGGACCTTTTTCATCCTTTTTCTGGGGTGGATAATATGAAAAAGCCTATGGAAATCTATGGAAAATGAATGAAATTGAAACTGTTAGTCTACATGATGGAAACTGCTGGCAAGATCTGGTAGTTTCGATCCTCGTTCTTGTTTCAAAATCCAAGGAACGTGCGCTGGAGGGTCTTTTTTTGGCCTTTCAATCACCTCCTGCTGTCAGTGGCGTGCAAAGCTTGGTCAATGATGGTGTTCTTTTCCACATGGAATGGTAATCCAAGAAAACACCAATCACCATCAATCACCCATTGATGCCGAACACCCATTGAGTCATGAGTCTTCTCTTTGGCTCCCCCGCTGGCGGAGGATTCAATTGACCTGGCTCCCTAAGGTCAGCAATCTTGACTTTCTAAGGGCTGCATACAATGCGCAACGTCGGGTTTGGAGCACAGGGCAAAATCTTCTTGGCAGGTCCTAAACGGACTAGGGCCAAGTCTCGCACGTTTCGGATATGTTGACTCATATTGATACTCTTCTTCAGGTTTTGCAATTAAATTAAATGTCATGTTGATAGGATTCCACCAGCCTCAGCAGAAGCACACCCAAATACTCCCCAAGTTAAAAGGAAAGACACCATGCCTTGGTTAATATGCGTGGGATCACTTGGGGCTTGAGTTAGTCAATCAAAGCCATGAGATAGTGTGCCTGTTCTATGCTGACCTACATGGTATCTCTATCACACTGAAGAAAAAATGTGGTTTTGTGTCAATGCTTTCTTATTGATGTTCACAGGATCATTCATGCAATTCATGCATGCACAGTTCTTAGCCAATGCGTTGATTTTTCACGCCGATCCTCTGAACCGCAAGCTTTTACTCAACATAAAGTCATGCAGCAGCAAAACCTTCAAACACATCACCGCTTTGATCGCCCATTACAAAGGAGGCACACAAATAAACCTTCTGAAGAAAGCCATCCGGAGCCTTGCTCAACCCTGCATGTTTTCGATGGATGGCTGTAAACTGAACATGAGCTTGATGTTTTTTTCCTAAAGAACCAATCATATCTATAATCATGGCCATTGGATTTCACAAGATGTCACAAGCTACGTGTATCGTCTAGACATGCACGAGTTGGACTTATTGGTTCCTCGAACAAAAACATCCCCATGCTCAAGCTTACCAATGTCCTCTAGCTCTGGCATCCGCCGCCGAAATGTTGAGTCCTTAGCACAGGCTCTAAGTGCTTTTAGTACTCACTGTCCAGTGACAGAAATGCACAGGTCTCTCCCTGATGCTACGACTTGAGGTTCCTGCAGCAACTGAGTCCGATACCTTTTCGACCTCCAGTGCGCTGGACACGCTCAAACGGTTTGATGTCTACAACAAGGTGGGCTGCGCTTCGCTTTCCATTTGGTTTGCATTGTTTGCTCAACAAATGCAATCTTTGCCTGGAGGACTAGAACGTTTTCATTACCCCTTGTTTTTGATGTCTCTTTGGATTTATATAATATGATTTAATTAATGATTTAAATACAAGCTTGTAGGCGAAGCAGTCGAAGAGTGCTGTAGTCTCACAAACAGGGCCAAAGCGACAACAAATTCCTTGCAGGTCCACGATGACTTTATGCAGAAAAGACAGACTGGTGGAATTGTCACCTTGGTCACTGCAATCATTTTGGCCATGCTCTTCTATTGTCCCTTGACGGACATGGGCGAAGATTTGTGAAGTTTGAAAGCTAGGCTCCGGTGTATGGCACTGATTTTCTAATGAGTTGGCCAAATGCTGAGAGCAAATGCAATGTGCTTGGAAGATATCTCAGCCATTTTGATTAACGGTGCAACCCAGGCGAAGTGGCAGAATTCTTCTCTGTTGAGATTTTGCACAGCATCACGGTGCTTGGACAGAAGGGGAAGTGTTGGGAAGACCGGGAGCAGATGTGGCAGCGACGCATGACGCACTCAATGAGTTGTTGCAAGGTTGATACCAACATCGACCGGAAGTTGCCCATCTCTCTAGACATTACTTTTCCTCACATGCGGTGCTCGGAGGCGCTGCTTTCTATTTAGAACATGCAACTGCTGACGACTTCCCTGATTTATGTTTGGGCTGAATCAATCACTGGATAACTGAAAACATCTGAAGACTGAGTCAGACTCTCCATCAAAGCTCTCCACCTGTATCACTGAAGATCAGAAAAATGCAGCTGAAACACCTCTTTGAGCCCACACATGGAGCTCTCAGTAGCTTCCTTTGACCGGACTCTAACAGCATTTCCCTTGTCTGGTTGGCCTCGAGTAAATCACGCACTTTCCTTACGCATCACAAATGCAGGTGTCGGTGGACACAGTCGACTCCGCTGGTGACACTCAGGTCAGACTGTCAGACTGTCAGACTGAGTCAGACTGTGTTTGTGGTACTCCAGATCAGTCCAGATCAGTCCATTGTACTTGGCTTGCCAAGTGGTTTGCAGTTCTGATTCGGGTCTCAATGGATCTCAATGGATCTCAATGGTCTTTAAATATTTTGAATGATGGAAACACGGTGGCCTCAAGGTCAGGAGTCATTTCTTGGATTGCCAAATTGATCCAAATGTCCTCGGCAGGTGGACGCCCACGGCGGCCTGCAGATGCACAACTTAGATGCGCAGGGAAGAGTTTCCCCTGGTCGGAGTCCTGGTTGTCAACAGCGAAAGTCAGTGATGATCAGCCATGATCAACCTGAACAACATAACAAACATAATACTGATACTGTTACTATAAGACACTAATCATAAATATTCATAAATCATCATCATCTTCCTGCATTAGATGGGATCGATGTGCATTTTAAAATTTTCTTGCTGGTTTCTAGTTGTGCATCTGAGGTGACCCAGTGGCTGGTCCTGAGGATTGCTGGTCATGCATGGAAGCAGCTGATGCCAAGCACAAGTGATCTGCTTCAAATCAGCTGCCATGGGCCTTGGGAGTGGCTGGGGACATTGGGGACAGCATAGAAAAGGCACGTCATGGCACGTCCAAAGAACCAGTAGGCTTGATATGATAAATATGGGGTGACGATATTATACGATATTGACAGCTACCTGGACGGCTACCTGGCCAAGAAGTTACTCGTACTAGTTGTTCGTTTTGACCAACACATCTGTGGCCACGCAGCCATACCTCTCGAAGCAACTTCTTAGTTGCAAGATGTTGCCTGATGCCCTGAGGTGTTGCAACAGTTGCCAAGAGCTGAAGAAAGCCTACAACGACCAGGTCCACAAGTTGGGTCACTCCTGTGTCATTCTGATACGTGTCGCAATGAAACTTGGACAATAAAATCGTGAAGGCGCAGCATATCCAAACAGACCCCAAAACAGAATTGGACATTTCAGCGGTCGGATTTGTTCACCTGAAAAATCAGAGTGGACAGACTAAGATTGAATTTCAAACTTCCGATCCAACCTGCAGAATGCTATGAAGTCCTCCCAGACATACAACAAACCAGAAATGGCTGATTAGCTTCACTGTGGTCAGATTCAGAAACGAGAGAGAGAGGGGGAGAAAAAAAGCTAAACTCTGCCTCCAGTAGGCCGTACAGCCCATCTCGATGAATAGCAATGCTCAGTTCGTGATAGCCATGACATCCATGTGGAGGAGCTTCCATATTTCCATGTGCTGGACAAAGCCATGCAGTGCAAAAATTCCATTGGATGCAAGATCAAGGGCAAGGTCACTGTGAACAAGGTGCGAAAATCTGACACCTGGGTGGCCCACATCAAAGAGACCGCAGGGCCGCAGGGACAACAAGACTGATCTATAGCATGTGATATGGTATGAATCAACATACCAGGAACATCCAGGGCCATCAACTGCATACATTTACAGTTTATCGAATACGACGATGGTAATGTGTAGCATTCATGGATTAACTCGACAAGTCCACTGCATGGTTGTATTTTCTTAGATGTCCGTACTAGTAGGGAGATCACACAGAACATACGGTAGCGACATTTAAGTATGTGGAGGGCGGGCCAGACCGCGAGGCCCCGGACATAGTATGAAATACCAGTTCGTATACTTAAATGATTTTAAATGTAGTTACAGTAGATAAAATTGACGGTTGTAGTCGTAGTTCAAGTAAACACAAATCATAGATGTTGTATGATGTTGTCTATTATATATACGTACATAATTTATATGTATGTATATGTATGTATATTAATATATTAATATATATATATATCAGTTTATTCTGTACTGTAGCGGTCAACGTTCATCAATTTTCTACATATGCCTGATTTGATGGGTGTGCATTCATTCCTGATCCTTTTTCTTTGTCTCTGCGGAACCCTTGCACCAAAAAGAGAGGTGAGCGGCAACGTTCATGTTGCTCTTGGAAAATCAGTTCAGCGAGATGGAAAATTGGTTCATGAGTTCAACATCGAAGATATTGGTTGCGAGACGGCACTCAAGCAGTTCCTTTGGGTTTTTGGCTGCATGGTGCAGCAGAATGTTTCTGAAAAACAAATCAAACATTCTACTGGCAATAAAAAAACGCATCCATAATCCAAAAAGTGTTTGTTAAGTTTGTCAAGAGTGATTTCTTCAATTGTGAAAAAGAACAAGGATGTTACACTTGTACATCTTGGACTGTTTCTTCATTGCCAGGGTTGTAAGTTCTTCCGCTGTCAACGACTCGAACGGCCAGGGAACTGGCCGGGTTTCTGCTTAGGTGATGGCTTCAACACGTCACACTACATCGACTCCATCACTTTTGGAGACTTGGTGATGTCATTGGAGTCATGCCATTCATGCCATGTGACATCATGTGACCCATGTAGCTACTTTGTATATCTTTGTATGCTGTTTCAATATATTTCAATGTTTCCCTACCAAAAACTGAGGAGAGTATGTGGAAGGGCTTCAATCTCCTCTGGCTGGGACACGGAAAATTGCCCTCGCCTCAATATCTTGAAATCTCTGACCGAAACAGATTTGCACTGTTGTGGTCTGTTGTGGTTGAGTGGATACTGGATACATCTGGATACTGTTGATGTTAACAGTACAAACAACCGAACCGACCCGATGAAATGATATGAAATGATATGAAATGATATGAAATGATATGAAATGCGTGCTTAATGACTCGGTGAAAGATTGTGAAAAAGATTGTACCAAAAGAGATACTGTACTCAGGCGGGTCCTGGGTCTTGGATGTCCGATTCTTAGTTTGCCTAGTTGCGATGTCCACCTTCAGATTCTCATGCTGGTCTCGTTGACCTTAGCTAGGTCAAGGGTCAAGACATTTGCAATGGCAGTGTTTTCAGGGCGGCACCCCTGAAGGTATCACTACTACATCAAGTTGGTTCCCACCATCTATGTGAATCGCTGGGGCACTAAAACCTACACCAACCAGTATTCCGTTACCGACAGCTGCTTGCTCAAAATTTTGACAGATTGAGACTGAGACTACGATCTCACAAACATAATGGCAACAATCCATTGTTCTGCTTCATTCCAGTGAAGAGTTTGGCCGTAAGTGCCTTGGGCCCACGAATGCCCACGGGCTAGGTGCGAGAAATGTCCAAGTGAAGGAGGGTGAGTTGTCTGGCTTACCTGGAGTATTCCTCGTTTACGACTTCAGTCCCTTCTTGATGAAGCAAACTGAGCAGGCCAGGAATCCAGGGATGATGATCCCAATATATCCCAATGCCAATGGTCATATGATGTCATATGGGTACCCATATCATGGTTTTTCATGGTTTTTCAGGGAGGTGAATCCATGTGAATCCACTCACCTCTCTCCAGACGTGTTGGCGAGGTGAAACCCTGGTCCTACGTCTTCACCTCGATTTGTGCAATAATTGGTGGCGCCTTTTCAGTTGCAACCCTGGTCTGGACCTGAGAGCCAAGCATAAAAAATCATAAAAACTTGAGGTTGAAAGACCTGTTTAGGTGTTTCTTAGATTTGGATTGGATTGGTTTTAATAAGTTTTAACGCATTTACACGGAAAGAAAAGGAACGACATAGCTTGGGCTACTGTAGGGTGCCTTGGGCCGCTACAGTAGGCCGAACTCCACCTTTGCATCGCAGGTTGAGATGGCGCTCAGCAGCATGGTGAGTTGCTTGTGACGATTGATCCCGAAAAAGGTGTGCGGGAGCATGCTGGAGCTCATGGATTTGATGATGTAAAATGATAGGTTTCCTAAAATAGGGGTACCTCCAAATCATCCAGTTTAAGAGGATTTTTCAGCGTAAAGCCTAAACCAAACATTTTTGGGTACCTCCATTTTAGGAAACCCCCATATTGTCATTGGGCTCAAGGAGTCCTCATTCCAGCACTTGAGGAGTCATGGTGCCATGCCAGCACCAAGTGGTTAAAGAACACCACGGGCGTGAAATGTTCTAAGGCCAGAGAGGAGCCGGAGCTGGATGTCATCGAGTTCTATGGACTCGTTACTGAAAAGTTGCAGGATTGGGCAAATCACATGCTTGCTTTTTACTGTAAGTGGTCATATAGGAATAGTTGGTCGACCACCGAGACCTATGCTTTGGCATTTTGACACATGGGATATTTTGATGTGCTTTCCCAACAGAGTTGGGGAGTGATGATATACTAACTTGCTTCCTGCCGGAAAGATTTGCCAATTCTCACGAAGGTAAACAGATGGGATAGCAGAAAAGGATAGACAAGGATATCTTAGAGATTTTGCTTCAAAAGATTTGCCCCAAGAGGTAGGCACCTCAAACAGACATAAACAAACTAGGTCCGCGGCCTTTAGACGGCCGCTTGTTTCTTTGATATTTTGACGTCACTGGGGCTTTGGCATGCTTGAATTCCAATACGTTTTATAGCATTTCAAGGAATTTGTGTTTTGCATTCGCAATTCCAGGGGGAAAGTGTCAAACTGATGATTTCGCCTCAGCAAAACAACAATTTTGACCATTTAGGCAAACCCCCAAATTAACGGTTTCTGTCCATTCTTTTGCGTTTCTTGAAAACATTGTCATTCAAGTTTCGTCAGGTATCGGTCACCATGTTCCAACCGAGGCCATTTCCCAACGATCCAAGGGGATATCCACAAAGCCAGGGAGCCGTGATGATTGTAGACATCATAGGTTCTCAACAATACACCATTTGACTCGAACGCAATCAACCTGTAATTGCATGATGAGCCACGCACGCATTGACTTCGCCTTAGCCCCGCAATGTGGAGCCCCCGGCCCGTGTGGGTTCCTTAATTGACAAGCATTGCGTGGTTGGGGCTTAGAACAGGGGGTAAAATGTAGTAAACATGTGAGCCCAAGAATGCAGGTCACATTGAAAGTAGTTTAAATCCTCTCCCAATTGAACAAACCAATTGAAAAAGTCATTGAAGAATTGTTCATATCCTAAGAAAAAGGGTCTATCAAATCAAGAGCGCACAGCATTTAAAAAAACTGCCCTTTCGCTTTCTTCAACTGCTTGGATCATGGTCAAAAGCAACTTAAACAGCTGGCAGTTTAACGCCATCAGAGCCTCTGGCACAGGCTCCAGCAGCACCTCAGCACATCTCAGAACTATCCGCCCGGATTACCACCCCACCAGCGCTTCGGCACCACTTCGCCACCAACATCAGTGACTTATCAGCACTTCGGCGTGCTTCGGCCGCCTCCCACTGCTCAGACCATAATCGTACCGCTACTTCAGCCATCTTCAGCCATTGTCCATCATTTAAACGTGTATGCTTACCACATCTTACTACTGCACAACACTGTACAACACTGTACATATCGCTGTACTTCCCGCTATGCCACTACATTTACCATTCACACGCATGTTCGAATTTAAAGTAGCTAGCATTAGCTAGTGACAAATAGTCGTGCAAGTGCCCATAAACTTCAAGCAGCGTCGTACCAAACGAGCGTGCACGTGCAAACTAGTTTCGAGTACCCTAGCATCAAGCAAGTGCAAGGGCATTATTAGCCCCCACCCCGCCCCATGCACATCGTAGCATCATTCACATGCACAAACGCAAGTGAACTGCGCGCGCCGTGGCGTCATGCGCGTGTGTTGCATTTTGCCAATACGTGCATCAGACATCATCAGGCATCATCAGGCATCATCAGGCATCATCAGGCATCATCAGGCATCATCAGGCATCATCAGGCATCATCAGGCATCATCAGGCATCATCAGGCATCATCAGGCATCAGCAGGCATCATCAGGCATCATCAGGCATCATCAGGCATCATCAGGCATCAGTATTAGTCACGCAAGTCAATCGGTCAGATTAAACAAACCATAATATTTAATATCACACAATAAACATCAATAAACCCACATACGCCATTAGCCCCCTGCCACCTCCCCTCACCCGCCCACTCAACCCCGTGTTTACAAAAAAGATCAAAAAAGCACGGCCTTCTAAAAGCCGCGGACTTGGGTTAGTAAATGGCAGTTGTATTCATCCCAGTTTGCTGTCGCAGGAACTGAAAATCAATCCAGACTTCCTCAACCGAAATGTGAATGAAGGTGGAAGTGGTTCGCGCTTGCTGTTGAAATTTGATCGTTCATACTCATTGATCGAAACCGTTCATCTTGATTTGTAGTCCAGATGACAAACCCTTGGAGGTTTCAGCGGCGGAGAGCGCAAGAGGACAGCTACATGTGTTTCGTTTGATTTATATTGTAGAATTTGATTGAAAAATAGTCAGCAACGAAACACTTAGCAGCCTGACGTTCGCTCTCTCATGATAGAAGAGGGCGGAAAGCATTTTGTTAGGAATGAGATGCTACAGATGGCCATATTGCAGCCCAAGTTAGCGATCTTAGACGAGAAACTTGACTGCATGGCAATTCTATGGAGATGCACACTTTCAATGATATCCTCAGAGGCAAAATTGAGCAATTGATGGTCTAGTTTTGTAGGTGAAACATGGTCAAACCACCCTAGATCCTTGCCACAGGGCCCTTTTCCGTGAGCCAAGGAACCTAAACCGCCCTTCAAAAATTCTCAAGCTTTGCAGTGGTTTCATGATTCATGTGGTTTCCATAGACAAATGATGACAAGTGGCACTTTTTATCATTGTCTCCTCATGTCTCATCGGCACTTGGCGTCGAAGGCGATTATATAAATCAATCAAATCCACGAGTCCTGGTGTTTGTGCAGAGTGCGGAACTCCTTCCATTCGGGACCATCCCCTCGGGAAAAAATGTGGATGCCGGAACATGATAGGAGATCGTTTATTGAGATGGAAAGAACTTTCTTGAGAAGCACAAGTTATTTGTTATTTCATGTCATTTCAATGTAATTATTCCCATAGCTATAAAGAGGAAGTTGCCGTTGTCTTGAGTTCAGCGCAGCTTGCATTCGGCCAAGGATAGACTCGGGACTAGACATTGATGCTTTGAAGGCCGGCATTTCTGTTGGTAAGGCCTAGGTCCCTAGGTTGTCCACGCCGTAGATGTCTGCTGAAATCCGCGTTTGATTGCGTAACAGGATGTCGCAGAAGCGATTCGGCGTGTCCGGGAACAGGATCCCAAGCGTTCAATGCTGGTTCTCCTCCCAGATATCAAGACAGATGTTTGGAAAAGAGAGTGAACAAAGCAGAAAAGCATGAAAAAGGCGTCGTCAGTTCAGGTGGTGACACATTTTGAGCGATTCTTGCGATACATCGAAGCCGACCACGTGTTCTCAACTCAGAATATCCAAAAAGAGCTGTTTCTTCCCTGTAAGCTGCTTGATCCATTCGGACTTGAGACCTTGTGAATTCCCGCTGGTAGCGATAGTAGTCTATTGCCTGTGAATGTGCCTCACAAATCCTCACAATACAAACAATGTCAAAGAATGCTTTATTTTTTTTCAAACAATCTCTTTGCTTTCAAATTTGAAAAGTGTTGCCATCAACTTGGATCAGCAGTTTTCCTCTGTTAAAACGGTGCCTTCACTGGCGTGGGAGGCATGTGATGTACCAGGGCCGTATCCTGAAAAGTGGTGGCAAAGAACTTGCGGACAAGCTAGATCAGGCTATTACCTGTTGCCTGACTGCTGGTTTTGGTCTCGGTGTCGTCATGGTTGTGGCGGTGGTTGTTGCCTTTGCTGTTGTCGCGATTGTAACAAATACCCACGCTAGCTCGCACAACTTACTTGGGTTTTCTGAATGACTCAGAACTCAGCCAGGAGGGCTACGACTGGATTTTAAAGACTGCAGCCTGAAGCCCATGACCAGCAAGTTCCAGGTTTCTTGCATGATTCACAAAGTTGAGGAGGGACTTGGTGAGAGACGGCATAGTGGTGAGAGCGTTTTTAAGTAGCATTGGAACATATTGGAACTTGCTGATATCATTTTTCACCGCAAGAGTTGCTACGCTGCTCAAACCCTAAGCTTGTGCAAAAGTGTTCTTGCCAATTGCGATTTGTAATCTGATAGTACACCATGGTCTCTTGGAAATCAGCTTGTTGGACTATGATTCGCTCGAAGCCTCAGGATCAAATGCAGCACACATGTTATCCATAGCAATGCTCGTCGGAGATTGTACAGAACAGAGACACAAGCAGGCCACAAAGTCACCTAGCCTTGTTAGCTGATGTCAGCTGTACAAAGCGCACATGAAATCTTGCTACATAGAGATACCACAGCCAATCTCTACAAGATTTGATGAATCACTACCTTAAATGCAACCGATCCAGACAGTCTTCTATGTGAAGGATTGAGTCATGTGGCCCTTTCCATGATCGTGCTCAATGTCCGAGGCCACTCCTTATCCAAACCTACATGCTCTACGCATGTTTGCAAGTTCCAATCCCCATTCGTTGAGCTACTTGAGTTGTTTGGAGTGACTCCCAGTCTAGTCCAGAATTTCTCTGAAAATTCAATTGAAGATAATTGAAGTAATTGAAGATTGCCAGGCCGGAGGTTTGTCATGGTTTGTCGTATATTGTCGTGTAGAATGCCCACATATGCCCACTGCAGTATTTGTGGTACCCGACATCCATGCAGATCCTTGCAGGCCTCCATTCCTCGATCCGGTGGTTTCGTGGAGGATCCAAAATGTGCACGTGATGTGAGAAATGACACTATAGTAATATGGCTATGGACTATGGATCAATACCTATTAATACCATTTTTAGTGGGATGAACATCCATTTACCAGCTATTTTGATGTTCACCAGGGGTACAAGGTTTTGACACACTGCCATATATCGTAATACATTGTATCATACTGTATCATACTGTATCTGAATCTTCATGAATGTTCAACATTCCAGATTTCCAAGGCACTTTTGCAGCCTGAATTTGGTGTTTGGCAGGACCACTTCCAAGATGCCAACTGCTTGGCACAAGCGAGCCATTGCTTCAGCGAGGCTGGTGAAGACTCCATGAGACTCGATGCTCCGACATATCCGACATATCCGACCTCAACCAGCAGTAGATATCAGTAGCATCCAATGGATTCCAATGGATTCCAATGAATTCCAATGGATTCCAATGGATTCCAATGGATTCCAATGGATTCCAATGGATTCCAATGGATTCCAATGAATTCCAATGAATTCCAATGGATTCCAATGGATTCCAATGGATTCCAATGGATTCCAATGAATTCCAATGAATTCCAATGGATTCCAATGGATTCCAATGAATTCCAATGGATTCCAATGAATTCCAATGGATTCCAATGGATTCCAATGGATTCCAATGAATTCCAATGAATTCCAATGGATTCCAATGGATTCCAATGAATTCCAATGAATTCCAATGGATTCCAATGGATTCCAATGGATTCCAATGGATTCCAATGAATTCCAATGGATTCCAATGAATTCCAATGGATTCCAATGGATTCCAATGGATTCCAATGAATTCCAATGGATTCCAATGGATTCCAATGAATTCCAATGAATTCCAATGGATTCCAATGGATTCCAATGGATTCCAATGAATTCCAATGGATTCCAATGGATTCCAATGGATTCCAATGAATTCCAATGGATTCCAATGGATTCCAATGAATTCCAATGGATTCCAATGGATTCCAATGAATTCCAATGATTCCAATGGATTCCAATGGATTCCAATGAATTCCAATGGATTCCAATGAATTCCAATGGATTCCAATGGATTCCAATGGATTCCAATGATTCCAATGAATTCCAATGGATTCCAATGGATTCCAATGAATTCCAATGAATTCCAATGGATTCCAATGGATTCCAATGGATTCCAATGGATTCCAATGAATTCCAATGGATTCCAATGAATTCCAATGGATTCCAATGGATTCCAATGGATTCCAATGAATTCCAATGGATTCCAATGGATTCCAATGAATTCCAATGAATTCCAATGGATTCCAATGGATTCCAATGGATTCCAATGAATTCCAATGGATTCCAATGGATTCCAATGGATTCCAATGAATTCCAATGGATTCCAATGGATTCCAATGATTCCAATGAATTCCAATGGATTCCAATGGATTCCAATGGATTCCAATGAATTCCAATGGATTCCAATGGATTCCAATGGATTCCAATGAATTCCAATGGATTCCAATGAATTCCAATGGATTCCAATGGATTCCAATGGATTCCAATGAATTCCAATGGATTCCAATGGATTCCAATGAATTCCAATGAATTCCAATGGATTCCAATGGATTCCAATGGATTCCAATGGATTCCAATGGATTCCAATGGATTCCAATGGATTCCAATGGATTCCAATGGATTCCAATGGATTCCAATAGCATTGATTCAGCCATTGGTGAATTGACTTCACACTTCAACGACTGCGCCAGCCTTTCAGTGTTCCAGGTCTACCTGGCACATCCTGCTGAAGTCTTCTCGGGAAGCAAGGTACTTCCAGCATGCTGAAGTATTCCGGCCAAAAACCGTGGCTAACCAAGGAGAAGAATCAGACTATCATACAACCCAAGACTGAAATGGAATGGAATACTATTTTCGGCTAGATGTTTGTTTTAAACACCTGTTGATACATATATTGTCTAGGATATTTGAAACATTTCGAAACAATGTCAAATCATGAAAGCAAGGCGACCTGTCAGCAGCAGGTCTTACTGCATGTCTACGAGCTCGTGGAGTACTACCCCAAGTGCAGAGAGCTTTTAAAGCACTTGAACATGAAAGATTCAAGGAAAAAATGGTCTTGTTAGAGTCTTGTTGCCTTTTTGACAATCAGCATGCTTCCACGTTAGGTTCGTCCGGATGAACAAGATTCTCGCGCAGCGCCCTTGCTTGCCACTGTTTTTACAGGAACTATCTTCATTTTTGTGGCCTAGAAACTAGAAACTGAGTAATACAACAAACTTTAAGGAAAGCATCACTTGAAATGGTGCAAGAACTCCACTTCACAGTGCCTTGCAACCTTTCTTTAGCGAAACCCACCTCTTCGAGGTGTAGTTGTGGTGAGAGTTGGGTTTGACAGCGGAGACTTCTCAATTTTCTGTAGGTCAGAACTACTGCCCGTCGGTGGAGCGCTTCACGCTGGGGTAGAGGTGGGACAGAATGTGGCAAAGGATGGAGAGTCACGTAACAACCCTTGACGTATAATTACAATTAATGAGAGAGATAACATCAAGTAAGCAGCAAATAGTGATAAATAGTGGAGGATTGTGGGGGTATACGCGGCTGAAATTCAGGCTCAATAAACTTGGCGCAGAGATGTGCAGGGGTTTAATTCGTTCTCGATCATGCGATAGTATGCTCATATTAATAAAGCCAGGCATGAGTAGCGCAGCTGTAGAGTTGAGGTAGAAAAGTAAAAACAGTGCGAAAGCAATGCTCATTCTGACTCCTCAGTTTTTGTTGAGCTCTCTTTCCTGCAAACGATTGTACCCAATACAGACAAAGACTCAAAGATCGCATTGATATCAAGGCGTGCTTCATTTTGCTGTGTTTCAGGCTGTTGTTTCCTTGAACTAATGCTTGATCATTTGTCGTTCAGCAAATGTTCCTATCCTCCAGGTCTATGGAAGAGAATGGAGTTACGGAGGTTCGTCAGGCGGAGCTGGGATCCGGCCTCAGAATCGGCGCTGGCAACGCATCGAGCATCCTTCAGGTAGTCGGAAGACAGGAATCGTTTGCGAAGTTCCACGCACAAACCAAAAGCATAGGTGCGGCATGGTGCGGCTTTGGTGTTGCATTGAATTTTCAAATCCTTGCACTCAAGACATGGGGTGATTTTTAATATGTTTTTGTGCCACGGTCAAAACATGATGTGTTTTTCCACGCAAGGGGACGGTCACCCACGCATTAAGAGGGTTTAATATACCCATAAGGATTCCCAATATGGGATGGATGACCATAGCCCATAGCCCATATGCCATATACAATGTTTTGACCATGGCACATGTAGTTTCGCTGTGGTATTAGCTTTTAACATTTTGGCTGCACGTCAAACACCTCAACTTGCGGCCAATGTATTTTGATAAAGACGATGAAGCACCTGAGATTCGAAACGTTTCGGCTGGAACGAATGAACAGTTACATACAATTACAACAGTTGTTTGGAAGATTTGGGGAGGTACCGGGAGTCTATTTCTCTGGGCTTCACACGCCTCAGCAAGGCAGAGGCAAGATTGGCATGAACCGAACGCTTTTTGCATTCCCACTTGCAGACACTTACAGCAGGGTTTGGGTTTTTCACGGTCCAAAAAGATGGTGGTTACCCCACCCTTTGGTCTCTCACCCCAAAACACCCCAAAGCCATCGGCTTCCTTCCTTGCTGTGAGTTGAAATATGTTGAAATAGACTGGTGGATTTGAGGGGATCCTCAAGGTTTTGGAAGCACATCCTATCGTGAAAAGACAAGGCAAATCATCAGTGTTCATCAGGTAGCACTGGTGCTTGGAGATCTTGTGGAACTTTGGCTTGCAGAGGTTTGCATGCTGCTATTGTAAAGACTGGCAAAACAATTCCTGATTGGCCAGATTTTGTTGAGCCTGTACAACCAACACGTATTTGCACGGGCTGATTTGGAGGACTATCATTGGCTGAACAACAACTGCTTGTCGTTCGCTAACGACTTCTGCCGCAAGTTAGGCGCTTCAGAGTGCAAGTCGTCATGTGGAGCTGAGTGGTAATTCCAGTGAAGCTCCACTTGCAGAGGTGTTGGTGGAATTCCAGCATGGCCTGCAGCTCGGAGTTTGATTTTGACTTGGACATGGGACACATTTGGAATCATTTGGACATATTTTGCATCTGCAAACTTCTGCAAACACCGATCGTTCACCAAGGGTCGACCGACTGCCGCGAGGAGTCTCGGCGGTGAACCAGGGTCACCTGCTGAGATCACTGCGTGGTGCGTGGCACATCTGCACATCCTCCGTGGCTCGCCATGGCTCGCCTTGAGGAATGCAGAGCCTGGCCGAGACCATGCGGCATCTGGCGGATGGCACTCTGGAAGTGGTTCACGTGCAGTACCCAGAAGTTCCAGAAGCAAATGTTTATTTATGGTTTGTTATTAGTCATATTTAGTCATGTACTGCCTCAACTTGGACAAGTGATCTCAAACAGTTTGACGCCCTTGTGTTATATTGTGTTGGGCTTATCTCATCTCACCTTTGTCCAGCGATCAGAGGCCATTGTTGGAGCTGGAGGCTAGTTTTGATGTTTGTAGCAGCATTGTAGCAGCATTGTAGCAGCATTGTAGCACATGTTCAAGCTGAGTGCAGATTAACACGGAGAGACGTGCTTCAAAAGGTTGCCGCTTCCAACCCTAGCTTTGTCCGTACACTCACTGATCGGAACTTCGCAGCTGTGTCAGTGCTATCAGGCAAAGGTTGTATTGCAATGTATTGCCCAAGCGAGCTGAATCAAACTAACAACAGAGCACATGTTCAAAGTTTATAAATTCATATAAAATCTCTTCAAACATCTTCAAACGCTTTAATCGCTTCTGGTGTGTTGGAGGACAACTAGACTGTGCTCGCTGTCGTCCAGCTCCATCGTTTGTTTCGTCGTTTGGAACGCTCTTCGGATTAATTTTGGTGCACGCTTAGCTTGTTTATCGGTGAGTGGATGCGTGTGGCATTTTGGAACAGATATGATTCACTGACAGATGTGACAGATATGATTCGCTGTTGGTCCTTGTTGCGTTCTTTTATTTGTTGGTATTCGTTTGGTGTGTTCAATGTCTTTTGGACAGTGGGATTCCATTATCCCATGCTAATCAAGCAGCATTGAAGAAGCACTGCCAAGGCAGAGTGTTGCTGGAAGCTTTGTCTTAACGCTCTAAGCCCAGCTTGAGCTTCGCAAAAGACACAACACAGGGGAGCTCATCTCGGGACCAACTCTACCACTGGGATACTGTCAACATCTGTCATCCCTGAAACATTGAAAGTAGTGGCGCAGATTTGTCCTCCCCAAAGACTTGGCTTCCTGAGGCCTGCTTACGGAGCAAGCTTCATGCCACTGGGGCAAGGAAGTATGGAAGCCTGGCCTAGCAGTCAAGACTGTGCAGTCTTGAGTGTTTATACCCAACTCACGCTGGCCAAGACGGTCTGGATGGAACAATGACAGGTAGCCGAGAAATGGCCTCAGTCTCATTGCGTGAAGACGCCCGCCACTTAACGAAGATCAACTTGTTCCAGAGATTTCCAGAGAATCATAGATATTTCATGATATTTTCATGATATTTTCTACAAAGAATGTCAGACCAAATCATTGCAACCTGAAATTCCACAAGCAGCTGAAATTCTTCTAAAAGATGGAAGGCAGCCGTCGATAAAGAACAGTTCACCGCAGGTTCTTGCCGTTCATTTCATGAAAACGGACTCGTGCATAATCTTGACTCGTGCATCAAGATCATCAAGACTCGGCACTCAGGCTGTTCGGATCCAGCCTAGGCCACCATCCTGCATGCCTTGGCAATCCTCAGCACATCACATCATGCCAGACAGTTTACATAAACGTGTGTGTACTATCTTGTACTCGGTACTCGCAGAAGTGGATAATGAAAAGTTCAGATTAGTTGAAAGATGTTGAAAGCTTCAGAGCAATTTGTGAAAGTCTTCGGGGCGTGGAACTGCTACTCTTTTTTGCCAGTTCTGTGAACCCGCAGCTGTAGTGCAATGAAATGATGCTAACAGGGCGATGTTCAGGGCAAGTTTTCGTGATGTGTCTACATACGCAAAAACATTTGCGTGATTGTGTGTGTGAGAGAGTGCGTACATTATTGGTAAAGTGCCTTAAGATGCCTTGACTATCTTCAACTTGCAGCATGTCATGATTGCACCAGTTGGCCATTTAGTCAATGCTGGATAGTTCAATCCGTTGATGTATAGTTCCATGATATTCTGTGCCATGGTACTTCCTAATGTTGTCCAGCCAATAGTGATCTCTTGTCAATAGTAGAAACATTTTTCCGCAACTCCAATTTTTCTCCAATACTAAAAGTCAATTAGCTCATATTAGCTCTATTTACTTTTAGTATTGCCAAAAGAGTCATGTTCAGACCTTGTCCAGAGGGCATGGCCAATAGTGGACCCAACATGGCAATAGTGGAAACTTTTTTCCCAACTACAATTTTTTCTCCAATACTAAAAGTCAATTAGCTCCATTTACTTTTAGTATTGCCAAAAGAGTCAAGTAAAGCAAATCCTTTTCAAAGCAGCCTTCACTTTTGATTAGCAAAAGCTTAGATTCCAGAAATCTGATCCAATTACCAAACAGCTGATTTCCTTATAAAACCCTTATTAAAAAAAGCAAGAAAACAGGTCCACAAAGGGTACCCCCTTTGCAAGCCCCAGAATAGCAATAACAAACCTGCACCAGGCATGGCAATAGTGGAAACTTTTTTCCGCAACTCCAATTTTGTTGTCCTCCTTCTTCTCCTTCTTCTCCTCCTCCTCCTCGTCCTCCTCCTTCGCCTCCATCCCAGCCATAAGGTTCCAAGACTTTACTATTGGAATGCTGACCCCCCCTGGATTTTCCTCCAAAATTATTTTATTTAGGGGGGGCGGGGGGTTTACTATTATGCAGCTAACATTAATAGCGATGGTGGCTGGCTCTTCTCAAATCTTTGCGTCGACAAGTGGGGCTGCATTGCAAGGCATGTTCCGCAGCATCCAGTGCTTTCCCGCGTGGAAGAGGATAATGAATGGAGCTGACACAACCCAGCTTCATCGCTTGCGAGCACAAAGGAATGCTTGCATTATCTTGTATATTCTTGTATTATATTTGATTTTTTAGCCATGTCTGCATCGACGGATGCATGAAGACCATTGCATGCTGTACTTGATCCGTTGATGCTCCTGAGCTTTGGCAAGCTTGCCACAGCTCAATTGTAACGGATGGAGTACTTTGCCGGCGATTTATAGGTCCGTTAATTCAATGCTTAATCAAAGCTTCGCGCTCTGTCACAGACTCGACGGAAGTCGATCAAACATGTTGAGAAAAGCATCAGAACATTTTCCTGGTGACGGACTTGTGATCGTACTCTTTGCACCAAAGTTGAACATGGCCAAAGCGCTTGGTCAGGATCAATTGAAACTGTATCGGATATCAATTCAGACTTTGCAACCTGTGCAGAACAATGTACGATTGGAATTGATGTTGATTGAATACATGCAATACATATTTTGTAAGTAATAGTCTGCAACAATTTAATTGATTAATTATTATGACATGTGTTTCAGGCAACTGTTGCAACACATCGACATGCACAGACAATGCCAGATTTTGCCGACGCTGTCTCGTCAGCATGCTTGCCCGTGCAAGCAGTAGTGGGAACTTGGCTGTTTGGGGTTGATCATGTGGAGACGCAAATGGCCATGGAAGGAAATCTCAAGGCTTCTTCACTTGCTACTGAACGTTTTGACTGCTGGAGATCAGCAACATTGTGAACCTTTCAAGGAGTCCAGAAACAGAAGCCAAGATTGTTACTTGTAGGAGTGGACGTGCATTTATGAAATGTAGCAGAACGTGTTTCCATGTTTTCCGACCTTTTCAACTTTGTAAAGTCCTGAAAAATTCTGCATGCCGCTTCAATGAAGCGCTTGGCAAGCAGATGTGCTACACTGCGCCACGTAAACCGGCAGGCTTGGTTCATCTTGGTTCACAATGGCAATATAAATTGTGCGAGCCAGTGAGGTTTGCCATGATTTTCGTGGTGAAACTGCCTGAGTGAGTCTGCTTGGGTTTTTGGTCGAGGTCCGCGATGGCCGCCTTGCATTTAGGCGCTCTGCTGTGACGACATGTCATCGTTTCGGGTGACTGGAGTCGAACGTCTTTTTCTTGATGACAGATCCCTGGTCCCTGAACCATACCATCCAAACACAAAGTTTTTTGAAAATGCTGACCAGACGTGATCAGACATACCAGTAGTTAAACTGTGAGTATCCTGTAGTATCGTAGTATCCTGAGTTCTGAAAGAAACTAGCAGCAAAACATGCTAGCATATTTTAGATTATTTTAGCATATTCTATAACAACTTGACTTTACAATGAGCCAAGTGATAATATGAGGCCGTTTTCGTGTGCGACAACTTTTTCGGCGGTGCGAACATCGCACAGTTTCACTCCTCGTTCACTGATGCCTGGCACAGTAGAGGCCTGGACACCTGCGTAGATTCGTGGAACCTTTGTCGTTGATCAGGGATGGACTACCACCACAGTCACTGCGATGCCAGAGAATCAAGAGCGTTTCAAGCCTTTCTAGATGGAAGAACTTGTGCAGAATTGCATGATAGCACGATGGACCACTTTTTGACACAAGTTGCTGTCACACAGGATGCCATGCACTTTGCTTGAAAGTTTCAAGGTGTCCAAGCAGCGATTTGAAGAGCTTTTGGAGTCTGAGATGGTGCATTTCGCACGGGCTCTACGGCCACATCCCGTTTGCCCGCCATGTTTCCATATGTTTTGCTTGTTTTTAAAGACGTTGCTTCATTGATGGTGTTCGTATGCCACTGCTGCATCTGCTGCATCTGCTGCTTGAGCCGCAGATGACACTTCAACAAATCCTGCATCTCACGGATCCCGCTGCCCTGCGGACCTTTCTTTTGGAGGCATGGAGAACAGATTCTCATGGATTGTCATCGTCATGTGATTAGCATATAATGATTTCCAGCTGATTCCAAGTGTTTACAGTTGTTTCATGACTTTTCATGGTGTTTCTGATTCCAAATGATCCAACTGTTCCCTACGATGCCAGTTGAACAGTTGGAAGGATCGTTGTTTAATCCTTTTTTCATGGCTCTTTAAAGGGTGAAAATGGTGAGATGGCCTGGCTGCAGGAGCTGCCAATTCGGTATGCTCGACGTGTTCAGCTGGTTGAGGTGCAATTTTTACAGTAAACCTCTATACTTGGCGGTAAAATTCATGGGTTCCTACCCCAAACATCCCCAAACCATTGATTTATTGAGAAGTTGAGCACATCACATCTACAAATGGCGCGCAGACCTGGACATGTCGAGTGAAACCCCGCCCTGCTTCTGATCGTTGACTCTTGATGCCAGTCTCTGCCCAACTGGAAAAGCTACCCCTCTATGCGGATGATTCGTGCCTTGGATTTGGGCCAAAGAGCCTGATGTGATTAGTCATGATTAGTCTGATCTTCACAAAATTGACATAGTTTGATATTTTTGATATCATTCTAGGTTTTATAGTATTCTACTGGTAGTTCTTTCTGGCTGCTGTAGATGCTGAGCCAAACCTTTGATATATAAACTATGTAATGACTAAGTGTTCCAAGGTCAGGCATTCTGAAGACGCATTCAAGAATCAGCCAATCAACCAATGTATTTTTCTTGCTTAATTACCGCACAAAGACACACTCAGATAATCTCAGATGCATGCTGTGATTTCTCCCAGGTTCATTGTATGCCGAAGCTTTCCGTCGCCTTCGAGCTTTGACTCAAGACGACAATGAGGACCAGTGTCCAAATCATGAACTGGAATCAACTGCGTATGGCTCAAACTGGTTGAGCACAAAAGGATTGAAAAGGTGTGTCTCCCGGTCGTGAAAACAAGTATAGCACCACTTTGTTGAATCATGTTATGTTGAATCTTTGGTACAGTATCTCTCAGTATATTTGAATGTATTCGGATGTATTTGGTATTTTTGTGCCACATCATGACATCCAAATCATCTCATGGTCTGGCGAACAATAACGACCAATCCGGTTGGCTTGGCCATTTGCTGGGCAGGACACCTTTCGAAGGACACTTCAGGATATCAAGAGGAAGAATGCCAACATGCTGTTTCATGTCGTCAGGACTGCTGCTTTGCCGTATTTTGGTTACTTTTCTCATAGAGTAGACAGTTGAACGACTCATACTGTACATATTTAAGCGAGCTTGAAGTTCTCAGGGGTGCCCGTGCAGTGCGGACGAACAAGTCTTTCACTGACGACCAGGTCTGGAGCTTTGGATGCCAACAGATTTCCAAGAAGGATTCATATGTTTCCAATATTTTCCAATATTTTCCAATATTTTCCAATATTTTCCATAATTCTTTCAATTCTATCAAATCCTACACTGAGTGCATGCAATGAAGCACACACGCTCACCTTGCTTGGCGCAAGGTGAATAGATTTCTGGACGAGTTTTTGACTGCCCGTATTGGGACAGACATCCTGTCTTCGCAGTACCTGTCGATTACAAGGCACGGGAGCGACCAAAAACTGCCAAATCGTGTCGGATTTACGAGGGCATCTCTTGTGCTTCCCATCCTGGTCAGACTGACGGGATGCTTTACAACAGCATAGAGTTTCATAGAACCAAGAATCAATGCACTCTAATTGATCGGGAAAAGGTTCAACTGTACTGGTACTCGTAGCTGGTTCTGTAGTCTCAATATTTTTTTCAGCAGCGGTATGCAGCTAACAAGGAACTACACGTCCGCAGCAGCATTCCTTCGGTATTTGGGAGAAGTCTGAAAACAAAAGAGCGCATTAAATCCAGAAAAGGAGTCACTGAGCTTCCGGATATGGTGCTAACCAGCACCTGATACACGGGACCCAGTGGAATGAGCTAGCAGCTACAGGTGGGTGGAACCCAAACCACCGAAAAAAAAAGAGCCAATGATCGCCAATGAATATCAATGAATATAAAAGATGAGAATGACACCAGAAGGAGAAAGGTCCCGTGACGCACTGCAGGGTTCGTGCCCACTATATAGTTTCGCTCTGGAGAAAAGTTGAATTCAAAAGAGAAGTAAGTAGGCATTCAAGAGTGACCGTGGTCTCCTGGCACATCATTGGCGACCCTGTCGAACTTTAGCTTTAGCTGGTCCTTGATGGAGTTGATTTGACCGGTAAGAAAGACTGCAGTTGCCCCTGCAATTTCGAGTGAAGAAATGATGTTCCAGCAAAAAAATGGAGAATGCATGGTAGTAGATGATGTGCAAGACGTCCCTCATAGTCTTGAGCCTGGTGTAGAGTGTGCAAAAATCCAGAATCTTGAAGAAGGAGTCGGTGCCAAGGAAAAGAAGTAAATTGCCGGAGAAGCATCGTTGAACTGGAGCAAGTCGCCAAAAGTTGACCAGGAAGGAGATAATTGATCCTGCACTGGGGCCATCAGTACAGAGCAACGAAGAAGAAAAATGTATCGTTCCAGCGAAACCAAGGAGCAGAAGAGGTAGGAGATGAAGTACCAGACTTCCCGCATAGTCTCAAGCTTGCAGATGAATATGACTATGACAATAACAATGCAGCAATGATCTTGAAAATGGAGCCGAGGTCGCATTGGCTGCAAACGCAGCAGGAGCAAAAATTGATAAAAATTGTATCCGAATCAAGCCACGATGTCGACAAAGTAGAAGAGCTCTAGGTACTCAGTCTTCGATGCCCCCAAGACTTCAATGGATGTTGCTTCAACAAAATGTGCCTTCACTTGGTGTAGCTTCAATACAGGTGACTATGGCGCGAAAAGTAGTTGTTTCCTTAAAAGATGCATCCTAATAAAGACGGGGCAACAGATGCAACAGTCAGCAAGCAGAAAGGAGGGTAGCTAAAGCTTGTGCCGTGCCTATGGTCTCAAGATATCATATAATATAATTGATATTATGTGAGCATAAGCTCCAAACATCATGTTGCTTGCAGCAGATGCGAAATGTTTGGGAGTAGCGCTGCATGGAGGTATATAGTATATAGTGTGTCTCAACAAGAAACCAGTCGGCAAATCCGTAGTAAGATACGAGTGATGATAAGGTTGGAAAGGAATACCAATACAAATCTTTGTCTTATAGTCTAGTATCTTATAGTATCTTATAGTATTATACTTGACAGTTTCATCGGTTGAGCGTCCTTTACTGTCTTTACCCATGCCTAGGCTTTTTAGCGGAGGTTGTTTCAAGAACCGAGCGCCTTTTATACTAGTACCACACAACGCGGTGGAGGAAGTTTCCAAGATAGGAAGGAAACCTATAGGAGAGTTTGGTTGTTGCGGCACCTGGCTGGCAGAGCGAACTGTAGCTGATGGACCAAACGAAAGGTGGCAGAGGCTCTGAGTCTCCCTCTCTATCTGTCTTTGTCTTCTTCTCTCTGTGTCTCCCTGTCTCTCTCTCTCTCTCTCTCGCGCGCTCTATCTCTCTATCTATCGATCGATCGATCCATCGATCGATCTATCTATCTATCAATCTAATCTACTCTAATCTTATCTTAGCTAATCTTAGCTAATCTTATCTAATCCTATCTAATCTTATCTAATCTTATCTAATCCTAATCTTATCTAATCCTAATCTTATCTAATCCTAATCTTATCTAATCCTAATCTTATCTAATCCTAATCTTATCTAATCCTAATCTTATCTAATCCTAATCTTATCTAATCCTAATCTTATCTAATCCTAATCTAATCCTATCTAATCTAATCTTATCTAATCTTATCTAATCCTATCTTATCTAATCCTAATCTTATCTAATCCTAATCTTATCTAATCTTATCTCATCTTTTCCTATATTTTCTATCCTTTTCTATCCTTTTCTATCTATCCTTTTCTATCTATCCTTTTCTATCTATCCTTTTCTATCTATCCTTTTCTATCTATCCTTTTCTATCTATCCTTTTCTATCTATCCTTTTCTATCAATCCTTTTCTATCTATCCTTTTCTATCTATCCTTTTCTATCAATCCTTTTCTATCTATCCTTTTCTATCTATCCTTTTCTATCTATCCTTTTCTATCTATCCTTTTCTATCTATCCTTTTCTATCTATCCTTTTCTATCGTTCTATCTATCTATCGATCTATCTGTCTATCTGTCTATCTCTCTATCTCTCTATCGATCTATCGATCTACCTACCTACCTACCTATCTATCTATCTACCTACCTACCTACCTACCTATCTATCTATCTATCTATCTATCTATCTATCTATCTATCTATCTATCTATCTATCTATCTATCCGTCTGTCTATCCATCCATCTGAAACGAAGAAACTCTGCGAGGCTTCTTTCAAAAGTGATAGTTGACGGGTCCAAAACTCGAAGCAATTCTGCGAGACTTCCTTCGAAAATGGGAAGTTGAGTGCAGAGCTGACGGCCTCGTACCAATGCGTTTTGCAATTCTCCCACTCCATCTATCCAAACTGCGCCTGCCGTGAAAAAGTGAGGACAGGTCACACGAATTTTGGACTTGTCACGCAAAATCATCTTATCAAACCTGAAGATCTGATGCTCCAAAATGCAACCGTTCTCAGGAAATCAGCGCCCTGGCCTCCTAACATCTCTGATGAAGATGTCTCTTGTGCTGCGCCTGCCACATCCTTCGTACATCTTCTTCAAATGTCCCATGCCTGCCATCGTTTTTGAACATGGTACAAAACCCACACGTTTGACTCGCTTTTGACAAGGTGCAAAAATCCATTGCGCCTTCCACGCAAAGCGACGCCTGAACGTGCAAAAGTGGTCCGAACGCGGTGTGCTTTTCGCATTTTGACTTCGAAATGTGCTTCGCGCCACACCGCCGTGCAGTTTTTCCACATCTCAACTTCCAAAAGTGCTCCGAACATGTCTGCTTCGTGCGTTTTGACTTCCAAATTTGATAAATTTGCTTCGCGTCGCAACCGCAGCAATTTTTCAGATCTCCTCTCCCCAGATGGCTCCGCACCCGCCGCTTTAGCGAGCCTGCTTTTCGATCCTCCGGAGCCACAAAACCATGCTTCGCGACTTTTCTACAAGCACCTTTTCACGCACTTTGATCTTTGTAATTCTGACTCTTTATCTTCTCTGATCTCCTTCTTCTCTTCTCTTCTCTGACTCTTCCCACCTCTGCTGCCTCATCTGTCCATATTGTCGGAAGTTTGATTTCTACACTTCCTTCTTCGGCAAGCACAAATCATGTGTGCATTAGGCAATGGCGTTTTATTGTTCGAAGCGGTTTGGGGCCTATGCGTTCCAGGCCTGATTCGCCGACTTCAATTATCAATCCAGAGTGTGATCCGGTCAAGCGCTCGGAGTTTCAGCCTTTTGCACTGCTACTGCGCTGCTACTCTGTATTTTCCAGGACGGCCAATAGATAGATGTCAAAAATGTCCAAGAGTAGCCACATGTTGCACCCAGGATGAATCGCATGAGAACTAGACGCAGTAGCAGCAACAACTGGCATTGTCCACACTGAGGTTACCGTTGTGCGAGCCGCTGCTAATGATGCAGCCACACTTTGCAGGTGGCGCTTGGATGAGTATGTGCCAATGCTAATATGTACCTCAAAGTCCCATAAAACTAAAACTTGAGAACCTGCAGGGAAACTGCTGGAAACTACCACAGTTTGCTTTTGGTCTCATTTGTTGGAAAACCATGGAAACCATGCAGTGGGTTAGCCATCCAAGGCATCACTATGGCTGGAGCCCGCCAATTGATATTGTAGACGTCGGGCAGGCGACGTGGAGATTGGGGGAGAACTTGTAGAAAAAATCTGAATTGCATTTGAATGCATTTGATTGCTACGTCTACACGTGTAGATACCCTGAGAAATCATACACGGAGATGGAGAGTAATACAATTGTAATATACTTGAATATCATTGGCATTTGGCATGTCATTGTGTTGCGGGCGAGTGGATTGTAACCTAGTGTAGATCCGTTTCGAATCAGGGAACTATCAGTTCCATTCCCAGGTTCGTTTTCCCTTTATCTCCCAGTACTTGAACTACATAATGTTCGGGACTCAGACGTTTCTGAAACAAACATCCCTGTCAAGCTCTGGTCGGTGTGGACATCAAAACATGACCTGATGGGTGACTGGCAATTCAGTTGGTTTGGGTCACGCTGGTGGCAAATCAAAGATGCATGGGCCAGTCAACATTCTTCTGACTTGAGGTTCGAGTTGCTAAAGAATTCGTTGCGAGCCGTTGTAGAGAGGCAAGGATTGTGATTTCATTATAGATTTTAGGTTATCTAAATTTAATCTACTTGTTCACAATATAATATCATTATCATTGATGCCATGAATCATAGATTAATGTATTAGAATGTATTAGATACTGTATTTTACCATTTGAATCCATTTGATATTGTACCAAATTCCAAAACTGCTCAAGCACTTGCTGTGGCACCACCTTGCCGAAAGGCTGACAAGGGTTGCCGCACAGGTATGGCTCGAGGCAAGCTGCCGAGGCATACCCCATTCGCCAGACAGCTCAGCTGATGTTGGCTAGGTTCAACCACCAAAACAATGGTTTCACCATCAACAATCGGCACGTATCATCATGTACATACTATTGTCCTCTTGACTTTGCGATTTGTTCATTTTTCTTGCATTCTGGGAAGAAGACCAGTCCGACTGATTCAATGACATAGAGATACAAAGAGATCAAAGAGGGCAATGTCAGTGTAGATCAGAGTGATGTTTCAGGATAGGCCATGTTTACTTGTGTAGTTCCATCAAGCCAAAGGCCCCACAAAGCAAATGCATGGAGGTGCAAAATCACCACGAAGTGTCCACAGAGTACCCAGGCGTTGTGATTTGTGGAGATCAAGACACCGTTGTGCTGCGCGTGTAGCTGCACCCAATGCGGGCTTGGCAAGGGAAGGAGGATTGGTTCGATTGTGAGAGAGAGAAGTTCAGACTGGCCAGACGTAGAATTTGCAAACGAGATCAAACGAGCATGGATGTGGTGCGCATGGATTTGATCACAGCGCACTGATGGCCAAAACGCGAGGTCAGACTGTGGAGGAGGTCAGCAACTCAGTGGTGGGAAATATGTGACCTCCCCACATTGCCTGAAGTGTGGCAGGTATCCCCTTGGCTGATATGGATCAGGCATGGTCTTTGAATGACTGATGACATTTGATGACACAATTCTTCTCAAATTTGAGCAGTCCAAACATTTGTTCCTGCTTTGACCTTTGACCGTAGACTGACTGGCACAAGCCATTGCGTTCGGATGTATGAGAACTCTCGATGTGATACTTCAATGCGATAGCATGCTGTGCCAGGCTGTATCTCTCTAGCTTCGAGCAATACAAAAGGAGAGTCTTTGATCCCGTGGCAGGTATGGTCCTACATGTTCACCACCGCGAAACCAGCCTGCGAGGAGACTTCCCCAGTGAGCACAGTTCATGCGGATGGTACCAAGTAAATGTATGTATGTGAATATTGCATGTTGGCAGGTGTCAATTTCCAGTCTGCAGCAGACATGTTGGCAACACTCAGCCAATTTATGCTATGGTTTCCATCCAACAAAAAACATGAAATCAAGACAGGTGTTTGCTGCCTACTTGGATGCATGTGCACCTCGACAACGTAGCCTGCAACTTCGTTGATTTTGGAAGGAGGTGGCAGCTGCAAATTCAGCAAGCAGTGAGAGCGACGATGAGGATTCTGACGATGATGGAGTGGCGCCAGATACCTGGAAGGTTTGCAAGTGAGGTGGCAATTTGGGACGTTTAATTAGTATATCTGACATTGACGGATTATGAATTAAACTAACCTCATTGCTGACTTTTGCTGACCAGGCTGCAGCAACGTAGCTGAGGCCGTTGGCTGGTTTTGGCTGTGGCTTGCCATTGAGCAGGCCAGACGACTAGTGCTTTGCCAGGTGGCTAGTGGAAGGCAACCTGTTTGGCAGCGCAGCACTATGGAGTTGGCTTCTGATTCATGAGACTTTGAATGATTGCTCTCTGCTGAGCAGGAACTATGCGCTCGAAGCCCAGCACTTGCCGACCAGAATTCAAGCAAGAGCAGCCCATTTCAGTATGTGCACTAGATTGGATAGGCGGAGGCCTTTTTGAGCACAGACCACCAGCCACAGCACATCGAGGGATCTATATAGAAAGATGATGAAAGATGTAGTGATGTGATGTGATAGTCTGTGGCAGTGGCTGGTGTCAAACAAAGTCAACGTTGAAGCCTGGTTGGGCCAAGGTGCTATGTCGGTGGATGGCTGGAACTGAATTCCATTCCAGAGTTTGGAACAGATGCGCAAGCCACTCAAGCCTTCTGCCACAGGGGTAAGATCAGCACCGTTTCATTTGGTGATGAAGAACAAAAAGTACAGTGTTTGAATGCAAAACGATTCTCCTGATCCTGATGATGATGATGATGATGAGGATGAGGATGAGGAGGAGGAGGAATTCATCCTTGCATCACCATATGACTACTACTGTTTCTTCATGTCAAGCACCATCAGTGGACGATCAGCGCAGCCGGATGTTTTCAGGTATCTGTACCTGAATCGCTCGGGGAACGGGCAGGAAGCCTTGAGAACTGACATTGCTGCCAGCACCTCAAGTTCAATATCTCAAGATAGTTCACTTCGAGAGCAACATGATTGGCAGATTCAGATTCGGGATGATATGGCGTTGAAGATTGTAGCCATAAGAGCCAAGGACACTGTGTCATTGTTGGTTCATTTGGTTCATTTTGGTTCCATTTGTTCTGGACTCTCAGGAATTGCCAGTGCCAGAGTCGCTGCTGGCAAACGGCAACTCTTGCGATGCTGGTGGTGGGGCACCGCTAGCTGCAGAATTGTGACGAACAAAAAGTGAAATCACAGCCACATACAGCCATCAAGTGAGGCAGAGGCAACAGAACACTCACGGCATTCAGTGGAGAGACAGCTTTTTGTTGACTGTCATAGGTTAGAATATGTTGAGATTTGGCAATGTTGTGCAAAGAGTGTTTGTTTGACACCGCAGCTTTTAACATATCAAACATCACAGACGGTACTCGGAGAAATACATGTAAAGCCGCCCAAAGTTAATCATAGCCGGTGAATGGGTGTGCAAGGCTTGGGACTGAGTGCAAGGTCTCAATGCAAAGGTTGTTGCATGTTGAGTACTTTGTTGAGTCTGATTTCAAAGACTGGGACAGAGAAGAAAGAAGTGGTCAGATGACGGTCAGAGTCTGCATTTTCAGAGTTCTTGGTTTGCTGAGGATACCTTCCGACGAGTCCAGAGAGTAGGATCTATTCCAATCCAACTGCGCTTGCTGGCCCCTGAGAGACTGGCTTGTAAGTATGCAAAGCGGAGGTTTGTGCCTGACCACATAGCTCGGCATTCCAGGGAACCGTACATCAATTTAATGCCTGCCATGTGTAATTACAAGTTCTGAAAGAGACCGAATGCCTGCCATGTGTAATTACAAGTTCTGAAAGAGACCGGCTCAGGGTAAGCGGCCCCTTTTGAAAAGCCTTCAGAGTCCGAAGCTTAGTTCTATGCAATCTGCTTGGACGTTGCAGATACATTCAGATTTTTAATGATTTTTAGGGATTGGTGGAATCGTACCCAGATTCGGCATTGCTGGACAATTCAAACGTTGCCTACTGCGGCCCAGACAATGGCGAGCCAGTAGTTTTCCAGCGCAGCCCTTGTCGTTTTGCCCTCAGCCGTGGTTCACGGGCCTATGTCAAGCGGGTGTCCCAGAATGAGGGTCGATACCTTAAAGTTCATTGGTTTTGCTGACATATCTGACATGGGTATAGCTGGATATAGCCATGATATAGCCATGATATAGTTGGATCATTTTTTGTTTTGATCAGCACAGTTCACGAAGGAAATTGGGTCCCCAAGATTCAGATCAGCTCAGGTAGCGTTGCTTTGGCTGTGGGAGGAGGGCTCAGCCTGAGCGTGGCGTCCTTGGAGCATCTTGAAATCGGCGTTTCAACAGATGTTATGCACAAGATCAAGAACAAACTACAAAAATGATCTAGAAATCGTCAAAGGTCATCAAACATGCAGTTTTCAAAACGTGCATTTTGAGATTTGTGACCAGGCATTTACATTGAATTGGCTTGGACGAAAGAGTCGACGCCCACAACGAAGCATTACGAGGCCAACAACCCTCGAATGGAAAGGCAAAAGCCTGTGATTCTGATTTTGTGTGTCAAAAAAACAGATCCCGATCTTGCAAACTGTTCATTTGGTTTCATTTGGTGTCATTTGGTTTCATTTGGTGTCATTTGGTTTCATTTGGTCAGTGGCATTTGATTGGTCAGTGGCATTTGATCAATTCCTGCAATAATTTGTAATTATTGGTATATCTATGTATTATAATATCATATGATACATACCCATGCATTGAGTTTGGCAGGCTTGGGTGTGCATGTATCCTCTTTAAGTGTTTCAATGAATGCTATCATTTTGGCTCAAGTAAACTTGAACCAAAATAGCATTCATTGCTGTTTTCTTTCTTGGTCTTGGTAAGGGGTGACCTTTCCAGACCTTGATTGGGTGGTTCAAACTATCTACAAGGGGCGACCTTGTATGCAGCGCAAACTCCCAGGAATCGATATCCCGGCAGCCACTGAGGCGAAGATCCTTCATGCTGCTGCTTTCCTGGAGTTCAAGAGCCACGTGGAAAGGCTGGCGCGGGAGGGCTCTGATGCTGCAGCATACACATGCTGGATGCATGGTATTGAAGTGTTGCATTCCCCCTACGTCATCACGACTGGGACAGATTCAGAACTTTTGCCCCCTCTGCCGAAGCTACCCTGTTGCCTTGATGACTGCCAGCGTTGCGCAGCTCATGTGGGGGGGTTCAAGTTCCCGTGGCTCGGCTTGTGGAACAGCCGTGGCGTTGTGTTGCCCGACGATGTGGCGCCTGCGGATGCTTGGGCGTACTACTACCAGCACCAGGACCCAATGGACCTACTGCTGGTCGCCGCCTACAGGAAGCTCAAAGTGGCCGCTGACATCGTGCCCCAGGATCTCTACGGGCTGCAGCTCAGGTGCTCAGCGGGCGACGCTGGGCAACTGGGCTTGGGGGAGCTGTTCGATCAATGGAGGAGCTGGCTCAGATGCACAGGCCCTCACGAGCTCTTGCCGGTCTTCCTCGAGCCGCGGCATTTCCCCAGAGCACCTAGGGGGCGACCCTGGGTGGCCTGGGGGAGAGAAGGCGCCAGGGCACATCGAGCGCTATGTGGATGGCTGGAATGCCAGGATGCAGGCATGCTTCAGCTGGGCACCGCCTGCACAGAGTGCGGAGATCCCACCAGGCGCGTGTGCTGGGCATGCTGCGTCGGGATGTGTAGCGATTGCTTCACCTGGCGCGAGCCATGCAGCACTTGTGGAGGACGTAAGAAGATGTTTGCTGCAGGTTGATTTTATGACAGAGGAGGCACCTCTGAAGTCACCGCAGCATCTTTTTGCTCTCCGCACCTTAGCAATCTTGTTAGGGTGCAGCGCCATGGCATCAGGCGGCAAAGGCTACTATGCAGCGCAAGCGGCAGCCTCGTCCTCGTCAGGGGGTGACCCTGAACCGGGATGGAGAGCAGCCGACTCCTTGATGATGATAGCTGCACAGCGGGCGCGTCAATGGAGGGAGAATGAAGGCCTCCTGGACGACAACGACTTCGCCTATGCCTACACCGACTACGATCAAGTCGTTGGACTAGCTGGCCATCACGTAGCGGATGACTGGCTGCAGACAAGAGCAAGGGTGGAAGAGCACCTCCTTGCTGCTGGGGCCAAAGTCGTGGAGGACAACCCCAAGGGTTCCGTCACTCTGCGCCCTGTGCGCAAGACAATCTACAAGAAAAAGCCCAAGGCCGTCAACGTCACCAAGAACCTGGATGAGGCCGTCCAAAAGCGGGTGAACGGCTTGGTGTCGATGTTTGTCGGAATGGGCGCATACAAACCAGCTGGCATCTTGACAGATACCCTCAAGGCCGAATGGAAACAAACGTGCAAGAGGATCGCCGAGAAGAAGGTGAAGGACGCTGAGAAGGCGACCATTGACCGAGTGGTCAACACCTGGTTGGAGCTGAGGGCCTTCTTGGAGAGTCGGGGGCGACCCGCTCCTCCTGGAATGGTCGACCTGGATCAGTTCCTCAACCATACCCAGGCGCCAGCACGAGCACTCCAAGCCTTGAAGTGGATGAACAAGAATGCCGACCAAGACATGGAGCTGGGAAACTTGCAAGTGCCTACAACACCCAGGGCGACTGGGCAGCGTGGGCAAGCACCAGTGGTGGAGCCGCCATTAGTGCAGGCCTTGGAGGACCACAGAGTTGCACGCGGTCGGCGATGAGAGGTGGTCAGTTCTTCTGGCTCCTTGGATCATGTCGTTTGGCTGTTTGAGGTATGCGCACATCGCGCGGTCAGAACCTCGGCGCCTCACCGCTGCATTCCTCCATTGCAGGTGCCCTAAGGGAAAACAAAAGCATGCCCGCGAAGGTTTCGACTTTGCGGTGCCGGCCACATTCGCCAACGGCTTCTTTTGGGCCAAGGAAGTGCTGGAGGCATACAGGACGCTGGCACCAGCAAGGCAGAGACTTGCAGGCCTCTGTTTTTCGGACGAAGGGCGCCCATGGACGATCCTAGAAGTGCAAGAGACGATGCAATAGGAAATGTCCGTGTTCCTCGACAATCCAGAAGACCTGACCACCTACAGCTGGAGGAGGCTTGCACCCACGGTGGCCCAGTTGTTAGGATGCAGGCCTGAAGAAATGGCAGCCCTGGGTGACTGGCAAAATAAGAGTGAGCAACCAGAGGTGGGGGCAATGGCATTTCACTATTCTTCGGCAAAATACGCCGCGTCGGTCAAGGTGAAATCCCTGATCTGGGGCGCTACGGCCAAGCTCGCTAGCAACCTGCTGTGGGAGGCAATCCCGCAGGCAGAGCTAGATGCAGCCCGAGCTCATGGCCTGACTGAAGCCGACAGGTTGCTGCGACAAGACCGCCAACCTATCTGGGCCTCTGCACACAGCTTCCAGGACGTGAAGAAGAGGCTCAAGTTGTCACAGCAGTTCGTTGAAGCGGCACAGCAAGCCCGGCAAGAGGCCGAAGCCGCACCGGCACCTCAGATGCCTGATCAACTCAATGGCAAGGTGCTGACGGCCACTTTGAAGAATGGTAAGGCCATTTGCCCGGAGTTCCAGACGAACGAGTGCCCGAATCCGGCAGACTCCTGCCCCTTCGGAGTGCACTTGTGTGCCATCCTACAAAAGTCAGGACGGGCATGTGGTGGCAAGCACGGCGCAGGCGTCTGCAACATCAAGCGGGCGGTGTTGGCCGCAACAGCAGTGCCAGCGGCACCCAAGCCATCGGCCACCTTGGTGCCGGCAGCCGTGGGGGAGAAGGCCACTTTTGGCCGGAAGAGAACCGCGGCGAGCGGTGCCACTGACGACGAGATGGCCGAGGTGATGCGCACAGCTGTCAGGAAAGCCCGAGGTCAGGCTGCACCCAAGACTCCGCCTAAGGCGCCAGCCATTGCAGCCCCCAAGACACCTCCGAAGGCTGCCGCTGCTACACCCAAGCCACCGGCCACAGCTGCGCAGTCCAGGGCTACAACCACAACGCCGAAGCGCTTGGCCGCTCCTGGGAAGCCACAGATCAAGGCCATGCCAAAGAAAGGCCGTGGCAAAGCAGCAGGAGACACCTTGGATCTCCACTTGGAGCGGTTGGGTGTGGGCTCAGGGACAGCCCAAGCCCCGACTTGCATCTGGACATCCCGGAAGGGTGGTGGCATCTACCTGGCAGGACTTCCAATGAGGCAGACGGTGGACAAGTTCCCCAAGACAGCGTTGCAGATCTGCTGCTTCCCGAATGGCCCTGAGAGCCGGGGGGGGGTGACCCTCCCGGGAGCTCAGTTGATGACCTTCGCGGCGGCATACAGCCAGGAACGCAACGAACAGTGGACAGACGTGTGGCCGGCCGTCAAGAACACTGTTTGGCACGGCGACAACGTCGTGGTGCACTGTATCAAGGGGCGACACCGGGGTGCTTTCTTAGGCATCCTTTGCCGGGCATTGCTGGCCGGTGAGTCCATTGAGGATGCCAACCACTACGTGGAGAGCCGCAGGGATACAGAGCTGAACAAGGTCATTCGCGACCAAGGCATGCGGAAGTGGCTGCACAAGACCTTCCAGGACACCGCGGTGGGAACACAGCACCCTGAGCCGCAGGGATATGCAGCTACGGAGAGGTCCAGCACCCATGTCACGGTCGAGGACGGCATCACCTTGTGCCAGCATAAGCAGGCCGATGGGAAGGCGAAGCGCCTGGTGAACCCATACATGTCCACGGACGTCTTTGAAGCTCTGGCATGGGAGCGCCCCTGGTGTGACCAGTGCCTCCGTCGAGCGCCAGCGTCATGGTGGCCGCCTGCCTAAGCTGCCCAAGCCGAATTTTTGGCCTTTGCGCTGATCAGCAGCACTGGCCCGTTCCGGCCATGGAGAGCCGAATTCATCAGCTCGGGGCTTGGATAAGAGCTTCAATCCAGCCTGCATGACCGCCCCCAGCAGTAACATCATGTGCGAGAGGAAAATAGTAGAGCCAGGTGACTTTCAGTAGGGTGCCCACTGAGCAAGTGCCGTGCTCTCATGTTTTTCGTTGTGTTTTCAAGTTTTTCCTTTCATGACAACGCACAAGACCGTCTGGGAGGGGGACCTCAGATAGTCCAGTGTACCACAGCTCTGTGGCGGCATGAAGGTGATGTCATGTGAGGTCGCAACATAGCTGTGCGTTGTACACATGTCCAGATTTCACACCAGTGTATGTCAGGGTTCAGTTATTTCATGCCACGCCAGGCTGTTCCAGCACAACGCACGGGGGAGACCCGAGGCGCAGTTTTCAGTCAAAGGGAGGGGATCCCTGGGCCTTAGCTAGAGGGGTGTCCTCGAGAATAGGCCATGGAGACTGATAAAGTCCCACTGGAAAAGGGTTCCCCGGAGGAAATCCTAAGGAAGTTGGGTGACAACTTCTCGTTGGATGATGGGGTAATTACAGCCCTGCTCCGGCTGGGCGTCGAAAGTTTGCAAGAGTTTCGTTTCCTCTGGGCATCGGAGCAAGCCATTGAGCCCTGGGTTGCTAAGCTGGGCCTGGGGGATAAG